AAGCTTAAATTATATTCGTAGAGGGGTTCCCATTTCTCAATTTTATTGAAACCCCTCTCTTTTTTCATTACAAAAATATACCCCAAAGTTTCTTAGAGAATCATCTTTACATCCGTTTATTTCTCTGCTACCTCTAACGATAGAATTTAGCTTTCCCATTTCTCGATTTTATTGAAACCCCTTTCTTTTTTCATTACAAAAATAAACCCCAAAGTTTCTTAGAGAATCATCTTTACACCCATTTATTTCTCTGCTCTCTCTAACGATAGAATTTAGCTTTCCCATTCCTCGATTTGATTGAAACCTCTTTCTTTTTTATTTACAAAAATATACTCCAAAGTTTCTTAGAGAATCATCTTTAAACCCGTTTATTTCTCTGCTCTCTCTAACGATAGAATTTAGCTTTCCCTTTTCTCGATTTTATTGAAACCCCTTTCTTTTTTCATTACAAAAATATACCCCAAAGTTTCTTAGAGAATCATCTTTACATCCGTTTTTTTCTCTGCTTTTTCTAGCGATAGAATTTAGTTTTCCCATTCCTCGATTTTATTGAAACCCCTTTCTTTTTTATTAACAAAAATATACTCCAAAGTTTCTTAGAGAAACATCTTTAAACCCGTTTGTTTCTCTGCTCTCTCTAACGATAGAATTTAGCTTTCCCATTTCTCGATTTTATTGAAACCCCTTTCTTTTTTCTTTACAAAAATATACACCAAAGTTACTTAGAGAATCATCTTTAAACCCGTTTATTTCTCTGCTCTCTCTAACGATAGAATTTAGCTTTCCCATTTCCCGATTTTATTGAAACCCCTTTCTTTTTTCATTACAAAAATAAACCCCAAAGTTTCTTAGAGAATCATCTTTACATCCGTTTATTTCTCTGCTACCTCTAACGATAGAATTTAGCTTACCCATTTCTCGATTTTATTGAAACCCCTTTCTTATTTCTTTACAAAAATATAATCCAAAGATACTTTGAGAATCATATTTAAACCCGTTTATTTCTCTGCTACCTCTAACGATAGAATTTAGCTTTCCCATTTCTCAATTTTATTGAAACCCCTCTCTTTTTTCATTACAAAAATATACCCCAAAGTTTCTTAGAGAATCATCTTTACATCCGTTTATTTCTCTGCTACCTCTAACGATAGAATTTAGCTTTCCCATTTCTCGATTTTATTGAAACCCCTCTCTTTTTTCATTACAAAAATATACCCCAAAGTTTCTTAGAGAATCATCTTTACATCCGTTTTTTTCTCTGCTTTTCTAACGATAGAATTTAGCTTTCCCATTCCTCGATTTTCTTGAAACCCCTTTCTTTTTTCATTACAAAAATATACTCCAAAGTTTCTTAGAGAATCATCTTTACATCCGTTTTTTTCTCTGCTTTTTCTAGCGATAGAATTTAGTTTTCCCATTCCTCGATTTTATTGAAACCCTTTTCTTATTTCTTTACAAAAATATACTCCAAAGTTTTTTAGAGAATCATCTTTACATCCGTTTTTTTCTCTGCTTTTTCTAGCGATAGAATTTAGTTTTCCCATTCCTCGATTTTATTGAAACCCTTTTCTTTTTTCTTTACAAAAATATACTCCAAAGTTTCTTAGAGAATCATCTTTCAACCCGTTTATTTCTCTGCTCTCTCTAACGATAGAATTTAGCTTTCCCATTTCTCGATTTTATTGAAACCCCTTTCTTTTTTCTTTACATAAATATACACCAAAATTTCTTAGAGAATCATCTTTAAACCCGTTTATTTCTCTGCTACCTCTAACGATAGAATTTAGCTTTCCCATTCCTCGATTTTATTGAAACCCCTTTCTTTTTTATTAACAAAAATATACCCCAAAGTTTCTTAGAGAATCATCTTTAAACCCGTTTATTTCTCTGCTCTCTCTAACGATAGAATTTAGCTTTCCCTTTTCTCGATATTATTGAAACCCCTTTCTTTTTTCTTTACAAAAATATACACCAAAGTTTCTTAGAGAATCATCTTTAAACCCGTTTATTTCTCTGCTACCTCTAACGATAGAATTTAGCTTTCCCATTCCTCGATTTTATTGAAACCCCTTTCTTTTTTATTAACAAAAATATACTCCAAAGTTTCTTAGAGAAACATCTTTAAACCCGTTTATTTCTCTGCTCTCTCTAACGATAGAATTTAGCTTTCCCATTTCTCGATTTTATTGAAACCCCTTTCTTTTTTCTTTACAAAAATATACACCAAAGTTTCTTAGAGAATCATCTTTAAACCCGTTTATTTCTCTGCTCTCTCTAACGATAGAATTTAGCTTTCCCATTTCCCGATTTTATTGAAACCCCTTTCTTTTTTCATTACAAAAATATACACCAAAGTTTCTTAGAGAATCATCTTTCACCCCGTTTATTTCTCTGCTACCTCTAACCATAGAATTTAGCTTTCCCATTCCTCGATTTTATTGAAACCCCTTTCTTTTTTCTTTACAAAAATATACACCAAAATTTCCTAGAGAATCATCTTTAAACCCGTTTATTTCTCTGCTACCTCTAACGATAGAATTTAGCTTTCCCATTTCCCGATTTTATTGAAACCCCTTTCTTTTTTCATTAAAAAAATAAACCCCAAAGTTTCTTAGAGAATCATCTTTACACCCATTTATTTCTCTGCTACCTCTAACGATAGAATTTAGCTTTCCCATTCCTCGATTTGATTGAAACCTCTTTCTTTTTTATTTACAAAAATATACTCCAAAGTTTCTTAGAGAATCATCTTTAAACCCGTTTATTTCTCTGCTCTCTCTAACGATAGAATTTAGCTTTCCCATTCCTCGATTTGATTGAAACCCCTTTCTTTTTTATTTACAAAAATATACTCCAAAGTTTCTTAGAGAATCATCTTTAAACCTGTTTATTTCTCTGCTCTCTCTAACGATAGAATTTAGCTTTCCCATTCCTCGATTTTATTGAAACCCCTTTCTTATTTCTTTACAAAAATATAATCCAAATAACCTTAGATAATCATCTTTAAACCCGTTTATTTCTCTGCTCTCTCTAACGATAGAATTTAGCTTTCCCTTTTCTCGATTTTATTGAAACCCCTTTCCTATTTCTTTATAAAAATATACTGCAAGGATACTTAGAGAATCATCTTTAAACCCGTTTGTTTCTCATCTTTCTCTAACGATAGAGTTTTGCTTTCCCAATTTTTATTTACCTGAAAGCTGTCCTTTTTTCCAAAAAAGGTCCTGCCTGACTGAGAGAGTTTTCTTTACACCTTATTTTCAGCTTCTTCTGAATATAAAATTTTTTTCCCTCCTTTTGATTTAATTGAACCACCTCCCCAATTTTTTCCGAAATTACCCGAAATATACTTAGAAAATTTTTGTAGACCCTTTTGTTTCTCTACTATCTCCTATATTTTTTCCCAAAAAGTTTTGTAAATTGACTGAGAGAATCTTTTCTAGACCGTTCTTTTTTCAGCTCTCTATCAAGATAGAATTTATTTTTGCCTTCCCTCGATATAATTGAACCGATATTTATGACTTTTTCCGAAATTACTCAAAGCACACTTAGAAGTATTTTTTTGAGACCCTCTCATTTCTCTGTTTTCTCCAACGGTAGAATTTAGCTTTCCCATTCTTTGGTTTACCAAAAAGCTCTGTCTTCTTTCTTCCCAAAAAATGCTCCAAGTTGACTTAGAATATCTTCTTTAGACCCTTTTCTTATCTGCTCCCTCTGAAGATAGAATTTATTTTTCCCTCCGCTCGATTTAATTGAAATCTCTTTATGATTTTCTGCCAAAAAATGTTCCAACTTTATTTGCAGAGTCATCTTTGAACCCTATTATTTCTCTGCTCTCTTCAACGATAGAATTTTGCTTTCCCATTCGTCGATTCAACTGAATTCCCTTTCATTCGATCTAAAATTGGTCTAAACTTAATCACAAAGTCATTTCTGAACCATTCTTTCTCTTTGCTTTTTCTTTAGTGCCATCGTATTATTTCTGCTACATTCAAGACAATTTCTCAAAATATGCGCGGCTGCAACCAGTGGTTTGTAACTTTCCCTCCATCTCATCGTTTCCCATTTTCCCATTTTGGGTTTTACATTTTACTCATTGTCTTTTAACCTTTTTTCTTTTATGCCTGTTATCAAAATTTGTGCCAAAAGTTTAACATGTTTGAAGGTACGGGGATGTGTCACTTTTTAGGGGTACCTTTTTCTGAAAAGTGTCATTGGTACCATTTGGAAAAACATGCAGAATTGTGGGTACCATATTGGGAAAATATTACAAAATTATTAGGAGGTAGATTAAGCATTAACGAAATGAATACACTTATATGTGAATGAGGTATGTGTAATATTGAGATTTTGGGGCAAAAGACATAAAAAATTTGTTTGATGATTTTGTTGTGCTTTAAAAATGTCATTGCTTTGCAGAATTATGGATATATTTTTCATCATGTTTGCAGAATTATGGGTCACATTTTTTCAGACATGTGCGGAATTATGGTTCCAAATTTCTTAACCAAAATGTCACGTCCCCGTCTAAAATTAGGCTTAGTTACAACCCCCCTTGCTTAGTTGCAACCCCCCTTGCTTAGTTACAACCCCCTCCCCCCCCCAAGAGAAAAGCACAGTGCAATTTCTATCAGCTTCATCAAATGCATATGCATTGATCTGGACTTTGATGAAAAGGTACTCCCTGAGAATGGCACAACCCTGCACAACTTCTAATGCAGTTCCTGGATCCCTTCTGATTGTTGTCCCAATCAGCACTCCCTGAGATACTAATTTGAGGTACATATTTGCACTTTTTCAGAGACTAACTGAGCATCGGAGGGCTGCCTCTGCTTGCCCCCTACTCCTAGCTCCCTCGCTAGACTACTGCCTACATTAATTTACAATATTGAAATTTTACTTGGTACATCACTGATGGCTCTTGTAGTAGCTCTTTCCCAAGTCTTTTGGAATACAGTGGAACCTCTAATAGCGGCTACTATTGGGAGGTTTTTTTATGTTTTTTTTATCTTCTTAAATGATGGCTGGACGAGGGAGGATGGGGTGATTTAAGAATTTATACGTAAGTTTTGTTTACAAATATTACAAAGTCGTGATCTATGATATCATGCACTGTCACTTAATAGAAATAAATCATGGGGTTGGATTAGGACTTGAAATGCCTGTGATGACATTAAAAGGCAGGAAAAAGCTAATGGTTTTTAAGACAAGCATACTTTCTAATTAGAAACAAATATTTTTTATCTTACTTTCATTTCTTTGTGAAAGGTAATCTGCTTGACCGTTAATGGAAGTAAAATGAGCCACTGGGGCATTCCCAGTGGCCGTTTATTGCAGGTGGCCGCTGTGCGAGGTTTTTTGTGAGAGTTTGACCATAAATTCGGCAGGTACTTTCTCCACTGGCCGCAGACCTGGAGGTGGCCGTCGCACGGAGGTGACCATTGTTAAGAGGTTTCACCGTAAATTGTTTAGAATCTGCTCTTTTCAATTTGAATAAACTGCTTTTGATTAAGAACAAAAGTTTTTCACACCAACAGGCGTAGTCAACTCTTCCAAACAAATCGCCAAAATTTGAATTCATCATCGCTTGGAAATTGGTTACATGAACTTTTCTCCGGATTTAATGGTAGGTGCGAATTAATCAAACTTTATTTCGACGTCTTTATTGTCGAATGATTTATCTAAGAACAATATCTACTAGGTATACCCCTCGAAGCCCCTCGAAGCTTTTGCCACCGCCCGTTTGGAGCCACGTGTTTCAAACCTAATCTTGCGTTGGTGTTTTGTTGCGCATTTTCTGTTCGACTTTGCATAGGTCTTAGTAATTTCTATTTCGATTCTAAGCAAGTTTACATTGAGGCTGAGTCCTTGGGAGAGTGGCTTCTCAAATTTACTGAATGTTGCCAATGTGGCGATCGATCTCCCTTCGTCTTATATTTGTTTGCCATATGATATCTTTTTGCCGCCACGTACAAAAAGGCACCTTTTTGCTAATTTCAAATAAATAAGTTTAATATTTCCTTGCTAGCGATGGAAGAATTCGACTGATCGAATCGCACTAGTCGGAAGACTTTGGTTTATTCAAGTCATCCTGGGTGTAGCATTTTACAAGCCTTTGGACTTTCCTTATACAGATGGACTGAAATATTTGCAGGTTTCAATTAAGCTGTAATTAATCTGTTTTTTTAAAGTACGTCAATCGCTTTTGTCGCTATGTTTTATTGTGAGAAACATTAGAAAACTTGTAAATTCATGTTGGTAAAAGAAAAAATATATTCATCTTTCAACTTGATGCCTTTATTACAAATTGTGACTTTTCTGCCCCAAGCACAACCCCGCGAGTCTTTAATCTTTATTACATTTTGAGGTAGTTAAAGCGCTCCATGCTTTTGCCATTTATCAACAGAGCCGCTTACGTTAAGCCCTTTCCTTTGAATCTTATTTTATACTTTGAGTCTCTAAACATTTTACCTTCTCAATCAGATTCCCTGATTATTTCTATTGCATTACCCTTGAATTTCTTTTAAATTTTCACCCGTTTTTCTATTGAATTTCAACGAAATTTCTTTTGATTAACCCCCCGTTTTACTATTGAATTTTGTCGTAATTTCTTTAGAATCTCCTCCTGTTTTTCTATTGAATTAGAAGAAATTTCTTTTGAATTTCCCCCCGTTTTTCTATTGAAATTTGTAGAAATTTCTTTTGAATTTCCCCCCGTTTTTCTATTGAAATTCGTAGAAATTTCTTTTGAATTTCCCCCCGTTTTTCTATTGAAATTTGTAGAAATTTCTTTTGAATTTCCCCCCGTTTTTCTATTGAAATTTGTAGAAATTTCTTTTGAATTTCCCCCCGTTTTCTATTGAAATTTGTAGAAATTTCTTTTGAATTTGCCCCCGTTTTCTATTGAAATTTGTTAAAATTTCTTTTGAATTTTCCCCCGTTTTTCTATTGAAATTTGTAGAAATTTCTTTTGAATTTCGCCCCTGTTTCCTATTGTATTTTACCTAAATATCCATTGTATTTTCAACACTTTACTTTGTTATATACAATGCGATGACTTTGAATTTTTTCGAGTTTTCTTTTGTTTTAACTTTGAAATTGAAAAAAAATTACAATGAATTTCCCCCCTGTTTATATTAAATCTCCATTTATATTTGAAACCGAAATCTCCCGTTTTTCTATTGTCTTTCACTGGCGGTCAAGCCCGCGGACGGTGGCTGAAGAAATCGGGGCTCGAGGCCGCAAATGATTGACAGGTCATTGTTATCCACCAATCAGGTTGCTCTATTACAGCCCATTTTGGTGGCTGCGGGCGGGAGCCGTCACCTACGATATAGCAAAATTTTAGAAAACAGCGGCCACTGGCGGCCACCATTGTCTTTCGACCAATCAAAATGGGGCATTTCGGCCTCACTCTATTGTTTACTGACCAATCAGAACCCTTCAATTCAAATTTTCCATTGTTTCCTGACCAATCATGGTTTAGGGAATTCTATTGTATTTTCAATTGTTTTTATCCAATCACATTCGCTCATTTCAGCCCATCTAGCCTCGTTTTGATGCCCAGTAAAGACGGGGGGCTACAGCCTCGTTTGGACCGGTCAAAAGACGGGGGTCAGAAAGAATTTTTGCTCGATTTTCTCCTCTTCATTCAAGCGATCTTACTCTACTTACAATTTTAAGTTCTACCTATGTAAGTGCCGAGGAGACTGTTTTCGAAAGGGGTTTGTCTAAGCATGGTGTTTTAAGCAAAGGGTTAACAAGAAGGAAAAGAATTCCCCCTTGTTAACCCTTCGATTAAAACACCCTGCCAAGAAAACCCTTCGTATGTTGTGTTAGGGGTTAAGTTAGCATGGCGTTTTAATCAAAGGGTTAGCAAGAAGGACAAGGCCCCCTCGGTAACTCTCCGATTAAAACGCCGTGCCACAACTCCTAACGCAACACCGAAAACAGTCTCCTAAGCAAGCTACAAACTACTTACACAGAATTAAGCTACAATTAAAGACAAATCTAAGTAAAAACGAAAGGGCCTATTCTAAAAACAAATGTAAACAGGCGCCATGCTTACACCCATTCGTAGAATAAACCCATGCATGTTTTACAATATTAAGACGATAGATAACTCAACCGGATACCTTCTCAAAAAAGGGGAACTTCCTAATTGGGCAATAAACAAATTAATATGGGCAAAAATTGTATGCTTGGCTATCAAATGTCTTTATATGTTAATGTATAAAACTCGGGATGAAACATCAAAGGGGTTTTCAGATATGGAGGGGGAAATAAGGAGAAATTAACTAGTGTAAATGAAATTGATGGATCAAATTATGGTTTGATATTCACGTACCTTATCGGGTGGTGAAAAAACATCTTAGGGATCAATCATTCAGGAAATTACTTATCCTTTTTCACTAGCAATCTATAGTTTCATATTATGTAATTTGCCTTGACGATAAACGTATAAAAACTGTCCTATCGCTCGCAACCAATGGGAGTCTTAAAGCGTTCTATTTCTCTCTAAAAGGGAACCTGATTTCAAAACTAATAAATGTTGGGATAAAATACCGGTCGAGAATAAGCGGCGATCTACCATAATATTTTGTGATTTCAAGTTCAATCTCTAAAAATTGTTCATAATCTTCATATCTTCTACTTCAACTTCTGCTTTGTTCCATGCGATCGACTCCTTCCAAACCGATCATCTGAAAGAATGATAGAGAAGCCAGCAATATCGCAATAAATGATCAACTGCAGCAGTTGTTAAATGTGACATCTTTGCAAAACAATATCATCAATGTCCAAGAAGTGAAAATCGAATTTTCCATCGAAGTTAAAGATTAAGTCAAGGAACAACTTCGATGATTTTAAAAGATTCAGCGACAGAACAAACCAAGCTTTACTGTCCTTTCAAATTGAACATGCAATGGTTTTGAAAGAATGTAAAAGAAACTTCGTGCTTCTTTTCTTTGCTAGTGCACAAGAGACTCTTCGTATCCATGCAAGTCAACTTCTACCCTTGAGCATCTAGGCCCCATAAAATCTATCGAGTTGTGTTTTTTTTCGTTTCTTTTTGCAGTCAGGTAATTTAGTTGCAATTCTGATATATGATTCTGATATATATGTTTTGCTCTAATCTGTCAAACCGGGAATTATCCTAAAGATTATCAATTTTTCGATAATCCTGAAGATCTGGTCTAGTTCAAAATGACAGTGTTGTTTATTATCATGATTAGAATCTCCTATTGTTGTGTACAATCCAAATAAGACACATGCGCGTGCCTCGTGTAGAGTGCCCTGGAAATTCTCTTGGGAATTTTCAAACCTATGAAAAGCTAAAATACACCAGAGGCATTAGAAAAACAAAAACACATCACAATTTCCAATTCTGAGTACTTTTGGTCTGATTGAAGAAAGTTCAAGTGAAAAACGCTCCCCCTTAAAGCTGTACTCGCGTGTTAGCTTAGAATAACTTTGTTCAACATTGCAATTTTGATGCTTTTATTTCAGAAGTATACTTGTCATATCATTTGCCTTCGCTCTCGATTGTTTTATGGAGTCAAATAGATTTGTAAATTACCTCACCCTTATACCTGCTCCTTTATGTTTTGGAGAGGGGAAGATTTTTTTTAAAGTATTTATTTCTGCAATTTCAATTTTTTTTAGAAAAAGTCAATATAAACGAAAGTCTCTTTACTGTTTTAAAACCTTTTTGTTTTATAAGGGAGACAAGTAAATATTCAAGATGGGTTTTTGAGATTTTTGAATAATAAAAGACATTCTGCAGTCGACATCGACCTTTACTTTCACAGCCATCCACTTACTCGACAAAATCTCCGCCCTTCAAAACAACAAACTCAAAACCAAACCAACCAACAAATCAACCACCCCCTCAAACCAACAGCAAAACCTCAAGACCACAGATCTAAACATCGAAACATTTTGGCAAGTGAAAGCAAAGGTCTATGAAGCTGCAAGATTGAAACTGGCTGGAATTTGTGTAGCTTAAATTTGTCTCCACGATGAATCAAAATGTCACGTTTTATTTTTTCCTTTGCTTGATGTCTCCAAATGAAAGAAATGAACCTTTTTTATTTTTGTTGATGCTTAAAACCTTTGACTTGCTTACCCTTAATATTGAAATTTTCACAACTTTGATTGTCTCTTAATCAGAAGAGCGGCCAGAGATGATCTAAATGCCCAACAAACTTAATCTCCTCATTCAAATGCCTAGATTCATATCTTGATATCTTGAAGGCTGTATTGCTTTTAGAAAGCTGAAAAGTTCGTTTAAAGATTCTTCAATCATCTAACTTATTTTTCGACTGTGTTTCTACGTATAGGCTTGGATCTTAATACCACATTGCTCTGTTCACAGCCTGATCATTTTAGACACTTAAGAAAAGAAATTTTGAAAATGAGAAACAACATTCATCTAAATTTGCATTTTTTTAAACCAAAGATATCTTTGAAATTAGCTCACCGTTATTTATGTGCCACATTCTTTCTCAACGTTGCCAAAATGTGACCATAACTCAGTATTCAGTTTTCTAAAGAAAATTTAAAAACTTCTTACATTTGAATTAAAAAAATATTTTCTGCAACGGATAGCTCAGCTTCAAGATGATGTTTATATTTGATTTAGATGCAACACACATATTAAATACGAATTTCAGAAATACTCTTTTCTTCAATCATTCTCTTGTTTTCTGTGTATAATGCAAACAATTTAATATATTCTAAACAATTACATTCCATGATACATTGCCAGTGCCATAATAATAATCATAATCCGAGAGTCAACCAACTAGCAAATATATTTGACATCATTAGCATTAGCTTATCTGATTTTGAAAAATGAAGAGAAAGAAATTGTGATACGACTGGACAGCAAAATAAACTCACCATTTTCAATATGTTCTCTAAAATAGAATTCTGAGTGGCCAATAGCTGAAATTAAAGTTGAGCACTGTAAAAGCATACTTGAAAGTCATTAAATGCACGAATCTTTAAAAATAATCCATTTTAGATATTAAAATAAATTCCTGTAATCTTTAGAAAAACTTGCAACCGGAAAGAATAATTTATATCAAAAAAGAACTTCAATTCTTGAGTAATGGCCAAGTAAAGAAAGTTAAAGTAATGATTGGTAGATTTTTGCTAGGTTTTAATTTTAATTCATTTTTTATCATAAAAACCAGTCTTCAAATATACTTCTTCTCGCAAGAACTTTTTTAGGAATTGTTGTCAATAACTTGTCAAAAAACACAAAAAATATTCTTTAATTTTCATCAGAGGCAAATCTGGGATAAAAGAAGGCTACCAAACGCAAATTCTAAATTCAAATCACGTTCATTAATTTAAAGCTAGTGGCATAGTTATGCATTAGCCACATACCATTTTTATGTCGCTCATTTTTATATCTCCCAAAAAAAACACCAAAAAGTAAGTTTCGAAAGAAACATATCATTTTCACGAAGAATAGATAATAGTTGCAATATTCCTCAACCTTTAAACCAGCTTGAGTTTGGAATATATAATGTCTTTTTAGTGAAAAATACATTTTTCCCAATGAATTAATGCAAAGGCATCAAAATATTGAAACTTTAACTCACATTTGGCGCATCCTGATTCAAGTCTGCGATGAAGAAATTAAGATATCTAAAAAGCAATTTGATTTCTGGAGAAAAATAAAAAACTGGCCATTGTAAAACCTTCGCAAAAAAACTGCAAAAATGCAAAAATGAAAACAGTATGCCTAGAAAGGAAAAGAAAAGAGTGTCAGTTTAAAAGAAAATCCTTTCTGAGGGATATCAAAAACGATAATATCATTGACTGGATCAACATTATGGCTTGTTATCGAGGTTTAGAGTGATTCTAATGAACCAATTTAGCCACGATTTAATCCAATTCAAGTTTTTAGAGACAGATTGAATAACATGTTATTTTTTAAAACAAGTAAGTTTATTAAAAAAACCACATTTGTTTAATAAACTTTCTTCTTTAAAAACATTCATAAATTTCTTCCAATACTATTGTTTTCTTTAAGTCTGACAAAATAATGAAAAAAGTTGAAAACAAAGATCTCCCAATTTAACAAGGCATCTAACACGCTAAATCTCAGGAAAGTTTAAATAAAAAATTATGGATTAAAAACATACCCATTTACCAGCAACTATTAGCTTTTATTTGCTTCAACAAATGTCACTAGTGAAGCTGAAATAAGTTAAAGATAATGTTAGTGACAGGGAAAATTTATGGATACATGATAATAGAAAAATTGGGCTAATAAGTTTGCTAAGGGTCAGATAAAGATTAGCCAGAAAATTGGATGACAAAACTTAATACTGCGATGTATTTTGTGGCTACATTTATGACCATAAAAAGATTGGAACTTAGATGCTCTTGTAAAAGAAATAATAATCACAGCCCATTAGATATTCAACAATTCTCAATTAATATAAAAGTTTTAAAAATAATCTCATTAAACAAAATAGAGTTCAATTTATTTCAGAATGTACTAAAATTTGAAGTTAGTTTTATTTAATAATTGGAAAACTTACCAAATTTTGAAATCACGAAATCCGTTAAGACTTCTTCCTAAATAAATAGCTTGGGAAAGGTTGGTTAAAGCATCAAAAAAAAAATTTCTTGTGAAAAACAACGAAAAAGAACCCAAGACAGTCTCCAGTGAAGAAACGAATAGCTCAACATTGTAAAAATGTGCCTAAAAATGAAAAAAGGTCTTCCAAATATTACCGAAATTTAACTTGAAAATATTATGCCTATATGTTTCAAAAAGCCATTTTGAAGCTTCATAATTATGTCTACTTTGTTGTTGTGAGGAAAAATGATGAAACAAAGTAAATTTTAAATTCAACAAAAGTTCATTTCGAAGTATATTGGACCCCTAAAAATGGTAAAAAATATAAAAGACAGATTAGTTAACCTTTGAGTCACTAAAATCAATAAGGGCACAAAGAAAATTAGAAAGATGCCCAAAATTAGGGACAATTGTATAATTTTGGTCACTTCACCAAGATCTCACGAGAAAAATTTTAATTATATAATAAATGACTGTACAGTTGTCAAAGATTATTTTCTAGAAACATAAAATATACAGGAAGTCAAATGATACTCATTTCCAAACTCAGAACTCAGCAATTCACCAGAAGGTATTAGCATAGCTCCAAAATCAGCCTCAGACCTTTTTCATGTCTCTCGTTTCAATGTCCCTCAATATCCATAATTAAATGACAAAAGGGCAGACAAAAATGACAAAAAACATGCAAACAAAATAATCTTTATAAGCATCTTCTTCAACGAGTAAGATAATATAGTCTTTCACCAATTCGCCTCCAAACAAACTTCCAATTGTCAAGCCAATGTTTGAAGAATATAACCGCCAAGGAGAAAGATGTTTGTAAACTGAACAATTCATTATAATTGTTATTAACGAATGGAAAAGAATATACCAAAAAATTGCAGTTCTATTTCATTTTTAAATCAATCTGCTTTGCCTCTGAATGTCTAAAGCTGGAATTGAAATGGCTAAAAATGAAAATTGTGTAAGAATAATGCTGATCGTTATGAAAAGCACAAAGTATATAAATATTTAAGTTCATCAAAACGCCTAGAAGGTGAACTATTATCCATCCTATTATCATGGCTATCTTTTAATTTTCGCAGAAAAAATCAGCAAAAAACTTATGTTATAATTTACTTACTTTCTTTCTAATCTTGATTTTTCACTGAAAGCTGCTAGAACAATCTGAGAAACATTTGATCTAAAATTATAAGTTTTTTAAGGAAAGAATATGAATGCCAAGAGCCAAGGATACAAAAAACATCGCAAAACTCTCCGAAATGTTTCATATATGTCAATTAAACCTGAAAACCAAAAAAAACAACAAAGTAATAAATAAGATTTTGGAAAAAAGCAAACATAATTATAAAGAGTATTAACTACTATTTGGTAAAGGATTACCTTTAAATCTGTTCGAACGGACCAACATTTTATGATTTTATGGATGCAAACTTTGTTGCAATAGTTACCTAGAAATGCAAAAAAGTTAGTGTTAAAAAATATAACGAGTAAATTTTGGTATATAAAGATTATCAATTGTATATAATGTCATATCCTTGATGAGAGCAAAATGACAATTCTTCCTAAATGAATATAAATTTCTTGTATTAGAATGTTTTTTCGAAATTTGATTTCTTTCTTGCAACTTGTCGGCTTTCCTTGATTCTCTCTTCTTATAAAATGTTTTGATAAATTAATGACAGGGATTTTTCAAAACATTTTCCCTTTTTAAATTAAAACTTCAGCAAACGGATGCATCTATTTTTGAATTTTTTTCCAGAAATTTCAAGGTTCAAGATATATTATGCTTACTTTAATTGTTTAAAGTCAAAAAAACTTAAATCGATAACTGACAAAAATGTATAAATTTGATATCCACTCACCCACTAAACAACAGTAGTTTTCAATCTCATGGACCATCACTGTACTCAATTGCAAAGCTAGAAAGAATTTTAAAGAGACAATAAATTATCTAAAGTGTGAAATAATACAAGACAGTAAAAAACAACAGCAAATATAACATGGTAAAGAAATGTTTTGTTGATATTATAAAAATAAGGTTGATTGAACTTTGGTTGTGTACAAGTGGATATTTTACTCCGTTTGGATTAATCATTGGTAAGCTAGAACTTAAGGATTGCAGTATTGAGTTTTTTCTTCTCAGGATATTTACTACAGGCTATAAATGACTTGTTTTGATATGCTCATTAGGCTTGTTACTTTTGTGACGTAATAAGTAGAGAATAGAACATTAAATGGCCTTGAAACGCCTGCCACAAGGGTAGCAAGTTGAACTTGGCATTAAAAAACTCACCATGTTTTCAAATCAACCATTCCAAAAGGTTCTTTTCCTAAAGGGAAGAACTGAAGACAAATTAGGTTAAAAAAGCTTTAAAACTCGGCCCAGAAATCCTCTTGGAAACAAAAGCTGTCACAAGAGAAAAACTTTCGGCGACCAAACCTAGAAAAAAAATAAAGAACAAGTCAAATGGGGTAGATATCTCAGTTTAGACTTTCACAAAATTTCAATGAAAGTTTCTTCTGAAGTTGACGTTGTTCATAATTAGTTGATTCCGATTAAAATGTGAAAAAATATCCAGTATAGCTGAGAATCATCTAAAAATATTTTAAACCTAAGGAGGCCTAAGAAATGCGATAAAGTTTGTCTTGAACATATATTCATATATACATATATATATATCATATTCTGAAACAAGGGTACAATAATTGTTCATTTAGAGTTGCCGTAAAAGGAATTGCCTTTTGATCAATAAATATTCTGTTTCTCATAAAACAATAGTTGTTTGAATGGCTATCATAATACTTACAAACGTTGCTGTAAACATGAGATGCATAAAATTTATATAGAATTTAAAATAGAGTTTATCTTTTCCAATGCCACCATGATTTGCTTTTACTTTTCACAACTATAAAGCATTTTTCCATTTTTTACATGCAATTATGAATTGTAGAACGGCGTTCGAAGATTTAATTAATTCTGTTTTGATCATAGTTTGCAGGCCAAAGCACAAGTCTAAACGTCCTAAAATAGCGAGTGAAAATTAACTTTCCTTTTAATCTTTTTAATGATGTCATTAAAGGATACAGTTAGTTAAAAATTCAGTGAAAATTTGGTGTGGATAAAATTGTGAGGGTAGTGTTGTCAAAAAAATAATAAAAAATAAGCAGTTGCATTAATATTTTGCTGGAGAACGACAAAGAAATTTGGAAAAATGTCAGCAAGACCATTTAGTAGAGACAATAAACTAGATTTTTCAAATTAAAATCAACTTACTTAAACATTTAACATAAACATTTACTTAAAGATGTTCGTCCGTGGATCAGGTTCATATTAGCCTAACGAGTTGTATTTGAACAAAAACAAAGTATGATCTTAGAAGGAAAATATAAATTTTTTCAGTACTTTATATAATGCAAAGTGTTAAATTTTGAATAGAAGATAATAGAATTTTCATGTTTATATCAAGAAAATTTTTTAGATCGACTGAAATACGATTGTTGGTAGAGAAAAAACGGAAGGTATATCCAGAAAGGCATTTTTAGATTTTTCTTGATTTTTGTAAACTTTGAATCACTAGACTGTTTTGAGATGACCAACCACATCCAACAATCCTTCACACCCTTCACCATTAGCCGACGTCTAAACCAATGCAACTCAACCAAACCATGACCAACAACTAGAACAGCGCCCTAATATCAAAACAAACCAACCCCAACATCCCAACTGCCACCGTTAACAGAACTAGTGACTCAAAAAATTACAAAATTACAAATTTTCTTAAGTCCGTGATTTGCTTCGAAAATACGATTTTTTTCTTAAAATTTTCAAATCTTGCATTCGAATAAAGTAATACAGCGTAAAAATGCATTTTAGATTTGAAACGTCTAATGATGCTGCATATTTTTCTTAAAAAGTTTTGCAAAATAAACACTTATTTGAAAATGATACTCGAAAATGATACTCTATAATTTTATCTATAATCTACTACCTATCATTATGTTAGGAAATTTAGAACATTTGTTATTGTAACTTAATTGAAAGTAGTTTTGGGATTCAACTAATTTTAAGGCATCCTTTGATTCATACCTTGTATTAAGATATTTATTAATGTTTGAATAAAACATTTATCACAGCACAATCAAATCGTTTGCCTTCATGATATGATATTAACGAAAACTATATCTTAAATTCAGAAATAATTATCTTAAAACCCAGTTCGATTTAAACATTCCAATTTTACCTCAACAAATATGGATTTGATGAAAAAATGAATTTCTTTTGCCTGAAATAGCTTCTATAATATCGATAGTAGGGAATTTTTAAAAAATTATCGAGTTCTATTATTTTCAAATCTATCTTTCCATTTCCTATCAGAAATCAAGCAATTGACTTTCGTGAAAAGATCGAACTAGCTTTCGAATAAATTTGTTGAGTAGAAAAACGATAGGCTTACCTTTTTTGAAGTTTTCTCAAACATTAACTTTAGCGCATCATTTTTACTGACAACAACTGTTGGCCATTTTGGTTATCTAAAAGAGATGTACCCAGAGTTAGACCTTTTAAGCAATAAAATATTAAAGCATTGTTCAGGGATAAAGTATTCAATTCTTATAATACAACAATTCGAAGCAACATTGCAAACTAATTAAAAAAGGAAAATGGATAAACACTATTGTGGCCTAAACATGATAAATATGACAAATTTTGCAACCTAGGGTAGATAAGGAATAGAAACTTCGTAATTAAACAATTAAATAATCACATAGAGCGTTTTTTAGCTTCAACAGAATATATGTTTTATCATTATAAAAAATAAAAATTATAGAGAAATCGGTAAGTAAAGAACAGGCTTGTTAGCTTTGAATATTGGCGGGTAAGGGCAAGGGTGAACAATTTTCAATGAAAATAGAATTTGAATCTTAATGCACTTTAGGCCCTAAATAATATTTCAACCCGCTGTTGATGAAACTTTCTTTAATACTCCTTTCTGGCAGTCCCTAAGTATGAAAACCAATAAAAATGAAACATTACATTATTTTGGTGCTGTTAATGATGAGAAAGTTGCATAAAATTAACAGTAGGGGAATTTAGAGTTGATTTTTACATACATTGCTTTTTCCAAGTGTTACAGGGCTGCCTTTCCCAACGAACCTCGAGAAGCAAAGGCCGAACAACTAGAGGCTCGTGGCTTAAATACTACCCCAATCTCGTGCTTTTTTTCCCTGGGACTAGTGTCTTGGGACGCGGGCGCCATTGATTTGTGCTCAGTTGTTTCAGATGGCAAGCAGTGATTCTGCGCCTGCTTGCAAATCTCCTGAGTATTCGATACAGGGCAAAGGGAGTCAAGACGCATTGTTCTAAATTGTTTTTTAGACACATGCAAAGGGAGTCAAGACGCATTGTTCTAAATTGTTTTTAGACACATGCAAAGGGAGTCAAGACACAATAACAAACTTACCCAGAACAGATTGGCCCTTTCAATTAGCTTCTTGGCGTTTTCAAGACAGTGCTGACACTTTGAGCACCCTCTTTACAAAACAGCTAAACTTCGCCTGCTTTAAACTGATGCAATATAAAAAGCATTTTAAAAAACGATGTGAATCCTTACTTTCGATGTTTTAAACATAAAAAGTGCGTTGAGAGATCTCAGGGTTGGAAAAATTGTAGCACAACGCTTTTGCATCCACATATAAGATTGGTTACTGTCAGCTTATTTCTATTATATCACTTTAGGCCGTAGATCAAAATGTATTTTGAAATAACTTTATCCTTGCATGCATTGGCTATAAGTCCATGGCGGGATTTGTACCGTTTGTATTCTGCTGTAGATAGATGGTAAAATGCTCTTTGTTTTGAGGCAGTTCTTGAATCAATTCGATATACATCATGTACAGGGAACTTCATAAAAGCTTCATCACTACGGGTGACTTATTAAAGTGTCAAATTTAGGCCGACGACCGAAAAGGTTGCGATGGTTGTTTTCAAATTGGATATGTGCTTTAGTTTATAGAAAAGGATAACTCTAAGCTGCAACTCTAATGGAACAGTGATTTCGTAAAAACTGCAAAAAGGTATTCAGAGCATAGCCTATTAAACCAAGTCTATAAAAGGATTTGCAACAGGTCTTGAGCCTATGCACAGGTTTGCTTACGAATACAGTAACATGAAATTTTTGCAAGGGTCCTTTTTCACCTAAAACTGCACTCCTAGAACTATTGAGACCTACAAACGGGCTAGGTGATGACCTCACAAAATCGATTCAAGATTTCTTCATTTGGATGGTACACGTTGCTAAATGATATAAATGAACAGTTCAATAAGGTCATTAGACTATCGCAATCGCAACTACTTGAATCTAAACAAATAAATGACGGCAGTTTCTCCACACCGAAGGGCTCTGTTTTTCCCTTCATTATACCCTATGACAACCGCACCATTCATATCCGTGAAATTCTCAAGAAACACTGGAATATTATAACAAAGGATAAAGAATTACAAAACATATGGTCAAAAACCCCCATTCTCGCCTTACAAAGGCACAACAACCTTGGAGATTGGTAAACTCATACTAAATTTTGAGCATCATATGACATTGTAAGATGCCTCGATACCACACCATCAACACTATTATTATGTCACACCCAGCTCCAATGCTTTTTCTATTCGCGATTTATCTGCATAAACAGGATATCCCAATTTTATAACCATTTGTCTATATATGCAATATATGCAAACAATCTTTTGGTGGTACAAAACTTGTAAATGGCTTTGAAAAAAGCAAACATTTAGTAAACTAAAGCTTTTCGTCTGACACTCTTCAGAGTTTAAAACGTCAGAACATAGATCGAAAACTCTACGCTGAAAATATATATAACCCAGTTGTGGATCGAAATAGGCCATCAGAAACACGAGCACATGACTGTAAAGGTTGACCAATCAGTGCCGCTTGCCTATTAGAATGTTACCGATGGAGTCCTAAGGTGAAAACGAACTCCTTTTGTCTACACAGTAGTGGTTTTGCAATGCAATATACAATATACACATATGTACACATATGCAATATACTTCTACATTCAAAGGATGATACATGCCTCTATGGCTACAATACACATATTTTATATACACTGCTACAACAAATTGACACACCTTTGCTGGCATCATCCCTGGACGCAGGGGTGAGGGGGCACCCAGGTGTAAAAGAGCATATTGATCATAAGCCCCGAAATGCTCTGCCTGGTGGATTAGCTGAGGAGCTAGCAAGGACTCATAATCACAGAATATATATAAATATATATTTATATATTTATATACACATATAACACTCTATATGAAAGAGAATAAACAGTATAGAATGCCTATGCTGAAACACGCCCCTTTAATGCGGGTACAGTACTTCAATAGCACACTGGCTCCCAGATCTCGTTCGGCAAAAGGCTGTGGGACAACGCCCAGTACAGCAGGGCAGCGGTTGGTATTACAGTATTTTTTCTTAGTTTTCTGACAAGCTGAGCTTGTTATTTGTATGGTTTCAAACAAACACAACGACCAGTGCATTGCGTACGGCAACACCTGTGACGCGTTTGGCTGATTCTAGGAAAACCAAGATATCTTCACGAAAAATTTCTCTTCACAAATATTGATAAGACAGTCTACAGAAACTGGGCGTGAAATATTGATAAGACTGTCTACAGATTGGAAGCGTGAAAATCGATATTTTCAGAAATGAATTGTGCGATGTCCCTATTTCCCATTTTATTAGCCGCAGTAAAAAGCTTTCCAAAGTTTGCATCAGGTCCATAAGCTTGCATCCATTCACTTAACATTGCAACTGCTTTGGCCTGCGGTTTAGCATGTGCGTTGTTGTCACATCTAATGTTATCAATCTTGGTTTTACAATCCAAATCTTTTGGCCATTCCAAATTGCGCGCGAAATTTTCCCAGCAAGAACCCAGTTTTTCTCCAATCTTGTCCACAAGCCCCATATCTAAGAGTGAGAAAAATGAAAAAAAACTCCAACATCTCATAAATTTTCTCTTAAAACAGAAGATAACTTGTCAATAGCATTTAAAGATAAGGCATGCAAACCTGTCACAGATAAGTCACAATTCTGAGTGACTTCGGCTGTTTGCTAAATCCAAATAAACTTCATATTTCTGGCGAAATTTTGGCCTATACACCAATTTACTGACAGAGAATTAGATCAGACAATATCTATCCTGTCACTTTTTATAAGCAGACAATACTGTTCCTTCAACACAAATTTGGTGGAACTCTAACAAAACAACATTAAATATGTTTAATACATAAAACAACAACTAGAATCGACACACTGGTAACGAGGGTGATACAACCATGCATGAACAGTACGGGCACCTAAAAAGGATAGGAACTGACTGTAAAATGGCAATGTGACGGCGACATAGCAAGTAGAACTGAGAGATAGGAGGCCAATAGGACGCCCTTGTATGAGGTTGATGGACAATATCACAATCTTGAACGAAGTTGATGGAAAACATCAAGCAAGACATGAAGAGACTTGGTCCTAGAGAAGAGATGTCCAAGACGCTATTCTTGCGCTGGCGGGAACGTGAACGTGCTAGAAGTGTAGGAGGGGGGAGATTAGGAATCCTGCGCGCAGAATCAACTTGTTTTTCCAGATAAGAAAACAGTTGAATGGAAAATTTTGAATTTTCCTCTACTGGGAATAAAAAACCTAATTCTTCAATCCAACTAAATTCGTTTTTGGAAAAACCAGTCCGGTCTGCGCGCAAGATATTAATAAGATTTAGATATACATCGGCTCGTAGAAGCGACTATAATTTATGCATAAAAATTCATTCAAATAAAAACAGGAACATGAAAAAGCCTATGACCAAGTAGAAGCAAAGAGCAAAAACAAACAACGACTGACTTGCTGACCTCTTTCACCTCAGCTTACTTTTCATCGAAAGAGATGAACTTTACCTTACAGGCTACAAGAATGTGCTTTATGAATTATACTGACGAAGATATGAGTTATACTGGCGTGCCGTAGACCCTTTCGTGTATATACAGGTTGCAAAGGAAAATTTTTCATGATTGTTGGGCATCTTGCTTGGGAAATGGGACTGTCGTTTTCTGGAAATTTGCTGGGCTGCAACGAGCATCGATTTGATTCCTTAACAGTTGAGAAGAGAACATTAGTGCACTAGGATGGGAGATGATTTTTGAGGATAACATAGAATTGGCTACTGGCTTACAGATAAGCTTTTACAATTTACAATAAGTGAAGATGAAGGTATTTTGTCTGGGAAGGCACTCCAACAAGAAGAGTATTTTACCATCTAGGGGTGCTTCGTCGGCAAATAAAGGATGGCCTGCCCACCTTGTCGGTGAATGGAAGTTGGAAACACCCCTTTGGAAAAATATCTAGCGACGGCCCTAGACAGAGTTGTGGATTTTTCGCCAGAATTTCGGAGCATAGATAAGAGACAGAATAACAAACGGAGAAATTCAGCGAGGTTGTGCAGTTTTGGGCGAGGGGATAAATTAGGGAGGAAGAGCAACAATCTGTATAAGGTGCTATTTGTGATTTCGAGGAAAATAGTCTTGAGTGAAAGTGAAAAGTGAACAACAACCTTGCATACAAGTCATTAAAATGCACGTATGAAAGACAGATAAAAGGCTACGATCTACGCAACTCTGACTTAAAAGTGTCAGATAACATGACAGCGAAATTGGGGAAACCTAACATTTATCATTTGGGGCAAAAATTGTGGTCAAAGCTACATCAAGACATTAGAAATTGCCAAAGTTTACAAATTTTCAAAATCAGACTTGACGAATAAAGAACATTTCAATGTTACTTACTTTTAGCTGTAAAAGCTGTAAATTATGCAATTAGTTTTTTTATGTAATCTTAGCAAACTTTTTATTTTAAGATCTTACTCGAAAACGAACGTATACAATATATTTGCAAAATAATTTTGCTGCAAAATAACAGAGATTCATTTTTCATTAAAAGCATTGCTACCTATTGACTGTTTTTACATACCTTTTCTTCGTTGATAAAAACCTTTTCAGGGCAAGATTACTTTAAGAACTGAGGTAACATGTTGAAAAGACAAGATCTTTACTCCAACGTTTACTGAGAGTCAAAACATTACTTTTTCATAATGTAGGAGGGGTTGCAACACCCCCTTTTTTTAGTCAGCCATTGCATAGATAAAGATAGCATTTCCTGACCTCATACCTTTTTATGCAATTTCGAAAATCGACTAACATAAAACTAGGAAGGTGTCCCAGTTAAATTTATGGATAAAAATACAAATCATTTAACTTACTTTTTGCGATTGGGACATTCAAATGAGTTTCTTCAGAGCCGGTAACAGATAGTACAATCTTCTCCTGATTGCAAAGATTGCAATATTTCAATAAACTTCAAAACAAGTGTAATAATAAAACAATTGTTTAAAATTATGGACGTAATCAATAAATGATCATCGTCAGAACATTGACATTCAGATTTATGTAATCCACCAAGGGAACAGGGAAGAAAAAATAAAGTTATTTGGATAAAATTAATGCATTTATTTAGATAATTCAAATTATTTACCTTTCCTTAACTATAGCTCTTACTTCCCTAAAAAGGCAAACATCTCGTATGAAGTATCTCTGGAAGTTAGGCAATGAATGAAAAGTTTCATAGGATGTATAATTACCACAGAAGAGGAAGGTTTGTAATACAGATCTTGGTTTGGGTGAGAACCGGCTAGGCAAGTCATGCAAGGCTCCTCTCCCAATGGTGCAAAGAACATTGGCTTGTTGCCATCGATGTCATCATCCTGGAAACTGACCGATATATTTTTTGACCAGTTTCCTACTCTAAGGCAGAATTCAGGGCATTGTACCAAAAATTGGAATTTTTGATGATTGAATAAATCGCTGCAAATCTCACATAACGTCTCTTTAAGCTTCTGTATCAGCACTTCGCTGTTCCCTCTAAAAAGCAAAATAGTTAATCGGATAAGAATGCAGTTGTCTTGAATTATCTTAAAACATGACTGAACATGCATATGTAAGCTTCTCGTGCAAAACTTTCTACATTTCTGGAAGAAAGCGATAAGGCATAGCTTTAGCTGTTACAATTGTTTTTTTATCAGGGTAGCAATAAGGGACAACGAAATCTTCAAAATACTCGAGGCATCCCATTCCTTCTACTTGCCTCAACTTTTTTCGTAAATAAATTTGCGCTTATTCTGTTTAGGCTGTTGATTTTCATGTGTATTTCTTGAACTGCCAACGCTGTAAGATTGTTCATTACGAAATCGTCAGCGCTGGGCGCTTGCTTTGCGATGTTTAATAACCCTTGGCAATTGAATGTTCCAAAACGTTCATATCTTCTTGACGGGTTTTTCGTGTCGTGCTTTTAAGCGTTCTTGGCGGTCATCTTACCACGAAAATTCAGGAGTCTGCCGGCCACCATCTTTTCAAAGAAAATTCTAGCATTTGGATTTATAGATTTAAGTGCTTAGCAAAATTAAAATGATACTAATAGCACTGCAAATATGATGCCTGTCATGTCTGCAATATGCCTACCCCACTGCCCCGGATAACATCACCCTTCGGTAGACACAGCACATAGCTTCACTTATAATACTGGCTCTTTATGGATTTCTACTAGATTGATATATACTTGGTAAATTAGTAACACAAATGCATTCTACGACAGGCAACATATCGGATTGAAGTAAAACTATTTTTTCCAATACGTTGGGTTAAACCATAATGTACTTAATGTTGTGTCTTTTCTATTTATTTTAGCTTTAGTTAAGCTTTTAGCAGTAACTTAATTCGTGTTTTTGAATATTTGCTCATTGCTCCCAGTTAACCAGCCCTGTGTAAATTTTACCATTGCTCCCATCCGAGGGGTTATAATGAGTAAAAAATATGATATGAAATGAAAACACTTCCAACAGATGCAAGCAATTTCATTTCACTTTTTTCTGTCGGCAATTTTTTACATCCTTAGTCTGAAGTCAGGACATAAACATTTGTCAACCTTTCTAAGCTACGACACGCATACCCAAGCATGAAAATGCAGTAAGTTATACGCACCGCACTTTACAACGAATATGCCCGTTGGCTGGATCATAGATCAAGCGAAAAGCTTTCTCATCGTAACAGAAAATGGCATCAAATTTACTTGGCTCCGAAAGCTTGCAGAACCCATAGACTCTTGCAAGGAGCTGCCAGTAAACATCCTCCGATACAAAGCCAAAGAAATCAACAAGAAGAAGGCCAGTTTGTCCATGATGCTCAAAACGCTTCCATTTATCGCTCATGTTATCTTCCACCCGGTTGTTCTCCTGACCATTCACATCGCATTCCACCAAGATGTTGAATAGAACCATAACTCCAATCAACTTGTCAAAAGGTGGATGCCTATTTTCAAACAGCTCCTTCAAACCTTTGCGTGAAATCCTTGATTCCTTTGCAAGCCGAACTTTGTATTCGTGCATCTTTCTTTCTGGATCAGAGGTTGAAAATTTCCAAAGATGGCCAATTGCTTCCATGACAGGCTCCAAGTTCACAATAGCCATTTTTTCAAGCGACAAAGGCCGTTTTTTTAACTTCATTAATTCTAAAAAATATAAAAAACAACTTTAGCCCTAAAAACTCAATGTCAAAGAACAGTATAATAATTCCTTTCATTACCCAAGTTCAATAAGCAGTTTAACCATGATTCAACATAGATATTTTATCTTAATTTCTTGGCAGTGATGAACATAACGCAATATCGCTACAAACTGAAGCCTATAACGCGGATCCTTAACGTGCTCCACCACCTTAACGAGGCGTCGCAACTCTGTCAAACTTTCATGACAGGATACACTTAATGACAAGTCCACAACAAACTACTTCTACACGTGACACTTCATTTTCATCTATCTCCAAAATCTAATTTTTATATTTTCTGTAATTTTTTGTCAAGGTACCTCTTGTGCATTATGATCAGATTGCAAAGTTACAGAAAGTATAATGGCAAATATTTCGCCAAAAAATTAACTTTTCCTGCTATAAGAGTTCAGTATAGAAATTATGAAAATTGCCCTGGTCTTCAACTAACGCCAAAACATTGCCGTTGTCATATGTCACTAGTAACGTATTGATGGTCTTCAGAAACTGTAGACGTTTGATGTCATCTGTCTCCAGGAGTTTTACAGAATAGTCCCTACTCTACTAAAATGTTTAGGAAATTGCACTCCTTGGAAAAGTGACACTTTATTTTGTTTCATCTGCAAACTCCGATTTTTATATCTGGGTAATGGTAATGACGGGGAGCAATGACATATTGAAGTTTAGGATATGTCTAATTGATTTTGATGCAAACAAACTTCAGATAGGAGAATCTATTCACATAGACATAATGCATAGATAACAAGCTTTTCTGAATTTATAAACTTTTTGGTAATGTCAACTTTTTCATTGTTGTAAAATTTTCATGACCAGCATTTTTGTAATACAACGCTGATAAGAGAATTATTAGACTGATCCACATCTAAAAAGATTTTTGTCACTCTTTTGAAAAATTGGAAAGATTCACTGTAGAATTTAAGTTATCACTTTTCAAGGGCCTGGCTAAAATTGAAAAATATTTTCCCTGGCAAAACTGGAAGAATCACAAATGCTATCTATAATCTCTTAAAGTGCATATGACACGAAAATTTTTATTCGCTTAAATCATCAAAGAAACATCGCTACGTAACGGTGGTGAACTTAGTTTTTTCATTTGCGACTTACTTTCCCCGAAAAACGGGGTTTTCCAGCAGCCACTCGAGCTAAAATGTGTCACAACAAAAACGCGGTCGAACCTGTGGTCACGTGACCCCTGTGACGTAAAGTGCTTGTGTATCCGTTGAATAGAACATGGCTTCTGTATGGCTTCACCATGTGCGGGCACTACTGTTGTACCCCTAAAGATTTTTTTCCTCCATAATTGTAATAAGTTTTATTTAGATAACTCAAGCAATGCCATCAAAGGTCGGAAAGTAATTAAGAAAATTTTTTTGGTTCATTATAAAATTGATAAAAATTGAAATAAAGTGAGCCGGCTATGGTCCTAATTTCGCAACTCAGAATGTTATCATATGGCCAACCCAAGTTAGTTTGCAAGAAAAGCTTATTCAAAAACATGATAATTAGAAAACTTTTACTATAAAACAGGTAAGTGCGTTACGGTAAACCATTGTGCATCACTTTAGGGAACAAATACCCCCTTGAGGAAGATACCGTTGTGCTCGACTGCCATCCTGGAAAACCTGCCCCAACAGAAGTTCGCCGCTTGGTATTACTTATTAAAAATGCAGCGTGAAGCTATCGAGCCATCATCTTATTCAAGAGCACCTTTTTCCGACTGATTTTCCCCGTACATTTCCCTCTCCTCCTGGTTTGACACCGAAAACACCAAAACATTTTTTCGACGTGATGATCTACCTTCAGTTCGCAAACCAAAACAAGACAAAGAACGAAGCAAGAATGAAAAAAGCATGGTGAGTAATATGATTCCTATTTTTTTTATAACTGCCTAACAACATTATATTGTGTAACAGCTGAGATACGTTATTGGTAATGACTCGACAACACCGAGGGCACTCATTTTATGAAAAAGGGGCTCTTTGCCTTTCTGTGTGGGGTCCATATCATCGTTTTTAATACATAAAAATAACCCAAATATTCAATTTTTAAGTTATTTTTTTAAACCATTTAAACAAATGTAAACTACTTCAATATTTTATACAAAAGCGAAAAAGGTTTTGGAAACTCAAAAAGCAGGGGGTTGGAAACTCAAGAAATATTTAACAAGCAGGGAAATGATATTCTATGGGATAAAGATGCAAAATGCAAGTGAGAATCGATTGACAATAAACAGAAGTCATCAAGTAACAAAACATGATATAAAAACTTTCAATTAAATCACGGACTCAGTCGTTTCTGTATAACAGAAATAGTGGTCTTTGACCTGGTCAGCCTTGGTCAAAGACCAAAAAATTAATCTTGGATCATGTTTGTTGTTAAATGTAAACATTGAAATTTGTGTTCCTCGTTCTTCACAGGCAAGCAGCGTTAACGGAAGCTCTGCACAGATGGAGTTGCTTTGGCATCAACAAGGTTTTGAATCTCTCAGAAGTTCTGGAATTGAAGTATCTACGTTTGTCTCCGACAGACACCAAGACTGTATGCCATTGCACAGAGATACCTATTGAACAAAAACATTGTATGACTTAATATAATGGTTGATTTGAGTTTCTCTTACATTCTTTAGAATCGACAGGATCATAACATTACATATATATATTATATGTATATGGTAATTGGTATACTCTTTTCTGCTAGATTTAATGAAAATAAAATATTAAATTTGCTAATTCCAAGAATTGAAGGTGCCAAACAGAATTTGTATTTCTAGACAGATTAACTTCTTCTTCATTCGCCCATACAACGCGATAGGCTAGGCCGCTATGATCAGGGAATGGTGGCCTAAAAACAGCAGAGATGGACAGGGAATACTGAATTTATAACACTAAAAAACACAATGACAACTTATTTCACTCACCATTGACTCAAAGTAAAAATTCCTCGCCATCGATCAGGCAGTTCGGATTGTTGTGTTCCACCTTCGTCCTCTGCCCGGTCATGAAAGCTTCGAGCCATGCCAACTTCGCCTGGTTCCGCGTCTGAATTATTCGCAGAAAAAAGACTGGTTCGTTCTTCCAAGGCAAAAATAGCCCATCAGCAGCACCTAAAAGCTATTCCCCTTCACTTTCGTCAAAAGCTGACGCCCTCGAGCTTGAATATTTGCCGTGAGACATGTTCGCAAACTTGCAAGTAAAACTCCGCCGTATAATTTCTTGTTAGTTAGCAATCTAAATTTTCACCAACACAACTACTTTACGTCACTTCCTGTCAAACTCGACCCAATCCCTTGTGACAGAATTTGATGCAAAAAATCGACCTTGAAACAGCTGTAATTACGAAAGTGTTTGTTTTTCGAAAATTTTTTGGTGATTTTCCTGATCAGAATACTCGATTACGTCTTTGGGGCGAATAAAAATTTTCGTGTCAAATGCACTTTAAAGTAATATATTTATGGCATTCCTTGCCAAATCTTTGACAAAGCATTTCAAAGTAGAAAGTTCTAGAATCTTCATTTAAAAGTTAGCAAAAAATATAAAATTTACATACCTGGAAGACAGATAATTTTATTTTCATGAAGGTGTCTTAATAGACCTTCTAATTGAGTTTCATCGCCTAAACAGCGACTTTCCTTCAGTTTATCTATCAAAACATCCTTTGCAATGGCAAAAATTTTACCATCATTTCGTACCTGCTTGTGAATAAGATTTTCACACACCAGCCATCCAATTTTGGGATCACTGCTAAGAATGTCCTTAGCCTCTTTTTCAATACATCTTTTTAATACATCTACACCTTCATGGCCCTTGCTGTTCTCTATAGGAAACAGGATACAGTGTTCATTCTTTGCTAAATATGACCCGAAACCTTCATATAGTTCTTTGTGTAAAAATTTCTGTGCGTCGTCAATCTTATCAGACTCAAAACCGTCCATGTGTGTTGCGATAAGAAAAACAGGAGGCTTGTGTTTGTTGTAAGATGCAACAGAGGTCAGCCAGTGCTTTAGTTTTTCCAGGTTCTTATACGGATCTTTATTGTGCTCGCGAAAATCAAAGCAAAGGAGGTACATAGAATTGGCACTGGCAAAGATCCGGAACATTTTCTGGCAGGGTGAATCTCCAGGGAAATGCCAAATTTTGGTAATTTGAATTAAATTTGATGTTGAAGTGTTGTCCGGTACAGGTTCCTGTGGGACAAATGGTCTGATCATTTGCATTTAAATCTTAAAGCAATTACACTAAACAGAAACTTAATTGCAAGATATTGGTATAATATTTTGTAATTCGTAAGGTGAACTGAAGAAAGTACTTAGTGTTTTTTCAAACATAACCCAACATAACCTTCACAGAACAATCATTGTTGAACCTACAACTCTTGTATGCAAAAATAACAGAACACAGGTATACATAATTACTGAAACAGTTTGTGTCTATATACTACAATTGAAGGGGCATCTACCTGACAGACCTACAGAGGTACAGGTAAAGTCCGCTCTAGTTAGTCTCTAATTCCGTTATTAGTCATAAAATCCAAATATAAATACATATGAAACGGATGAGTAAGCTTTATACCTTATTACATGAAAATAGCAAGAGTCCTGGAGTGTGATGTAAGCAAAAATTCTTTTTTAAGAATATTTCAATTATGAAAAAATGAACTGAAAGAGCAAGTGTTTTTAAAGTTGTTTAAAATATGGCCAAATGAATTAGAGGTTTTTCAACAGACCAATGAAACTTTGATTTGGTTCATAAATCTATGAACATATGATCACAGATCAAGCGATTGGCTTGGTAAAGAGCATGTGCGAAAGTGGTCATATTTCAGCCGATTTTTAACACAATGGAATGATTCTGTACTTTTCGATGGGATATTACACGATGCTCCTTCAAGTTATGTGATCAAAATTCGAAAATTCAAAAAATATATTATTATGTCATCACAGAAGGACTCTATTTATGCGAATACAAATAAATGCAAAGGGCAAAGATGTTTTCTCAGGCCTGAGTTCACGGTACCGGGTTTGGTTTACTCCAGATTTGTTTTTACTTCGGATAGGGGTTTCAGCTACAAAAAGCTGAGGCAATCCGAAGAGCTTCACCAAGCCAGATATGAGTGGGGAAAGTCTCTTCGCTTTGGAGTTGAAGTGAAAATCAACCCTAAATACTCCGCTTAGCATCTTATCCCGTGTAAACAGTCAATCGCCTACACAAGTCGCCTCTTTACCTCCCATCTTGTTCAAAAAAGTGCGCACTTAATCCCTCCCATTCTATACCCACGTATAAACAATTAGGCCCCGTTTCCACGATACCGGATTCACTTCATATTGGAGTCGTTTCATAACAAATAGGCGTTCTGTTTACACGATAAGGACCTAATCCGACATGCTTTCACCCCGATTTTGCGCTCCATTTCGAAAAGTGGTATGTAGCCATACCGATATGTATCGGATGGGGCAGAGAATTTGTGTAAACGCTCGAATCCGTTATCAACTTGCTCCGCAACCTCATTAAAAAACTCTGTGGTCTCGACCCCACGTTTGGCGTGCTTTTTCAACAACTTGTGGTTTCATCAAAGAAGAAAACAAAATGGATGCTGATAAAATGAAGTTTTTTCCTACCACAATGAAAGGACTTGAAAGCATTTTTCATATAACTACCCACCATATTTATCTTATTTCAAGTTATTGCTTAACTTTAAGAAGAGGGCGGCTTTTGAGAACACTTTCTTTGACTTAAACGAATTTTCAGCCCAGAACTTCTTTCACTTTCTTTCCCGCCCCTTCCACTTTTCTCTGCTTCAGTGCACCCCGCAGTGCGAAGTAACCGTTTCGTGTAAACAGGAGCCCTATCTGGTATGAAACCAATTCGATACGGTGCAGCCAATCCGATATGAAGTAAATCCTGTATCGTGTAAACGCAGCATCTCAGATAGTCTAAAATCGATTTGGGTCTACCAAAATATGTTATCGGATAGAGCCATGAAAATGAAATAATGTGATTAAAGGGATAACAACTGATTAGATAGAAGGTACATATGATAAGCAACGAGCCTTTGGTATAATACTGTCTTGGTAATTTCCACCACTTTCTTCGCAACCATTAATCGGTTGAATCTGCATACGTTTAAAGCAGTCATCCAAGATCTTCACGATGACATCCTCCTCATTCCAGTGATCGTTTATTGTTACAGTGCGAGACTTTTTGGCTCCTATTAAAGAAAGGAAGATATTTCAGCTACACGCCATCTCGTCGAAAAAGAGTGCCGCTCTTATACTCTGTATCTTTCAATGCCAAAAGAAAGGTATACCTTAAAGGTTTCATTCGCTTATGAATACGTCAAGAATAATACGTCTTTTGCATTCATATCTCATAAATAAAATTCACGAAAAGTGCTCTTGGGCAACGATGAGACAGAATTGAGATATTCTTACACAAATGCGCTGTCAAATATGCAAATGGAGAAAATTTACAACGGTATCACACTGTTATTTTACTTGTCTCACGAAATAAAGAAGACGATTTAAAATTCTATGACAGTCCTACTGGTTATCAATTGTCACGCCTCTCCTCTCCCCTGAAAAAATCTGTTCGCGTAGCAAATAAGTCATGAAAGAAAGTCACAAAAGACTTTGCATTCTCTAATAGACAAATTTCAAATTTCTAATTTTCAAAGGACCGTAATTACGTTACCCAGACCTGCCATAACTTCTTTTTTTGCACAAGGCTTTAAAGTTTTGGCAAATAAGCCGGGGGAGAATGTGCACTGCTTTTTAAACTGAAAATTAACTTCCAATGATAAACAAACATCGAATCACACCCTTAGCTGTATGTCCATCCGGGACAAACTCTTTTCCACAAAGTGATTCCACGAGACTCGACGTTTCTGCAGTCGTCGGACCCAACACAAACAAATCCACATATCTGACAGGTTGTGGTTCTGAAAGTATTTTTTTGACTTCGTTGTCTTTGAGAGCATTAAAAGAGTTTGTAATTTCTTCTGTGCCAAAAGAATCATCACTTTCCTGTACTGGAACACATGCTGCAACGATGAACAAAGTGTCAATATTTTCAATCAAAGTAACGCTAAATACTCGAAGTCGTTTGGTGAATAAGATCAAAGCAAAATATTGTGACGTTGTATTCTCAATGGCTATCAGCCCTGGCATGTCAAATAACAGACAAAGAGAAAACAAAAAACAGTAAATGTTTGTTGCCATGAGAATGCATGACTTAACCATGAGAATGCACGACTTAACATAACTGCTTGCTGTAGAATATCTTTATAATATAACTTAATTAGAAAATTAGCTTTAGAAAAGACTTGTAGTTGAAAAGAATTTGTTATTAAAACCGTTTTCTAAAGCTTCCTTTCCTTTTGTCTTTTCTTGGATTATAATCTTTTTTAACCAATTACCGAACAAAACAACTTTTTTAACAATTACCATCTTCACAGGCGTAAATCTTAGCCTTATACCCCTAGCAACTAAGCTGAGTAAAACTAATTAGGAATTGCCATCATTCAGATTTTAAAGTCAAGGTAAAGGGTGAAAACCCTTAATAATAGTTAGTTGAACGATTGAATTACTCACTGAAATCGTCAGTGTAACTGACAGGTCCTTGTTGCCTTATACCTTGTTCTTCTAAATTGCTACCTAGTAAAATAAAAAAGATCAATTACAATAGAATGCTAAAATTTCCTATCTCCAAATACATATATATAGATATCAAGTCCAAAATAGTAAGAATTACTATTGTCTAAATCTCAAATCAACATTCTTCTAATATGCAAAATATTTAAGTCCTTCAGGAAAGATATCCTTTTAAACTACAGGTATTTTAAAACGAAGAAAGAAAAATTTCCAAAAACAAACAAATGAAGAATTAAGTTTCTTACTTCTTTCATCGATCTGATAGGCAAGCGTCTCTGAATATAAAATGTTTTTCTCTTTGTGGCAACTTTTTATATTGGTACCTAGTAAAAAATTCTATGTTTAAAATCCAAAGTTCTTACATCCACTGCTAAATTCTTCTTTATATACATAAACAGAATGTATGGTTTAAAACTTCTGGGCTCGATTCACTTTTCTCTGAATCTGGATTTCCTGAATTGGCATCAAGTAAAAGCAAAAACTATATGTACCACCAAAAGCCATTCTCTCTAGCGATGATTGAGGTCAAATATACATAGATAGACATTTGAACAGTAATGTTAGAAATTGCAACATTCTGAATTTGATATCAACCACCTTCCACTGTACAAAGATTAAAGTCTCTTGGAAGAGATATTCCTTTTTAAACTACTCGTATTCAAGTTCTGAGAAAGAGAAGATTCGAAAACATTAAATAAACAATTACGTTTGTTGCTGTTTGCATCAGCAAAACTGTCAGGCATCTCTGAATTCGAAACTACATGATCTGCACCTTCTGAGTTCGATTCACTTTTCTCTGAATCTGGATTTACTGAATTGCCACCTAGTAAAAGCAAAGACTGTATGTACCACCAAAAGCCATTCTCTCTAGCGATGATTGAGGTCAAATATACATAGATAGACATTTGAACAATAATATTAGAAATTGCCACATTCTGAATTTGATATCAACCACCTTCCACTGTACAAAAGATTAAAGTCTCTTGGAAGAGATATTCCCTTTTAAACTATTCGTATTCAAGTTCTAAGAAAGAGAAGATTCGAAAACAGTAAATAAACAATTACGTTTGTTGCTGTTTGCATCAGCAAAACTTTCAGGCATCTCTGAATTCAAAACTACATGATCTGCACCTTCTGAGTTCGATTCACTTTTCTCTGAATCTGGATTTGCTGAATTGCCACCTAGTAAAAGCAAAGACTGTATGTACCACCAAAAGCCATTATCTCTAGCGATGATTGATATCAAATATACATAGATAGACATTTGAACAGTAATGTTAGAAATTGCAACATTCTGAATTTAATATCAACCACCTTCCACTAAACAAAAGATTAAACTCTCTTGGAAGAGATATTCCTTTTTAAACTACTCGTATTCAAGTTCTGAGAAAGAGAAGATTCGAAAACAGTAAATAAACAATTACGTTTGTTGCTGTTTGTATCAGCAAGACTGTCAGGCTTCTCTGAATTCGAAACTACATGATCTGCAACTTCCGAGACTATAGGTATTAAAAAAATTTCCAAAAAGAATCAAATAAAAAACTACATTTCTTTGTAGTTATGTTACTGTCAGACATCACTGAATTCAGAGTTTGAGTACAGAGTTTTAGATCATTAAAAGAAAGTTAAACATAGATTAATTCACTGAATGTTTCATCACCTTGAATGTCAGACATCATTGATTCCAGGTGTATAATCTGCACTGCCAAAGTGATATCAATCTTAACCTGACTATTGCTTTTTGTTACTAGTATCTAATAAAGTAAGATAACATTTAATATCAAGATCAAAGGATGATATACATAGGCATTGAGTTAAGCAACAGTAGTAAAAATCAATATCCTGAAATTTGAAATTATAGGATGTGGCAGAAAGTTTGCTACAAGCCAATTGGGCCGTCAATTTCTGGAGCTCACTATGGGATAAATGTATTGGCTTGGTTTACCTTCCTGGTCAAAAATAACATACTACAGCTCTGGCTGGAAATACCTTATAAATGGGCACATTGTCCAATCTCACAGAGTGAGATTTCCATTTAAGTTGTCGTTCATAATATATTGAGAGACAGCATGAAGGGCCGTTGTTGATATGTGGCAATAATTGAAAGGCAGATACCATAACGCCAAATACTTGATCATGATTCTCCATTGCATAGGCAAGTAAAACAAAATAATGTCTGTATTTATTCAAATTCGCTATTTATATTGAATATTGGAGCCCCAGGCCTCCCCTTCCCCTTTCTTTCCACCCTCCAGCAAGGCTACCTTACTTTCTTCATTGAGATGCTGGAATTTGAGCAAATTTCAAAGTGATGTTGTTTTTTTTATAGATCACCTCGTAAGATTTGAAGCAGTCCATGCATTTGTTTGCATTTGAATTAATAGGTTTTAGTAATTCTCGAAAAGTATAAGCAATGACATATATTGAATTATCGCTTACACACATATTAAACAGGCTGGGACTCAGCATAGACCCTTGTTGTACACCTTGTCTAGATTCTACAATACTTTATGACTCTGAACAAAACGAGGGAGATAAAGATTAAAAAACAAAAACAAACACTCCTCGAACTTTTTTAATAGCAAGCGCTTAGTTAAATGTGAACAAATGGCAAAGACGTTTTTTACGTTTTGATTACAGGTCGAGCACACAAAGAAATCAAAAAGCAAATAAAAGATTTTGGGTACCTAAATTTTACTGAAAGCAAGAAAGCAAAGGAGCTTACAGAAATCCGGTTATAGATCTACAATTATTGGACGACCAACTATTTTTTACCTATTTTCGTACGACGCCTTTTGAGCAATTTTTGTCTATGGTGGTTCCATATTTAGTGAAGGAATCGAAGTTTCGTCAACCAATTGCCTGTGAAAGTTCCGCCTCTTAAACACTTTGTTTCTGGTGATTCGCATGTATCAGTTGGCAAAACGAAACGACATACAGCGAAAAAGCGAACAAAATTCGCCCGATGGAGATTGGCCGTTACAATAATCTCAGGCTCATTATAAAAATTGAGGCTCAGCAAAAAGCTACGAGTATTGAGGCTCAGCAAAAAATTACGAATTTTTATAAAAAAAGGTGTGTAGTACCGCTTTTCTCAATGCCACGCCCTTCAGTCTCCCGGAGAACAAGGGAAACGCCCTTTTCAGGTACAATTGTTGAAAAGTTTTTTAAGAATTTTTTCAAGAATGTGCAAAAAGAATTTACATGAATCAAGGACGTGTGGACATCTCTCTGCGATTAACACACAGGCGTTGATTCCGCATAGTAGCTCTCTTGCATTGGAAATAGATCTCGTTACTTTATTACGGGCCCCATCGGAGCACGGGCCCCGGACCTTGCTCGGGCAATATTCCAATAGCCTTTTAAGCCAGCCTTGAAAATATTGCCACAAAAGACTTCGATGTTACCCGTAAACATAATCTGAATCCGCCCCTGCCGGGAGGCCTCTGAAAACATTTTGGAGGCACTGCTTACAACTATCATTGTAGCCAGGCTTTATGTAGCAGCCTTTTATAACCTTTCTGGAATCTCTATTCAGGGGCGGTGCAAAGAAATTCAAAGCGAGGGGGCTCGAGTTGATAACATTATAAAATGCAATGAAATGCTTCACGAAATTTTATGCCTATGATTTTATAGGGCACTCGTTATGCTAACGGTACAATCAGTGGCGTACCCAGGGCTCTAGCAGTGGGGGGGGGGGTCTGCGGCGCGGGCCCCAGAAATTTTTTGGACCCCGCCCTTCAAACACTCGCAAATGCGGGGAAACGCCCTTTTTGCAAATTTTCCCCAATTATTTGATTCATTTTAGCTACGGTAAATAGCAAAGTATTTTACAATTGTTATTGACACAAGCATACAGTATACTACCCCCCCCCCCCCCCCAATGAGTTTTACATCGTTTTTGGACAATACTCGAGGACCATATTTTAGAAAAGTGGGGGGGGGTCCGGACCCCTCTATTCCCCCCCTTGGGTACGCCACTGGGTACAATGGAAGGCGGGGGAGAGGTTGTCGGAGGCCTTAGGAATATCCAAAGATGAGACTTCCTTGCGAGCGAGGCGAGCAGAGAATTTTTGCAACCACACACTCTAGACTAGCTTAAAATACATTTCAGAATATTCCTTGCGGTCACTTTTTTGAAAACATTTTGCTATTTTTAAGGCATGGTTTTTACATTTGATTAATTCCAGTCTTGTTATTAGGGTGCCCCTTAAACAGGCTTCAAACCTTATAGAATGTTTGTTAGGGTGCCCCCTTAGACAGGCTTCCCCCACAATACTTCCTACGTCCCTGAAATCAAGACGTTTTTTTAATCAAGAGGTTTTCATGTAGCATGCTATTTCTATTCGATGCATTTAACGCACCGACTGATTGGAAATTTGTCCAAGTGGGCCCTTTGGCTTGTCCTGGTGGGCCTTTTTGAATCCCCACTAGTTGAAGTCCTTAAAAAATATCCTGAAGACTTGGCTTGAATTGATTGGCTTGAATTTATTTTTATGAGCCAGTACTTAAAGCTTCTTAAAGATTTGAGTGATTTGAGTTTGTAATGATATCCTTATTGCGACCCTGGTGAAATCTGAAATTTCGAGTTTTTGAAGCCTTTTTGAAGCCAAGTTGCTTCTCTTCAGAAGTCCCAACAATAGAACGAAATGAATCCTTTAGCTGTAAAGACTTTTGTCATACAAATGTACCCAAATGTAGAACTCAGTTCCAAACGAAATAAGTACTCCCCAACTTTACGAATATTCAAGAAAAAATCTCAGAATTTTCATCCTTCAATCGTACTTTTGATTTTTGCAAGGAATAAGCATGCAACATCAGTTGAATTTGATTTAAATCATATTCAGCGTTGATAATTTGAATTAATTGGCTTTATTTAGCTTGATATAGCTACAGATTGTACCAACTCTGATAGTCCAGAGGGACAAGGGGGAGCATTACCACCCGACGAGGGACTTTACCAAACCAACTTGTTTTTGGTTTGGGTAACTAGACCAGTTTTTGGTGTAGAATTCAAATCTGGATGTTAATAGGGTGGGGGAGGGGGCTTTTTAGAGATACAGGGGATTTTGTCCAAAAACTGGGATGCAGCCTGTGAATGAGCTGTCAATGACCACCTGAGAAGGAGCTTGACCAAACCAATTTTTTCTAGACCAGTTTTTGGCGTAGAATTCAAAAATAAATGTTGACAAGGACCATCTTTGGATGGTTAAGTTGGTCTGGTAAAGTCCCTCGTCGGGTGGTAATGTTTCCCTAGTCCCTCTGGACTATAAATAGAGAAACAAAAAACAGTGTGTTCAGAGGAGTTATATCCGAAAGCCATGTATATGGTCATGAGAACAAAATTGTGTTTTATGTAAAGTAGGATTGGATCCAGCCTCCCTTGATGGCTGATGTTGTGGTGAAAGAAATTTCGAGAATGAAGTTGACTGTAGTCTCGATTCAAACGTACCATTATTGGTGTTGTCCCCATTTCTGAGCGTCTTTAGGGCGTAACAACGCGAAATTTTCCTGAAAAGACCACCGACCCTCTCTCCATTACCTTTACCTACAACCTGGCTTCGTCGATGGCTAGACGACGATTCCCGATCTGTTTCAAAAGCAAACTTTGATATCCCCAAGGTGCCCTTTCTGCAGTTCCTGCCCCCGCCGCATCATGAAGGTTCGTCGCCTCTGATAAAAGTAAGCATGATTTCGCAGATCAGCTCTACTCTCTACTTTAAATTGAGTAACGTAAAAGGTTGTACTTTTGCTTACCAAGAAGCCAAGTATTTGAAAACTGAGCAAACAAAAGCAAACAAATGTTGGTCTCAATGAGAAAAGCGGAACTACAATCAAATTGGAAAAACAAGGTTGATTCTAAAACTATACCTTTTTGTCTTTCTTCTCGTGATGGAATTATATTGGCCTGGCACAGGTAAGAAAATTCTACTACTGGCGGCAGCAAGGCGGTGATGGCTTCGTGGTATGGTTGATAGTAAGACCTCTCCGAACCGAGCAAACATCAGTCGTCGATCGCCTGTCATTCAAGCAAAGCAAGTTGCAGTGTACAAACGAAGGCTGCAAAAGACATTTCCAAGAAAAATTTGAATGACACTTAGTTCCGTTTGGCTCGGTTCCATAAAACGGGGGAAAGGCTTTTTGGCTTGGTTCCAAAAAAACAACGGCTATAAAATATGAACAAGCAAATGCGAGAAGTCACAGCAAATCACAAAGACGTTTTTTTCGTTTTGATTACAGGTCGAGCACACAGCCTCTCTCCTCTCTCGGCTCACGGGTATAGTGCCACATAGCCAAAAGAGGGAAAAATTTAATAGTAACAAAATAGAGGGTTTTTGTCATGGTTTATCCAAAAAGTCCCTACAGTTTTTCAGCAAAATCCATTCTATGGCTTTAGAAATCTATTTGAATTTCCTGTAACACTAACCTTTATCGAAATTGTAGAAACATATTTTTGTTATGGCAAAAGGTATCTTTTAAGCAAGCTTTTATCAAATTTTCTTAGAGATAGCGAAATAACACAATAACAGGCTTTCTATATCATTGTAAATGTAAAATTACCACAATATTCAAGCTCTTATTTATTACATGAATTCCCTTCTTTATTTAAGTGGTGTGTAACACATTTAACTGCACTGAATCACAATAGTAACGTTATTACAAATAAAATGGAATATTTCATTGCATAAAACTTCTGAATAGGTACATAGCGGTATAATCTTAATACTTTTTATTATGTTATTCCGTTGCTTATTTATTGGTTTCATTTAATATTTTTCATTGTTTTTGCTCCCATTCTAATATATAAATAGTCGTTTTTACCATTGAGTATTCAAACTAAGTTTTAGTAGCTTGTAAATCTAAAACATTCCAACTGGGGTGCATGGCATCAATAGATCTATTTTATTTGTTATATCATTATTAAAAATATTCATTATAATTTTATTGAGATAAAATACGTTCCTTGTTACCTTTCAGTATATTGTAATCAACTTGTTCATACTGTGAAAAAGATTTTATGTTTGAGTAAGCAATAATTCCTGCCAAGTGCGGGCATTTAGAATATGCTTTGCTAGACTTTTTATTGCTCTTTATTGTAACTTGCGAAGCATTCGGATTTAATTCACTGAAAATTTCAGTATGTTGGTCTCTAGTGCATCAAGCCACTTTTCAATTGTATACTTTCATTTTCACCAAGGTACGATGATTCTCGACTAATTTTAAATTAGAACCATTAAGAGCTTTGATAATCTTATAATAAATTTTCTTTTAACACAGCTTACATACAGAGATGTTTCTGTTTTGATCCTAACAGAACATCAGTTTCCTTGAGTCCAAATCACATCAACTCAATTAGTTAAGGAACTGAAGCTCACACCCCCAAATCCACAGCCTACACTCCAAATATATTTTGCATCATGAATCAGAGGAATGCATAAATTTTTCTAAAAATCACAAAAATCAGGTTTCCAAAATTAAACAATAAAAACAAAAACGGCTATTTGTTAATAGGCTACAAAACGAAAGACGTATTCTGGTCTCGACACCCTAGGAGTGACTGTTCTTTGAAAATACAAGGACTACCTATTTCCTTTGCATTAAATGGAAGGAAAAGCAGCTATTAATTTTCATAAAAAATAAACATCCCCTCATTAGAAGATTGTTTCAAAGTACCTATACCTGGTGGAATTCTACAATAAATAAATTGTCAAGCTCTTTGCAATCATTAGAAAAGAAAATTGCAAAACACACTACCCGCTTTGGTTGAGCTGATTTTGAAATCTTGAAAACACAAAGAAACGTTGTAAATGCAGAGAACTATATTTTGGAAACTTGGGTAAAACCCCAACGACAAAAAGCACCAGTTATGATGAGTTATCTAACATGTTAATAATTGATTGAATAAATGAGTTTAATACTTAAAACCGATCAATAGGCACCTTGAAATTTCCACTGTTGAAAAGGCGCAAGAATTGTGTCCGTCTATAAATAACTACCCTGGGTGCCAGAGCCTGAGAGAGTCAAAGGATGAAGAACGGGGAATTGCGAAGGAGAATTAATAAATAAGATGGTAGAACAATAGTAAAAACTGCCAAAAGCAAGACTGGGCACAATTAGCAGGGCCTTTTTTTCATAAAGCAAATACTTTTAACAAACGACACTACTAAACAGTAGAGCCACAAAAAGAATGAATAATTGAATAACATTTCAGTATTCAGTCATACTATAACACGTGTATCATATGACTTTTGAGTCAAACAAAGGCAAACAGATACAGATGTTGATCTCCATTACAAAAGCCGAACTACAATCAAAGTGGAACCGGGCTCGGTTTCAAAGCTTCACCTTAGTGTCTTTCTTCTTGTGGTGGAATCACATTGACATGGGACACGTTAAAAACACGTAGTGGAAGCAGCAAGGCAGGAGGTAATTTGAAATAAGAAAACATACACTAACATTTATAATAATCCAAAACCCCTATCCTAAAATTTAGATGCAATATGAAATGCATTAACCTTAAATTTAATTCATATTTGCAAAAACCCAACAACTCAATCAAGTAAATGAGAACAATGATGCTCAAAATTGAAGGTCCTTTAGTAAATGTTGTTGCTTGGTTGTATTTACTAATTTAAATGAATCTTAATAAGCTAAGCTGACTTGTTTCTCTAAGGTAAAGTGAAAAACCAAAGAGAAACTCCCACCTGTGTCTCTCTGAAACTTTGTAACCAACTTACTTAAAAAAAATAGCTTTGTACAAACTCAAAAGTTGATAATAGAGAGTTATTTAATTTAATACAAAAGGAAAAGAAAAGAGTTAGATGAAAACAATAGGGCTGAAGAATTACTGCGTAAGTTGAAAACAAAAGGTGTTCTCTGCTATTTGTTTGCGAGTTTGTTTGTTTTGCGAGTTTTGCGAGTTCACTAAAGTCCCCCGGATCCAAACCTTTGACGATGGTGACAATGGATGAGCCCAACAAACATTTTCTTTTGGAAGGAAAACCGAACAGAAAGTTTTTAGAATGCGAGACATGAGCACAGGTTCCCTTATTACAACATAAGGTGTTCCTCAAGGGAGGGTTCTTGGGCCATTACTTTCCTTATCTATAACAATGATATTACTATATTATACATATTCTATAACAATGATATTACTTTATTATTATATATTCTTAAATTCTATCATTTTTCTGAAGATAATTATTGTAACGAAAATAAAAGAATTACATTCTAAAGGTAAGATAAAAATAGACAACACTCCTCTAATAGAAAAAAAGATGAAATATAATATATTGGTATATCAATTAATAACAGGGTAAATGGGAGCCAATAAGCAAGTTAATGTGAAACTATGGAACGGAATTTGCATCTTGGCAAAAATGAGACGTTTTGTTCCTTTATATATCTTGAAAAACATGTATCGTGCTTTAATTGCTCCACAAGTATACCATAGCCTGTGCCCCAGTCCACAAATGTTGCCAAATTTATGGACTGTGCAATATACCATGGTTTCATCAAAAGGGGGGTAATGCGTCCAAGTAAAAATTTAGCGCATTAATTAGAAGCCTCAAAAAAGCTTTAGAATTATGTGATTTGCAGATTATCGGATCATATTTTCTTTCCCCTTTATTTATTAAACTTGGAATTCTAAGCTTTGTAGACTGCTGTAGGTTCGAATGTGGTAATTACATGCCTGACAAACACAATAGCAACTATGAACCAATCACATATTGACACAAAACTAGTGGGCTCAGCAAACCACTAGTAACAATTTTTTTCCTCAACAACGAAGTCTGATTGAAAGAAAAGAATTGAAATTCCTCTTGAAATCCGCTCAAAGCCCACCATTAGCAAATGGTTTTCAAAAATTAATTCAAGTCTGGGTCCCTAATAGGCTCCGAGCCCCAACAGCGTTCACGGCTCAAATTCTGAGCAAAAATTTCAGCATTTGCCAAGACATAATTGCCTCCAAGGGGAAAATTGGCTATAAACGTAGTGAAAAAGTGACTACGTATTCTCCGAATCAACATCCCCTGCAACATCGATCTATTAAAGGAGAATCTTGTACTTTTCAGAGCGAGGTACCCTGTTAATAACAATACGTCCGTCATAGGAAAGCGAGGCAAATATCCATGGATCAGCCGTAGACCATTCCACAATATAAACACTGTCTTCGTGCTCCTCAAATGTCGCAATAATCCGATCAGATTCCGGTACACGTGACCTATAAAGATAATATTCACACAAATATTCTCTATATGCAGACTTTGAATTTTTCTTGTCTTTCTAATCGATTCAATCAATTTTCATTACACAATTTAAAGTAATCACAGTAGAAAACAGCAGATAAATTATTACCCTGTGTCACAGAGCCCTACAGGCTAATAAATTATACAAGTCTCTACTAGTTGGGGTAGTTTTTAAATATCTGTTGATAAACAAACAATGCCAATACCCACAGATAAAAGGGTCCTTGATATTGTGAAAAAATTTTTTTAATCATGACAATAAATTTTCAAACATCTATTGATTCAAAATATTTTATCCCAGATTGACAAAAATCTTTTGGGCAAACAGGGTAAAAACTAAACAACCAAGGAGTAGAAATGAACTGCAAAACTCAAAATGAAAAGATAAAAATGGGCGTTAAAGAATAGTCACTAAAAAGCCTTGTTGCAGCCTCAAACTCAGATGGCGAGTGGTTGCGGGTGCCTCTTGAATTATTTGAGCAATTAGTTTGAAAAGGGCAGAAAATAAAATGAGGGCATTATAAAATCAACTCATCAGCCAAAAATTATCTAGGGATGGTATGAAATTTATTGTATAATGAGAAATATGACTTTGTTACAGAATTTCTATCTATATTTTTAAGTTTGTTATTCAGTTTCCAATCGCTAAGTTGTCAGAACGAGGTCCCTCGAACTAATCTTGCGTAATAAACTTTGCAGATGCAAAGTACCCAGCCAGATGAGTAACTGCATTTCGTTTTTTTTGCATTGCAACACTTTGGTGGAGTTCTGGAAATCTTACATTTCAATTCTTAAATCTATGGTTGCAATTCCATTTTATCATTGAAAAAGTAGTATTCAATGTTGTTTTCTAATTACTGAAATGAATAAATTATAATATATTAAGTATCAAACAAATTATCGATGACAACAGGAAAACTTTTGATGACAATGCGTATGCCACTAACTCCCAGTGGAGGATTAATTTAAATTATGTTATCTGACTTAGAACAAAAACCAATACTGATTGCCACAGGCAAAACTGTGAGCAAGTTTCAGAGCCCAGAATGCATTGCGGTCACAAGGTCAAAGACCGCGATAAAAGCCAATCAAAACAAAAGAAAGTAAAGTGCCACATCAGAGCCCTGCCTTGTTGTCATTGTTTTCTATGGAAGGTTTCCGAAGCTTAAGGGAATTATCCAGGGGAGGGGGGGTTGTCCGGGGGGATTGTATGCGGGAGTGATCAGCACTTTTTTAGCCACAGTAAGTTTGCCCTGCAAAGAAACTGGCTATTTCTTCGCACTTTGTACTTCTTCTAATCCAATTCTCTGTCTACTTGCATGCTATAGATACGATTATCAAGAAGATATGCAGTGACCTTCTGAAGAAGCCTTGGATACTCTGGTAAATGCTTGGTGTATCTCCGTCCCAAAAATATTAAATCTCAATACATTTACAAGTTTGAGGTACACTTTAATAAGTCAGTATCTGCTAGCATCGATATAACAATGTATCTTTGTGCGTTTTTGGGCCGACATATGCATCTTTGCCATCTGTAGTACCGCCGTTCACTTAACGAAATTGCAGTGAAGTTTAACAGCCTATTAGGTAAAAATTACTGTTTGCCGATCTATCATAAAGTGCTCGACGCCATAGCTGTGGCAAAGCAGAGGCAATGCTGTATACGCTTTTGGTGTATAGAACAATACTATTCTAAGTTGCTATTCCGAGTTTAACGCTTGACGCGATCATCAGGCAACTGTGTAGCCTACGTACAGCCTATTAGGTGAATAGCTTTCGCTGAGTAACTTGAATAGCTTCTCCCTACGTTTCTCCCCACCTACAATTTGTCCACCTAAGAATTTTGAGCATTGTTGAGAAAACGGGGATATCAAGTGAGAATTAAAATGAATTAACGCGTAAAAAAGGAACCCGAATGATTTATCTTTTATGGTTATGGTGTCCATATACTGAATTTAGCTGCAGCAGATGACCATTAGGAATTGATTACACTGTTTAGTGAAAGCAACAAACCTTTCTTCGTTTTCATCTTCTTCGTCAAGATGACCATAAGGTTCAGAAGATAATGAAGGAATGCTAAGAAGAACCACGCGGCTGTCACTACTCGAGCTTAGAAGGAGCTCATCGTGAAAATGGTTATAACGAACACTCCATACCCTACAAAAACAGAAAGCAGGACTTTTGGTATCTTTCAGTTGATATTTATCAGGTAATTGTACTAAAAATCTTTAGATAATATCTTAACATATCACAGTTGTGGCATTTTGACACAGTTAGACCCGCTTCACTTCATCTTTCTAGTGTTTCTATTTACTGTCATCTTGAATCTTCAAATTCATGCTTTCTCTTCGCAAACGTGGGGAAATTCCATCTTACTTATTGGGATTGAGGAAATTCCAACCTGTTTTCTGAGATCTGACCTATGTTCTGGTTCACATGGAAAGGCAAACTATTTCGCCTGCTAGGATCTAGGCCAAGTCACGTGAGATATCGGTCAAGTCACATGAGATCTCGGTCAAGTCACATGAGATCTCGGCCAAGTCACGTGAAATCTCGGTAGGTAGGATGAAAATATTTCCAAAAAACACAAAATTCAACCTACCGGGATAAAAATGACTTTACCGCCTATTTGCAGGCTTGGTCCCCACCACGATCTTAAGTGATATTAAGTGACTTTCAATGTTTAATCCACAGATCCGATTACGGCTTGAAATTCCTCCGAGCAAGCGAAACAATATTCGGGGTAAACGGGATGATAGTTCCCAAAACAGGCCCCAATTATATGTTCTTTATTAGAGTGAAAATCTCACATGGTTGAAATATCAGATATAGGTAATTCATGGCCTATTGTAGACTATCGAAAGTTTCTGTTGCATTGATATGATACAAAAGAAATATGCGGAAATTTACCAATGAGAATGATCATTTCGAACCATAAGTGGTGCCTCAATATTTCGGACGTCCCAAAACTTGGTTTTGCAGTCATCAGAACAGCTAACCAAACAATATTGTTTGTTTGGATTGAAATCAATGTCTCGTACGGTTTGGCTGTGAGCATTTTCAATAACATAGGCTTGTCTAAAAAAACAATACAAATTCATTTATATTTACAAAAGGTCATGTCATGGAAACGAAAAAAAATTGTTGTTAGCAGGCTTGTAGCTTGAATATTTATGGTAAACTACCACAAGAAATTGCATTTGACAAGCAATCATAAACATAAATTGAATACGATAAAACGTCCGGTTAATTTAATCAAACATGGAATTGGACTTGTTCAAACACCTCTTTTTTACACTTCAGTTTAATTAGGATACATTAGCTAATGGCACTACATTAAATTCTTAAGTTACTTTTAGAATCTTATCTAAAGTTACCTAAAACTTTAGTATATACTTCTAATTTTCTAACATTTGTTATTGCTATTTACTAAAGTATCATTGCTGGAAGGTTGAAATATTGAAGTATTTGCTACGAGTTTATCAACCCCTAAGATAATTCTTCGAGTTACAGCAAAGATTGATTTTTCAGTCGTCGCAAAATACTTAATTAATATAATTGGTGAAGCAACACTACAAGTGTTTGATCACAGCAAACAGGGGTGAATACTTGGTCAAATATTGGGGGGAGGGCAATCCTATTGTTTTAATAAGTTGACATCACATTTCCCCATTGTTTTAGAACAAAAGACCATTGTCCTCTAAAGTATTGGGGCGGCCCCCCACCTTTGCCCCCCACCTCCAGGTGCCCGCCACTCACACCAAACGTTATTGAAATTTTAGCTTAACTGTAGGATCAGATGATAGCCTCACCTGGATGACCTAAGATCCCAGCCTCTTATTGTGTTCTCCACCGCAGCAGCTACTTGCTTGCCAGCATGATGTGGGTTAAATCTGGCATTGAGAAACTTCGGTTGACTTTTACCGTCAAGTCCCATCGTGTCAATGAGCTATTGATAAAAAAAGAAATGGTACTAACAAACTGCAGCAGCGAGATACTTACCATGAATTGTGTGAGAATTCATGCATGTCAAGAATATAGCGAGTTCAAATCGTGTGTATAGCTTTAAGGTACGACTCGGCAACAAATGTTACCGCTCTTTTCTTTTACTGCAACTGAAGATAAGTTTATCGCTTCTCTTGTTTACCTTCAAAAATCAAAGAAGCGTTATATGAACCAACTGTTGATGAGAGTTAGAGCATCTACCAACTGTTGTTAGAGTTTCGGAGATGAACCAACATTTGTTCGAAAACTAATGAGAAAAGACGCACGTTTCTCGTTGGTTCGGACAAATGGATAAAACAATAGCCCGAAACAATATCGGAATAGACTCGTCTCCCCAACAGTAAAAGTGTCATTCTCCCACTGATATTGATAGATGCATATACCTGATATAGATTTAGCTTTTGGATATTATTTAATGTTTTATACTATTGGGACAAAAAGTTTTTTAGTATTACGCGCAATGTATCAGTTTTTCTTGCTATTTGAAAAATTTATTCAAACAGTGAAAGGGCACCCTTTAGAGTAAGATCTGCCCCCAAATTCCCCATATAATTCCTAGAATAGAAGAGAACGAACCTGTGCCGAGCCTTCATCCACTGCCCAAACGTCAATAAACTGATCAGTTACAGTCAATACAGCATTTGAATCGCCGCTTGGATTCCAAAGCACGCTTTAGAATAAAGGAAAACAAGAATATGATATGTCAATAATGGAAAGGTCGGGGTACCAAACTGCGCGACGGACTCCGACGGAACACATGCGGCGAAAAGCCGATAAAATAGAAAATAATTGACAGCGCAACGCGTCTAGAACAATCAACAAGACCACAAATAAATTAAATACATTAAATATATCGCCTCGACATACGGCGTTCATCAGCTAATTGAGCTTAAACTTTTGCGAGAAGATGTAATGAGAATACGGCTAAATAAGAATGACCTTGATGCAAAATCCACACTTACTTTTTGATGTTCTTATGATCCCCTTTGAAGTCACACAGCTTTCTTAGGGAGATGTTCTGATGGCCAGTAGAGATAGGACTTCCAAGTTCATTTGGACTGCCTGGCGGTTCCGTGTCATCGAGAGGCGGAATTCTCCAAAGCGAGGCTATCAATTCGCTTTTATTTTCTTTAACTACAAGATAAAAAAATTTCTGCGTCTATACAGGCCAAAGTTATTATTAGGAATATGTTTTTCTCAATATCACTAAAGGAAGATAGTTGGGCAACCAAACCTTTACAAAGTATTTAGTCCTGTTAATATTAGATGTCCGATAACACACGTACGCCATTTACTCGGCTTCCGTATGTCCGTTTTAAGGTCATTCGGTTTTTCATTTTCTTTTTACATGTTCCTATTATTCCGGCCAACTCCTTTTGGCTAAAACGCAAACAAAGATGTTCACATTACTCTGTTTTCATCCCTTCTCCTATCATTGTGGTTGGATCACATTTTGAAACTGAGAATGAATGACTTCGTAATCCGACGACTCTGTTTTGCCGTTCCCATTAAGCAATGCCTTTAAAAGTGACTCCATTTGCGTATGACTCCACTTTGAACAGCATTTTCGAAAGACTCCTGATTTATATCAAATGAATCTGTCTTTGAGTATTTTAATAGGAATGCAAAATTTAAAACGACATGTATGCTTTTTGTTAAATTATTTTCCATTCATGCAATATCTTTTAAAATTCCGTAGAAATTATTTGGTTCACAAAATCCTCATAACCTTTTTCAAACAGTGATAGACACTTTCAAAATATATTTTATATTATAATTAAAGGGCTTTAGGCCATCAAAAAAATCACAACGTCGCCATTTTTTGGATCTCACGCCATCCCACGCTTTAACTTTACAAGGCATGCGATTACAAACAACCCAACAAATTACATATTACCGAGTATTCGTAGCACAGGTCATTTCGCAAGTGGCCTAAAATTCTTCAAAAAGTGACTAACATTTTTTTAAGGAAATTCTAAACTATTTTCAAAGAATACCTGTATTTAGCAAAAGAACCCAAATTTAAAAACATATCTTTAGTTGCATTTTTATTGTGCAGCTGTACACTTCTCCTTTCCAATGAAATTTTCATTTGTTTTTGGCATCGAAATATATGTACTTATTCTCTTCTTGCTGTTTAGCAACCCCCATCCCCCTCTCATAACGTCTTTGAATTCGCAATATGTAAAGTAAATAGCATTATGTACCGCAAATTCAAGAGAGTATCTGAAATCTAGTGTAATGCAAAGTAATTAGTAGCATATCTGAATATAAAGATATACATTGAAACGCCCAGTCACAGAACAATGGGAAGGAAGCAGGTCTTATTTTTTTCATTATGATCAATCACTGACTTCTTACCATTTGAGGGCAAGAAACCTAATAATAATAATTATAATAATAGGAGTACTTCGTAAACAAACATATATTGGGCAGACTATTAAGATCAAAAGACGAACAAATTCTGTATTTTATACATACCAAATTCAACACTGCACCCATTTTTGTAGTGATATGCATAAGCAAATGTTGGTATGTATTTTGGCATGACAATGGTAAGGTGAGTGTTGGGTTAGGAGAAGCAGCTTGAGGGTAGTGTAAGCATAGAACAAGGGTAATGTGAGTGTAGGGCTAGGGTTCGGTGAGCCTATGGTGAGGGTTAGGTCCAGGTAAGCATCAGGGCGAGAGTTTATCTGTGTCCTTTATTGAAACTTGCTTGTATTCCTTAATGATCTTCCTGGCATCTTGGTCCTCAAGCTTTGAAAAGTTGGTTGGTCTCTTTTCTAAACATTGGTATGTATTTAGCCAGTATGAATCCAATCACTTAACCTACTCTTGAGTCCAGAATAAACAACCTGCCTCCTTCCCATTTATCCCATACTCAAGAATAAACAGCATGCAATAATATTGTATGAAAAGGTGTGTGCTCACTTTGGCTGTAGCATGTTGACAATACACTTTTGTCAGATGGACTTGAATTGATATGCCTGTGCAACAAAAATGGAAAAATCAACAAATGAACATGAATTTGCGAAAAAATTCAGTAAATCACAATAAAAAAAACATTGTTTTTTGTTTTTGGAAAAAGAACTGCAAAATGAGATTAGGAAAAGGAGACTTAATTTTTCTTCCATTCAAGGCCATTCACTCCATATATTATAGAAAATGAACATTTTCAAGATACTTTTAAAACTTCTGCAAATCTCAAAAAAGCGAGTAGCTACCAACAGAACAAGATGAGGGTTGCAAACTTGTCTTGTACATGAATAGAAAATACTGAAATTTTTTCTATTATTCTCAATACTGATTTATACAAAATTTACACCAGTGTTAAAATAATAGGATTAGAATTGCGGAATTCAAAACATTTTCTTTAAAATGAAAGAATCATATACAAGAATAGAATATCACCATCATAAATGTGAAGGAATATATGATAAATCCCTGATACATATCTTATTGTGTAATATGGCGAACAATATTCTCAAGAATTTTTGATTAAGTCTAAAAAAAACATGCTTTTTATTTTTCATTTCCTTATCAGAGCTAGGTTCTTTAAATTCAGTCACTTCTATGATCCTGCCCTTATAATCTAGCAATTTTTCAAGATGTCCTTAATCAAAACATACAGGATTTGTTACTTTCAAATTGGGTAGAAAAGCCTACAAAATCAAGATTTCTCAATCATTTTCTTTTGTTTCCATGCAATTCTATGCAAAAATTTTGATATATTCATTCTGATATGAATGTTCAAACCAAAAATTGATGACTTAAATTGTAAAAAAAAATTATTCATGCCTCTATTTTTAATGTCCCTCTTAAACAGAGCAAAAATTTATTCAAAAAGGGTTTTCAGTACATCAGACACTAACCAAATCTCACCAGCACTGTGCATAAAAATGTGTTTGTTTACAAGGTTGCTCTCATCATCAAAATCAATCAGATGTACCTGCAAAAGATTTTGTTTAGCATATTTCATAAAATTTCAAGAAGATATGTGTTTCATAAAATAACAATAAAAATTGATTTGCATTTCATAAAATGATTAGCAAAAATTAATAATTCAAGCTTACTGTTTCTAAGCATTTATCAACAAATACTTGTTGATGAAATCAGCTGGGATTCACTAACTGTAGCTGGAATTTACATTTCTCTACTTGCCTATTTCTAAAATGAAAATGTCCAGTCTCTTAGAAATTCAAGTATATATCGATACCTCTTTTATAAAAAAATAAATAGAAATTCAAACTCATTCTTGTTGAGTTAAATCAACGCTCTTTATGGATATGCGTACCTGGATTTAGTCTCTCATATGAAAATTTCTGACAATATTCTAGTGATTCTAACTTGAAAGAAAATAAATTGTGCTATAAATTTCAAATAGCAATTTGCTATCTAGATATGACTTCTGCTACAAAAACAACATACATTTGCATTGATCACAACAAAATTCCAAATAACTTTCAAGCTGTCTATATGACACAAGACCAGACCTGGCTGTTTGTATTTTCGCAGGTGAGCTGTGAATAGCTCCCCTCATTTGCTGAGGCAAGCTAAATCAGTTAAACATAGAATGTACTTCTAAAGTCAAGGAGTATGCTGTTTTAATTCTTTCAATTTATATTTGCTTTAACTGTGGCTCAGGCACCCCCTTTGCTTAAAGGATTTTAAAAAAGGACTCTTTCAGTTTTGTGTAAAGCTTGCACAACAGAAAAAAAACAATTATCTTACCAAACAATCTTTTTGTTGTACAGAATTCAAAAATGGCTTTAAAAAAAATTTGAAACAAGCTTTTCATCTAATATTCTGTAAAATGTCAAAACATAGATTGAAAACTCTACGCCAGGAAATATATGTACCCAGTTGTGGATTGAAATGGGCCAATCAGAAACGGAGCACATGGATGTTGAGGTTGCCCAATCAGTGTTACTTGCCTATGGTAAATGTAACCAACCGACCTAAAGTGAAAGTGAACTTCTTCTGTTTAGGCAATACCAGCTTTTCCATGTTCATGTAGATGGATTTCAAAACAAATAGTTGGAATGATGATCGACAAAACATATTTTTCACAGGCGCGGATCTAGACCGGGTTGACAGGTTTAAAAAAACTGGTCAGATTTCTAGAAATTTTTTATTTTATGTTTTAGTAAATATAGAGAGAATGTTTCCTCAATATGATTATTATTATCACCTCCCTTAAAAATATCAACATTAATCATTTTCATTATGGATATTTCATCACTCCACCTCTGGCACCAAGTTTGCATTTTTCAGTTATTTGCCATTTACCAACAAAATAACATCTTGATTGCACAAACAAGGGGACTTTTTGTGAAGCTAGTAAGTTATAGACGGTGCTTTTTGTGTCACAGACCCACAGTCAATGAAGCCGACCCGCGCCGCCAATGGTATCTTTGAAATTCAAAAGAGTTTTCAAGGTTGCATAACCGAAGATAAACTTAACCCGGTCACCTATTCATTTAAAGGTTTTTTACCTCAACCCGGTTGAAATCAAAGCAAGGTTATTGAAGACTAACAGAGACCCACAAGGGCAAAGAACCAAAGGAACAGAAATACATGAACAGAAAAAACTTTTTCAATTGCCATTAGTTTTGCAGCTCTGGTACCAAGGGTAAATTTTTTATTTGGTAGGGGCTGATTTTTTCATCACTATATTAAATAAATGTTCAAAAAGTTACCAGTTACATAAGCCATGCGAAATATATGCGGAAAAACGTTCCTATTTTGTGAATAGGGGACTGAACCTCCAGAGCCCTTCAAGAATCTACTGAAATCCCTTTGTTGGCAACACAAAATTTGAGTTCAAAATTTGCTGTATAAAATTTGCTGATTGATATAAGACGGTTTCAATGAACATTATTTTTATAGCAAAGAGAGGATGGTAGGTATTTTTAGTGGCTAAGAGATCTAAGGATGTACTGGACTATCCCAGGGGCAAAATATGGTTCCTAATAAATGCATTCAAATACAACCCAGTCATAAATTTCTCTGGATCTGCACCTGCCTTTCACTTCACTATCCTTTTCCCAATAGATTTAGGTATATGAGTATCATAACAAAAACCGCCAACACGCAAAAAATTAATTGCAAAAATGCAATGACAGGAGAAATCTTTGTTACAAAAATAAACCAAGTAACCCTTGTAAGTTTTTCTGGGTTCAGTGAATATGAAAAGCGCAAATAAATGGAAATTTTAGGGGAGTGATTATTTCTTCATGTTCTTTTTAGGAGAGCAATTCAGAGCTTGCCTCAGGTTGCGAGATGAGCATGGAGATGAGCGCGAGCTATTGCTCACCTCAAACAGCCATGTGAATGTGTCTGGCAAATAAAGATTTGTGGCCATGTGAATGTGTCTGGCAAATAAAGATTTGTGGCCATATGAATGAGTTATTTGCTTTCTAAATCTAAAAAACCCACCTGATTATCTGACCTCAGGGACTGTGTGCCAACCAGAAACCGGATTGAGTCATTTTCACCATACTGTGGACAAAGTGATCTTGCCTAGAACATGATACATAATGTAATTCAATACCAATATAATAAAGCTTATCAGATGAAGATAAAAAACATACCAACAGAAAGTAGAATAAGTTTCGTCTAGACATTATAACTAGATTGATAAAAGATTGAAATAACTCTAACATTGAAAAAATGGTCCTTAAACGAGAAAAATGTAATTTGCACAAATCAAAAGTCAGTACTCTTGACTGGCTAGCAATGTCCCTTGGTTTGATCACTTTTCAGTTGCATTTCTTACTGATAACTTTAGTAGCTGTATGCATTAGATTATTGCTTCAAAAGGTTATTGCATGCGAGCAGCACCCCAGAAAGAAAGGATGCAAGTAAAGATATTTGAGGCTGTGAGCTTTGGGCTTGCAGTGTGAGTTTAAAAGGGTCATTTATGTTATGAATGGAGAGTGTGGCATGTGCACAAACAAGCTGCACAACATTTCTGCACACTTGCGCAAACGAATAAATTTATATTTGGTCTTGTTATGCTCCGCTTAGTTGACGAATTATTTCTATCATAATCTGCATCAAATTGGTAAATTCACCAAATATCACAAATTTTTGCTTGGTTCTTTCCTCTTACCTGGAATTCGAGTCCATAGATGACAGCTGCATCGTCATCCATAGTCTCCAAGTCTATTTTCACCTACAACCCATCGCCAGCAAATTTAGGCCTGATAAGGTCTTATGTACCAAAAATAATATTGAAGTGCATGCATTGCCTCGGTTACATTTTAAACGTTGACGTCACAGAAATCTTTTTTAAGCAACCCTCAAGCTATTCCGTACCTTGGGTATCAGAGCCTGAAGAAACTGGGGGTAAAGTATTGTAGGCCGCTGCGACAAGGTATGAATCGCTAAAATTTCTAACTATATTTCGGAGACTAAATTATCGAGATTCTGACATCCAGGGTTGCTATTCCGTTCCCTATCTAGTTCAACTTGTAAATATCGAAGCATATTCCAATTTTTTATGAAACTCTTGATCCTCATAAATTTTTTATTAGTATAATATGTGTGAATGAAAATCTTTAAATTCAAATTTTGTTTCTGTACAATGAGGGGGGTAAGTACAACCGAACCCTGTTTTAAAAACACTCGGAGGGCTTCCCGCCCCGGTAGATCCTCGTATCGGTTTTTAGACCCGCCAGTGTTTTTTTAAGATATCTCTAGCAATAACAGAACCTCTAATAAAAAACGTGAGAATATTTGCAACTGAAATGAGTAAGAAACACGAACAAAATCTGATTAAACTCTGTCTAAATAGATCTCTGGATGTCAAGTTTGTGACTGTTTTGATTAATTCTAAAGACAACCAAGTGATTACACTCTACTTTTCTTTCGGTTGTCAAGCTATTAAATTATATATCTTATATTTATATTGAATATATGCAGTCCTCTAGAACTTAAATATTTGCGAACCAATCTGCATTAACTCATACCACTGCCTTCTGCCCTATGCAGAAAGGAATTTTTCAGGTATTAGAGGTATCGAAGCTCTAATTAAATTCTTGAGAGTTTTCAAAGTGATTTATTCAGTAAATTACTATTTGATTCGAAAATATCTTAATAGCATTAACAAAGTGTTTGATACCTATGATTTGAGACAACCTAATTAGTGTGAGGCGAATAATTGAAATTCTCAAAAGCAAGAGGTGGGCAGTTCACAAAGAAAGTAATTAACAACTTCATTTCGTGTTTAAAGTAACGGGCACGTAACAAAGCAAGAACCAAATCTCAAATCTGGTGCAAAATCTGAAACGAGCACCTGACCATTTTTGGCCTTGCCTTGGAGTTGACGAGGGACAAATCTTTCTAAGAAAATCTCGTACACTTTTAGTAAAAATCCTATTGTTTTATCTGAAAATCCCCATAAATCCTTTTGTTTTAGGAATATCTCGTACGCCATTGGCAAGAGTGAATTGCCCCTCGGGAGTTGATGCCTTAGTATAAGTCTGGGTTCTCCATTATCAACAATTTATGTTAACGAAAAATGGAACGGAAAGTAACCCTGATCCAAATTGTGCGCCACAGACATTTTGGAAGTTTACTTGTCCTTTTATTTTGAGCTGGTGTCCTTATGTTGTTCAACATATTCAGTATGTATGATCAGATTGGTCAAAATTCAATTTGGTCAGACCTCATTTAATAAGACTAAAACAAAATCTCGTTTAGTAGGACGATTACAAAATGTTTGAGTGATCTCTATGGCTGTGATCATATATACCGTTCCCGCAAACTTCCTAGAAAGCATTGTGAGCATAGAGAAATCCCTGGAAATCTTTTTCTTTTCTTGAAGGTCTCGTACGCTAATTGCAAGTGTGAATTACCTCTCGCCCGAGACCAGCAACTCTGTACGACATTCGTCGGTTTGAGTCGTGCCCTGGTCGTGCCAATCGCTTATACTCTCCCAAAACCTATAAAATATATTCATGTATATTTTTGAATATCAAGCTATTGCTGCGACTTTGCATTGCGGCGGTAAGGCAAGCAGACTTATCGTTATGACGTCACTGTTGGTGTTGCTGTGGAGAATTTGAATCGTGTACAGTGACCATTCATAATATTGTCAGTCACGATGCAATATACGCATGGCATAAAACAAGACAATGGGTCAATTACGCAAACACGTTAATGATAATTTAAAAGATTAGTAGCATTAGCCGACCAACAGTATAAAGCAGCCCTTAGGTGTCAGAGGGGTTCAGTTGCGAAGTGAATGAGCGCGTTGGGAAGGTTAATGTGCATTGCGAAACTTGGTCAGATTCTAATCTGAAAGTTATCTTATTAGCTATTTACAAGAACGCTTGAATCTCAGCCGACAGTTTTAAATCATCTGGGAACTATAAAAAGATAACACAACTGACTTGCGAGTAGTGTTTTGTAGTTATCGGAAGGACAGGCTGATGAAAATATCAACTTTTGGGAAAATGGAGTTAAAAGTAATACCATCATTGCTGCTGCTAATTTTGGCTTCCACACAAGCCACTGCTTTGCTTTTTGGACTGGCGAAGGATCTTCCGAGAAAAAAGTGCAGCCCTTTAGAGCTGTCTACCTGTAGTCAACTGGGGTACAACAAAACCCGGTATACTCCAAGTATCTACTTGACGTCACGACGGTCGGAGGTCTTCGAGTATTTCGGTCTGCTACGAATGACAAAATGTTCGAAGGATCTGTTATTTTTCATCTGCATGATGTATCAGCCAATCTGTTTCGAAGATTACGACAAGGTTATTCCACCCTGCAGATCTGTTTGCGAAAACGTCAGGGACGGCTGCATTGGCATCGTCACACGATACGGATTTCAGTGGCCAGAAGAGCTCGACTGCCAGAAGCTGCCCGATCACCACAATGGGGTTTGCATCAAACCAAGTGCAATTATCAAAAATCAAAGTGAGTTGCTCCTAACGTTTTGCTTTGATTCTATTCGTGGACCGAAGAAGTTCACAATGCTTTTTGTTGATTTGCCTGGAATTTTTCATTGAACAAGCTCTAGTCGTTAAAAGTAGTGATTATGTATAAGCAAGGGTGTAGTGCTATCAAAAGGGGGGTTCTTGCGCAAAATTTTGCGAAAAACAATAGCAAAGAGTATTATTTGGCTACATTTCGGCATTAACAAGGGGGGTCAGCCCTTGGAGCCTCCTAGCACTACAGCCTTGTGTAATACCAATACCTTTGTGGCATTCTATTTTCTAGGATCGATACCAACCAAACATCACCCCGGGATAAGAGTACCTCAAATTTGCTTTGATTTCAGTCTACTATTCTATTGTGTTTTAGACTTTATACCATCTCAAGGTTTGAGGTCCCTGTTTGGATTGGAAAGTGTGGCACCAAATTCGAAAATTTATTGAAAACAATAAATAAACACTCAAAACCAACGAGAAGCATTGTTGTTAACCGGAAATTTATATGAACATGGCCTTTCCTTGTAAATACGGAGCTCTTACAAGAAAAGCCGAAGGTCATTGCTCGCTTCCTGCCGGCCGTGACTGAATTTTACTAAATTAAAAGAAAAATCAGCAAGAAAACTCTCCGTCTCATGCATCCATCGTTTTATCTGTGACAAATCGCAGAAGCTAGGAATACATAAGAGAGGTAATTTTTGTTGGAGAACAGAAAAGGGGGCGAATAAAGTACTGTTGACAAAACATTTCCCTTTGTAATCTATCCTTTACGTCTAAAAGAACCATTAAAGTTTTGCTTTAAAAGAAAATCTTGATAATAGAATTACTCCAAAACTAGTTTTTAAGCGTGTTCTTCAAATCGAATTAAGCACAGCATATTAATTCCCCTTCCCCTCTCGTGCATAGTTGCACCCGTCAGAATCGCCTCTATTTATAGTTTAGTTCCTGGTATTTTAGAAAGAAATCGCGATAAGAAGCCACATTTCATGCATATATAATTTCATTTCATTTGAATTTTTCAGGTGCAATAAAAATACCATAGATAGGTTTTGGTATGGCTTGGGGCATGATTAGATTCGTTTGACCAAGCATGAAAAAGTAATACTATCACCCATGAACTCCAATTTCCTAAAACGGAATACATGAATTTAGTACTTGTCTTGTCATTCGTTTCTTAATCGCCTGTTCGCAAAAGCTTTGTCAACCTCCTCCAGAGATAACTGAAGAATGAAAAGAAGACGTAGTGGCTGCAACGAAAAATGCCACTAGCTTCCCAAGCAGCAATAGGTAGCAATAGTTCTAAGTTACCTACAGTAAAATCGGCCCTAACAATTTACGGTATTTAGATTGTAAATGTTATTTAATTAGTTTTCTTAAATGCTAAAGGGTTTTTTTTGTGTATAAATAATTTAATATCAAATATGCAATATGAATGAATAAAGGTTTTCACCCAAAAGAAGTCAGAGAGTGCTAAGGAGATCTTGCTAGGAACCGAGGGAAATTCACTCTTGCAAATGGCGTACGAGATTTTCACGAAAACAAAGAGATTTCCATACATTTTCAGATATAACAATATGATTTCCACCAAAGGTGTACATAATTTCCCTAGAGTGATTTACCCCCTCGCTAGGAGCTTCTTTAATCACCCTTCTCTGGGAGTCTCCCCAACTTCATCAAACAGGCCCCAATTTTGGACAAACGCAATGTTTCGCCCGTTTGTATAAGCAGATTTGTCCGATTTTAACATGATAGTAAACTAAAAAGCATTCATATTGCTTGTCGTAAAAATGTCCGCAGATTATATCCGCAAAGCATTCTCTCTTTCAATATGAGCAGACCAAGTCAACCATGGCCTAATAACGAATTCCAGCAAAATTCCATGTGTGTTTAAAGACGTAAAACACCACACTTAGTAGTTCGTTTTGTTCTATCAATAAGATATTGAATGAAGATGTTATCCTTGATGTTGTGGAATGATAAGCCACTAAACAGGCAAAACCAGCTAGGATAAAGGCCAACTCCAAATCTATTAGTTTGCCAGGTTCTAATATCTTGTTCATATCACATTATAAGCCATTTAAGCATATCTGGCCATGTTAATAAATGTTGGTCTGTAAAACTCTAGGCGAGGGTTATGATGCATGTTGTGGATGAGGGCTGGGGCTAAAACACTGTCAAATTGCCTAGAGCTGTAGAGCTGGTGTCAGAACTAGTCCACTTCACTTGGAGAGTCCTCGTGGATGTATATCAATGTTTTTCTTAGCATATTACCCAGGGAGGGGGAGAGAGAAAACGCCTACCTCCCCTAGAGACTTTTCTCGGACATCCCTAGGTTAGGTCCAAAAAAGCGCCCTTCTATTCAGGGTTGATGTGGTAGTTCTGGAATATCAATTAAAAAGTATCTCAAACTTTCATCCATGCTCCCACAACCTTCAAACTGTCATTTAGAAGACCGAAATTAACAAAATACGTCCTATAGTAAATACAAGACAGACTGCCCTTGACATCTGTCTTGGACCGAAGACATCCATTGAACAATGCTAGATTTGTGAATGCTTTAATAGAGATATGAATTCATTAGAGGGCCTTAATGCATGACCCCAGAAATGATCTTGTTTAAGCACACTTTGAAATCATCACAAAATATAATTAGCATGATCAAATCAAGTAAATGGCCCTCGATGGACTATAACTAACTCAAACTTTAGCTTTCTTGAATAACTGGCATCAAGACAGCATAAAAAGATTAAAAAGTTTATAGCTATGCACTTCGTACAATTGAAGTGCATGACTCCGTTTTTTAAATCATTTTTAAATCAAATCAATCACTCATTATAGTTTCTTATGTCTGTCATTAATTCATTTTTAGAACTAAATTCAATTATCGTTAGTCTCATCACCTGAAAGCTGGGATATACCTTATAAGGGAAGATGACAGGAATAAGGCTACTATTTACCCATTGGATGCATACTGTATAAAGTTCAATGTTGTTGTTGTACTGTTGTTTACTGTGCCACAGTAACCACCCCATATTCATGCTAGAATAAACTCTATTTCGATATTTCCATTGATAATGTTTTTGTTTGTACCTGGAAAGCTATGCTTATCGATGTGTCCCCGCCTCGTGATTCCTACGCCTGGAATTGCTGATAGTTAGCGACTCCTCTCATTCTTAGTGAAAGTTTTGGGATTCGAAAGGATCCACTGGATCTGAAGTCCAGGACCTGAACCACTGTGCCATCCTCGCATCATTAATAAAATTTGGCCCGATGATCTTTACGAATCGTTTGTGCGTCATAAAGAATTCACAATGGCCACCAAACACCTCTCTTGTACCCCAAAACACCCCGCAGACTACCCACTTGTTCCATTTCTGCTGCTATACTTTGGAAGGCTGGAAAAAAGTCATTTATTCTTGGTTAAGTCTGTCAAATGAAATAAATCCACATTTCGCTTTTCGACAAAATTGAACCGCGTGATTATGTCGCTTGTCAGGTGCACTCTTGGGGGAGATTTTTGATGTCTGGGTACGAAGTGATACAGTTAATATCCCACGCCCATTAACTTTCTACACTCGTTTTAAAAGGCGTGTGCAGCGCCATTAAAGCATTCCAATGACCCTAAATTTTGTGTACACAAAGTGGCCGGTTGTGTTTCTTATTTCTAATTAGCTTAAACCAATTAAAAACCTGCGACAGTCATGATTTCAATCCGATGAATGGGAACTTTTGGCCGTAGCTAATTGTCAAATTAATTATGCTTCAAGCGTATTAATGTCGAAAGCGGAAATGCGGAGGAGATAATGAGCCTCTTAATATTAGGGAGACAATTACGGGGAATGTGATACTTTTCTGTAATTGATGAATCGGCAAATCGTTGACTTTATTAAAAGCATTAGACACTTAATTGGTTCTATCAAGACGCAGATACACTATTTTATTTTTTGTGGCGTCTGAAGACTTACAATGAAGCTTGTTTAGGAAATTACAAAATGCATGTAACACTTGGTAATGCTAAGGTTAATCTTTGGTAAATTGTGAGAACGCTGTCTGCTTCAACCTAGATGTGTTTGTGGAACAAGAATTCTTGGGGAACGCCAAAGGAACTGTTCCCCATTTACAGATACGGCTGTACTCAAGGCATTTGGGGCTGAATCAGTAAAAGTGGGTTTGTAGAAAGAAGAAAAGCAATTACTTGTACTCATCCCCACAAACAGCATTTTTCTGAGCGAACTAAATTAGACGACATCCGCAAAATCTCTGTTCCCTTCATGGAATGGTACAGCTTAGAATATTTATATGAACCCCCAGCAACCCCCAAGCCCCTTTTGTTCTGCAAAACTCTAATAGGCATCCACAATATTTGTTGCCACAGTCCCCTTTACCCTATGTTGACATGATGATTGAGATTCCATCATGAAGAAAGAATTCAAACTATAATACAAGGCTAAGGGGTGCCAGCATGCCTTTTTCTAGAACTTCACCATAGAATACGAGTGAAAGTTGTGCTTCCAGCTTTCACCCCTTCCCTAAAAAACAACTAGCAAAATTTTGGAGAGGTGTGAAAGCTTCCTTTTTCATAATCAAACTGATGCCAAGCGGGTAGCTTTTTAGCATTGTAAAATGCAAAATGAATTCCGTAGAGTTGATCGGATTCTCTACCGTATGTTGTGTTAAAAGACCTTCCATTCTTAGACGTAAATGGCATGCCACTTAGCCAACTTCAGTTCCATTTAAAGGCTCTTCCGCAACCGGCATGCTTAGCGGTAGCTGTCTTGAGAAATTGACTGTGTTTTGTATTTTTATGTAGTACGATATTAGGCCGGTTTGGAATTATGGCCGCAAAGCATGCCGGTTGCGCAGGTGCCTTTGAGCAATGTAGTACTTCGATACCGAAAAGGGCCAGGAATTGTTTCATTTTTGGAAGCTTTTTCTTCTATCTGGTTAAGAGACCAAGGAGCATTGCCTTCAGGGCCTCATTCCCAAGATTTTCCAAAGAGGAGTGTGACGTCATTAATAATCTATTTTTAAATTTCTTAAGTTTGACCACATAATCTGAAAGAGCGACATAAATTATTTCTCAATATGCAAAATATAAGCTAGATATGTTTAAAATTGGGCAAGGTATGGCTAGCCTGTGCCTCATTCAATTTAGGGGTCTGGAACACAGGCCAGGTATGGCCAATGAAATATTCAAAGTTTTCCTTACGTATTTACTGTTCTTCTGGCCAGGTCAAATTATTGAGGTTTGATCTTCGATCTTTGATCTTTGATAGATTTCTTAATTTTGACCACACAATCTGAAAGAATGTCATAGAATACTTCAAAATACGAAAAATCAGAAAGATATGTTTAAAATTGGGCAACCAATCTAAATATCAAAGGATACGGATAAAGATGGCCAAACTTGCATGCACAATAGGATTCATGACAAAAACAACAATTCTATGTAGCACACCAACTCCCCCCCCCCTCCCCCCTAAATCCATTAGAGAAATGCGACAATTTTTGGCGTGTTCTTTTGTCAGGTTGTGAGAAAGACTTGCGTTAAGCAGCTACATTTTCACTCCTTCCATTCTCTGCAATCCTACGTCAAATCAGGATAGAAACCAATATCAAGGCGTGGGTAGATGCGAAGAGCTTTTATACACGGAACAATCATTTTACAACCAATTTATCAACCATTTTAAAAGCAGTATCATTTTAGCTAGTTACGAAGTTCTAAACATCTTTTCTAGGACAGGCATCTGGTCTAACAAGAAAAGAAAGGCCTCGTGCATCTCTTTATAAAAGATGCATCTTGTTAGTGTGGTTCCCTCAAAATTGGCCCAAAATAGAAATCCGTGGGCAAATCGATAACTACCTATTATCTTTGAATCTAATTCAATAAATAAATATCTTTTTCTTTAGAGCCATAATACAACATGTACTAAACGTGTGCTAAGGGAGCTTGCTTTATCTTACTTAATAAAAAAAGCAGAAAGCAACTGTGATGCATTTGCCTGCCCTGAAATGATCATAGTGGGTCTTCTGAACCAGAAGATTCACTTGATCTCAAATGCAATGTTCCGATTAAGTTCTCAGTGTTCTGGTATGGTCACAGGGATATCAGAACTGGGAACACCACGGTCATATTCCCCGCAACATGAGGAAGAATGCGCCTTTTCTTTCAAGTTACCTCCTTTGAACTTTTTGGAAAGTTTCGCTTTTACTAAGAAAAAGTGTACCGTCCAACCCATTTTCTTTTGAAACCTTGAAATACTTTCGACGTTAGCACGTTACAGCATGGTCAAAGCTTTCCACTAAAGCAGACTTAAGTTTTCCCTGAAGCAAAGCTTTCCAAGTTTTATCGTCCAATCCTTCCCAAGACAAGTGGGGTTAAGTTTTGGCGTTCGACTGCTAATCTCAACTAGCCCATTTATTATAGAAAAAAGTAATCTTTTGCTGTTTAAAACTGATGGAAAGTTTACCATTTGAAATGCGATACTGAAGAACTTCTATTTTGTTTCATTAAACACGCGTTATTACAGACAAGAGCATTGTTTTTCAGTTTTTGTTCATCGCTTTCCTTTTTTAAATTGCCGGTCTCCGAGTTCTGGGCCATTTTCCTCACTTTTAATTGCAAACCGCACATTGCCTTTTAGAAGCGGAATGCATGATAAAATTTCTTTCTTTTTGCAGTTTACGAACATGAAAGCAAACAGTCTGAGAATTCTGGTAAGCGTCCTAATTTTCACTATTTGCTTGTTGGATAGGGAGCCCCTCACAGTCTCCAATCCTTACAGTTCCGCAAGATCTTTGTTCTGACAAATTTCCTTCCTTACAATTAACGGTCTACTTGCAAAGCCAACCTATACATCCGTTTTTTAATTGCAAATTTGATCCGTTTTTTATATAATCTTCAACGGCATATCCAACTAAGGAAATTGCTTGATTTTCATGTGCTAAATATTGCCCTCATTTTGCATTCAACGGTACATATCATAACAGAAAACAATTTTTGAAAATTTGAATTGAGTTCCGAGTCTTTCTCGGGATAAACCTGCCATAAAAAACCTGCTATAAACTAAGAATTTATACTTAAACCGTAATGTGCGATGAAAACCGAAGTTTCAACATTGTCTGACATACAAGATAGAATGGTTGATGACAAATGTGCTTTTTTTGCAGGCTGTAGCTTGTCGAGTTATTTGGCAAGCTGAAGCGAACCTTACATGTCCCTTAATGTTGCTAATGATTAACGCTAAAGTAGTTTGTATTAGAAGGAACAGTCTTGTTAATTTTTCGTTTATATTTCCTGGTTTTGCTATGGAGTAAATAAGGTGTTCGGCTTCGTTGTCGTAGTGTGTGCATGACATTCGTTGTAAAAATGCCAAGCGGACAACACAGTGCATTGTTCATTTATGGCAATCATAAGCAATAACAAATTCTTCAGATTCCAAGTTTGCAAAACTGTCTCTTTAGTGGTAGAAGATGGGAAAGTTCTGTTTTCAAAAATACAAACTTTTGGAGGCTTTGGATTTCTAACATTGCAGGATAATTAATTATTGAACAAGATTATTTTTAGGCGCAGATGTCGCTTGAAGGACCCATTGATCTTCATCTTGTTTAATAGACTTGTTATTTAAAATAATGATGGCGAGTCGTCATATTTAAAGAGCTGGGAATTCTTTTATGACTATAAAATATACACTTAAACTGTTTCCGCTTTTACATGCTGCCCTAAAATAACGATTTGAGCACGTCGAAAACAATGAAATATTGCATCGGTTCTTCCTCTACATTCTATCACAATCGCAATTTTTGTTCATCTTTCAGTAATGATGTGCTTACTTATAAGTCAATAACCTAATTGTTCTTTGCAGTTTCGTCTGAAAAGAAAGCAACAGCAACAACTTGCCCCCTTTGCCCACAGCCACGGAGTCTGAAGAAATTCAGATATTACAAGAGAGCCGACTTTGGTACGTCAATTTTGGCAATACAGAAAATGCTTGTGGTCTTCAACCTGTAGTCTAAATCTCCAATCAATAAAAGATACTCAATGGCTTATGTCGGCCAAGGCTTCAATGATAAAAATCGTTGGTTCTTAAATGCGGGTTTCTGCTGTACCTGTAACCCAATGGTTCACATTTGGGTATAGGAGATTATGTTTGTCACCCTGTGATCCACGGCATTTCACTAGAAGGAGACACCAGAAGGAGGTAAAAATATGGAACCAAGCTAGAGTCAGGAAAACATTACGGTCCCACGGCCACTGACAGGAGGAAGGTCCACGAAAAACCAATAGACGCTCCTGTGACACACCTAAGCCACGTCCACTTTCTATTGTATTGTGAGGAAGGTTTGCCTTCTGGGATATTTTTGTCTAGAGGAAGGTTACAAAATTTTTCTGGACTCTGCTAACAAGATATCGTCTTCTGATGCAAAGTGTGGGTATCAAGGGGGAGGGGGAGGGGGGTGATAGGGACTACAGCGCCTGATCAGAGCATATTAGCCCCCTGAGAGGTGTATCACTTTCTCCAAACAGCATACTTTTTTAAACAATAGGATTTTTAGGTATTTTTCGGGGATCATTCTCGAAAATAAAATGATTTTTGTCAAAAGCATACGAGATTTTAATGGCGTAATTTGCCCCTCGTAGCTCCCCACCGAAAGCCAAATATCAGACTCAGTTTAAACCTCGTACCACCATCCCCATCCAACCTTTCCCTCAAATTGGCATGTTTTAGGCACAACATTTCCCCGAAGCAGTTTTCATCTCCCGTTCGGTAAGCTTAGGTCCGTTATATTTGATGACTTTTATAAAAAGGGTTTTCTTTCGGTTGTTAACAATTTTTTAAGCCTGAAGAGTAATGGGGTAAAGATTTTCAATTTAGCAAAAGTTAGGAGAGCATACCTAAAGCTTGTAAACAAGTTTATCAGAAGGCAATTATTGGAAATCAGGTTACGAAAAGTATGAGGACACCGACAAAGGGGGGCATTTATCTATATGACGCAGATACCTTAAACTACTATTGTCTATAGAAAATTGCAGTTTATCGGACGTGTTTGATATATCAAGACAGCATTCCCCATAATACCCCAAAAATTAGAGCAATCGGGGCTAATATCTTGCTTTCTCAGTATGATTCTTGGAATTGATCTCTGAAATTGATGAAATTATCAACTACTAAAGATAAGAACACAGGGACAAAAGAGGGATTTGAACGACGTGGGAAAGAAGACCACCAAGAGAATGCCTAACTTCTGAAATATTTTTAACATCCAAAACACAGGCTAAAAACTATATTCAACTAAAAAAGGGGTGGACCTTTGCGAATTGTGGTCATGTTTGGTTTCAAAATTTTCTAGATCTCGTTATCAAACAGAACACTGGAATGGTCCTCTTCTTTTTTTATAAAGAAATATCCTTTTCTTTTGCCAAGTCAAGGACACCTGGTTGAAAGGTCGCAGTTTTTCATCTAACGATATTGTTTCTAAACCCCTTGATGGAATTTAAAACCCCTACTATCTGGAAACAATTGGAGGTAAGGTGCTGCAGCACCCCAGCTGTGTTTCAACACTCTCAATTTTCCAACCATTTAGGTACTTGGCATTAAGAACATAGCCCATATAGAGATTTTTGCGATCAAAATAGACGAATTCCTGTCATACAGCCCTAATATTCCCCAGAAATGCTCTAGAATTCCAAGAAATTCATTCCCATAACAGAAATCATCCTTGCTATCATGCCTTCCAACTACTTGCTTGTGTTGTGTGCTCTTTCTGGTAATGTTATTGTGATCCAAAATTCAGCTTTCTAATAGAAAATTCTATCTCCAACAGCATTACAAGGGCAGTTTATAAAGAGATCAACTGGTGCCAACGGGGAGACGTCTTTGTCTGTCAAAGTTTTGAAGACATACAAAATTGGTAAGTTACTTTTTAGCAATACTATCAGCATTACGATGTCCATCCAAATTGGAGGTGGGTGATTATATCAATTGCCAAATGGAGACAATTTTATCTCGCTGCTTAAATTAAGAAAACACCTGCTTCTCTGCTGTATCTAAAAGCTACTAGGGGTTGACTGAGCCCCCTCTAACAAACTTACAAGAGAAGAGCTTGCGCTCCAGAGTTTTGGGTAGTTGATACTCTTGCGCATTCAAAAAGGAAGAATTTCCCATGAAGTATTTACTCTATTTAGACATGATATGATATATGAAACATCAAAAACCTAGTCAAAAATTTTATCCATTTGGGCTTTTCTGAGGTTGGCCATTGATAAAGTGTCAATGCCCACGAATTCCCTATGGGTACCTGAAACCTATGCCTACCTCTGCCCCTTTTGCTAAATCTATCATGATATTTGTCCCTGTAGCAAACCAAGCCCTAACCACATACATTCCTTTCACCTTTGACTGGTAAAAATATGGTTTAATCTCAACAGGAGAAGTTGGAATACCAACATCAGGCATCGTTGAGCTGAAATCAGAAAGTGCATGCTTCTGTCCAAACATGAAGTTGGACAAAACTTACATCATATTGGGTTATCAGAGTGCAAAAAGAAAGCAGCTTCTTTTTGACGATAGAGTCATTGCCGAAGTTGCAACTCCGTTTTTTGAAAGAAGAATGATGAAATATGCATTAAGGTATCAGGAACGGCTGCAAAAGAGACGTCAAAAGAAGCTAAGATTGCTGCGGAAAAAGAAGACACGCTAAGCATGTTACTGCATTGCATACCCTACTGAAAGAATGGCAAATTGCATTTTGGCAGTGTCATCAAGCTATGCCGTTTAAGGGAATCCTGTGGAATTGATGGACGAAAGGACAATTGAAGCTCCAGTATTTATGTGAACAAGTAGTCAAATAATCCACAGAAAGACCACATAAATGTTTTTGTAATTGGGGCATAAATTTAACAACGGGAAAGGACAGGAAAGTCCTAAGATGCAGTCATTATCGCCAAACCACATTCGTTTTGCCCCTGATTGATTGGTATCATGTCTTCTTTTACACAAATTTGATAAAAAACAGCAAATAGAATGTTAGCACGACAGTCCCCTGTATTTCGTTTATCACGTTGCATGCTTGATTGACGACACTGTTCGCCCCAGTCCCCAGATTTCCTCTTCTTAACGATATGTAACACCGTGTACCATTCATTAGAACCTTTATCATGTCGTTGCCTATATCAATATCAAATGCAACAACTGAAATAGTTTTCCCTAGAAGATGTGGCCACCAGCGGTAAAATAGAAGATTATAATTCCTTTATTTTATATTTTGTAACCTCTGAAACCCATTTTTATACGGCATACTTATATATGTAAACGGGCTTTTGGTTTCCGAACAAAAACTAAAAAGCAGTATTCTGTAAATAGTCAACTGATATTGAACACTTAACCTTGTATGCAAATAGCTTTTACAGATATAGTAGGGTTCATATACCTTTTATAAAGTAGACAACACGTAAGCTGTTACTGTCATTATCGAAGTATATTAAGAAGCAAAGTAATTTGTGTAGCAGGCTCCTACACCAGGGCATTTGGTATAGATAAGACATCATCACAAACAAATAACTCGCTTCCTTTATTTGAACTTCCAAAGCAAACTTTTAAAAATGTTGTCCGAGAATTCAACGACAATGGCTTGTATCAGCGTCCATCACATGTACCCCTCCCCATTTCTACTTTCGTTTTTAAAGCGTTGGAGAGAGCTTTGACCCATGCCTTCTTTAAAAGAGAGCAAAAATCTATAAATAATCCCTTTTAAAGTGATTTCTGTTGGATGCGAATGCCAGTTTGATAGTTAAAAAAATGACTAACAGTTAATTACCAGCTTTTGAACTTTCTTTCTTAAAGTTAATATGATGTAATTTTTCTCAGTATAGAATTTTAAATCGAAGTTTGATCCCGAGCCGCAAATAACAAAACTGTTAACACTTGTATCACTGAAGTTTCGAAAAATTTGTTTGTGAAAGCCATGACCCTTGTGGGTGGGGTCTTTCAGAGATCTAAATTCTAATGGTTGGTGGGAGACCAACAACGGCGGCAATCACATTTATGGTTTATTCTATGTTCACATTTATGGCTCTGAACAGCGGCGGTTTTAGAGGGGTCCCGAGGGGGGGCCACAGCCTCAGGCCCTGCGCTTTTGGTAGCCAGGCGGGGCTTCGCACCTAAGAGAAAATCAACATAGCTATGAGTAGGTAACAAATCATGACAAACTGCAAACGTCTTTGATCTTGGATGCAGTTAATGTCAATGCCAACTAAATAGAATTTTTAAATAATTTTAGAAAACTGGGAATAAGTTAACCTTTTTGTCATCAAAACAAATCAGCCTCTGTGTGAAGACATTGATATTGAATTCACATAGAACTTGACTAAGACTTGTGGGCTGATTTGGTTGTACAGGCAAAGTATATAGGGTGAATAATAACTGAAGGAGACATTCAAAGTTCACAGGCATAAACTAAGTCCACTTGTATTATCAAACAGAAATTCTCACATGGACAACAATTTTGAGAAGTTTGTTTAAAGGTAAAATTGAAAATCAGGCACACTTTGATTTTCAGAAATAAAGTTTAAAGATAAAAGCAATAAAATAATAGAGCAAAGAATACACAAAGATTGAATGAAGTAATTGTTTGGTTGAAGTGGAGTGATTGATTGACTGATTAAAGTGATTGATTGAAACAAGACTTTGATTAAAAGAAGCTAAAAAGTTAAATGGAGTGGAACAATTTACAAAAGGTGTTGCTGCTAATATGCACAAAATGGCAAGGCTTTGAAATCAAAAGGGCTTCAGCAGCGTTTATCAACAAAACAAGGAAAAGCTAAATGTGCCAACATATTATAGGCAAGGATGAGGTCCTATTAGCCCATGTGTAGTGTAGCAAGAATCCATCTAGCAACTTTAGCTCCTCATCAATTTTCTAAAAGTACTCCACTTATCAATGAATAAAAATTTTGTAGTTAACAAAGTAATTCTTATGCCAAGAGCCTGTTGATTTCTAACAGAGCTTTATCATGAAAATATTCAAAATAGCACCCTTTAAGCATTTGAACCCATTCTTGAGTTCTCACTTGCACCTGCACCTGCATGGCACCTGCCTTGTTGGTGGGGCATGATTTCACATATTCATAAACTGCTTAAAACACAAATTCTCATAAGAAATCTAATCAAATACTTTTATATTTTATTATTTAACAAAAGGAACCAATTAACGTTACACCAACAAGATGTCCAATCATCAACAGTTGGCCCAAATAAAAGTTATGATAAATTAGAAAGTGGAAACTTCTAGCCATCTCAATTTCTCAAAAAGATTTGATACAATAATAAAAAGACTGCATTACCTCTCTAAGTTATTATTAGTACCCCGACCATCCAGCAAAACAGTTATTCAACTTTTTGGGCAAAAATTCATTTTGCTCAAAGTAACAATTCATTTTCTATTGAAGACAAAATCTAGTTTATCCTCTTTGTACAAATAAAGAAATATTCCTATAATCACTACTAAAAATGAAGTAAGTGCTAAGAAGACCATTGAAGAGCTTCTTGGGCCATCTTTCACAACCTTCAAATTTAAATCATCATCTCCCTTTGGCTTAGATACATCTTTCCTTTTGGTATCATTGTGAAGCTGTGACTTTTCTTTCTTTCTTTGTTCTTCCAAATAAGCCTTTCTTCTTTTCTCTTTTTCTTCTTGCTTCTCTTTCTTTTTCAATTCAAGCAGCCTTTGAGTTTCAAGTTCCTCTTCAGCTTTTTTACGTCTTCCCTTTTCAGCTTCTATAGCTTTCTTTTTTTCTTCCTGTGCCCTCATTTCCATCATAAACGATAACATCCTCTTTGCACAGTTTTCACAATCCTTTGGTTCTAAACAATCACCAACAATATCCGGTAAGTCTGTTTGAACAGGATTATCCTTCAAATCAAGCCATTTTAACCCCTTCAAGTCCCCGAAGCTCAGTGGTAGACTAACCAATTTATTATTGTACAAATCAAGCCTTTTCAGATTTTTCAGTTGTCCAAACATTCCTGGAAGTGAAATAAGATCATTTTTGCTAAGATCCAACTGTGTTAGAGCCACCAAGGTGCAAAATGAATCTGGCAACTCTCTGATGTTGTTACATGATAAATCAATAACAGTCACTTTTGGCAAACTCGAAATTTGCTTCACAGGAACCTTGACGATAGAGCAAAGGCTTAAATCAAGCTCGTTGCCATCTAAACGTCTTTTAAGCTCTTCTTTTGAGAATGAGCTCTTCTCTTCCATTTTCACGTGCTTGCAGCTAGACTGTAAAGTAGGGTCCTTTCTTCTGAAACGGTTTCCAGTTAATACGTGGCCTAAGCCAAATGTGCAAGCGTTCCCAGAAGTGACCTCGTTTCAATATCACATAACAGAAAAGAGATTCAAGACAGGGCTATTGTTGCTAGTGGCGATAAAACCCGATATTAGCCGCCCCCTAGTTACAAATGGAGTCTGTTACATCCGTGATATCCCATAACTTGTACCCCTGTTTTCCTCTATATTGGATAGCTCTGTAATTCAAACTCTATCAAAAATTTTGAATTATGTATATGAATTTTTCAAATGCTATTAGAAAGACACTTTTGCTACCATATTTGGTCTTTTAATAAAATTCCAAAACAAAAGTAGGGAATATCGTTAGTTTTTCATTCGGCAACGAGCAGGCCAAGCTTCCTCAAACTTATTCTTTTCATTTCCACAATATTGAAGGAAATTTTCCTGAGGGAGGCGACAAAGGGAGGCGACAAAATTGGTTGAGCTATGAACAGTTCGAATTATAGTGGTTCCAATTACAATAGACATTTTTAAGGGTTTTCATACGAGATAATTTTCAAGGGACCTGAAAAGTTTGTTCGAATTAGTAGAAGTTCGAATTAGTAAAAGTTCGAGTTAGACAGAGCCAACTGTAGTCATAATTATTATTTCGGAACAACTCGAGCACCCGAGTACAAGACATCTGGAATCTTCTCACCTAACACCACAGGATCACAGGCCATTAAAGACCACTGGGCACTGGTTACAAACATTTGTTCATATGCTTGTCGTGAAGACAAGGTAAATTTTCGATTCAAGTTGAGCGGGATAGAAAATGGTCGGTATTTCACCAATATCAAAACTGGTATCCATTTCCAATCTTGGTGTAACTCACAAAGATGTAATTTCTTGTTCTGTACATATTGCTCCCTGCTACTGATTTTCGATTCTGCGCTTCGAATAAGTGATGTTGACAGTGGGTTGTAAACAGAACAGTGAATGGGTTTGACCTTCGCGTTTCCAAACGCTTCAGTATTGAGGCATAGAGTTACTGGCTCCGCCCAGAAATATCGGTTCAGAGAATGTAGAATACCATTTTATGAAAAACGCTTCGAAGAATATTGACAAAGTGTTAGAAACTTAACTATACGGTAAACCGTGAATCTGATGACTTTTTATAAAGCAAAGGATCTCACCCTTGCCTATGACTTGCTCAAGTTTTGGGAAAGTCTTGGACAGCAACTGTTGCGCTGCGCTGCGATATAAATGCAAATCTTTCTGATCAATATACTTGTTGGGGAAAAGACGAACCCGCATTTCTTCGCAGGCCCGTTGGCTTTCAAAATTTTGCAACATTCGAAGTTAAAATTGATGACGTTACTTTTATATACCATAATGTATTCTAGGGTAGGAGCATTCGAGGCTCTTGTGGTAATAAGCCAGTCTCGAATCAAAAGAGGAGCAAAATTTAGAGAAAAGAGTGTCTTGAAAAAAATGAAAAAAAACTCTGGTTTATATTATGGCATTATGATCAATACTAGTTTTCATTACATGCCAGCAGAAAACGCAATAAGAAAGAAACTTCTTCTGCGAGCCTTCGCCCGTATGCGCAAGTGCCTGTATGATGCACGTTTCTCATTGGTTCGGACAAATGGATTTCTTTAGGTCTCTATAGAGAATAAAAAGTGATAGTAAATATCCTCTTCTAGCATTTTTATATTATAACAAGTGTTATTGCAGTATGACATTGCGAAACAGGGTGTGGACAAGGGGCCGTCATTGCAAACATTCGTAGGGGGGCTCCTGCTCCCCAAAATACACAGAAATCCTTTGTTTTCAGTTTGTTCCTACTGTTTTTAAACAATCGCGCCCTTCCAATAATTTTCTCCTTTTCTACAATGATGGAAAATGTCGCTCAACTACGAAAGATATGGCTTAAGAAAAGAAAAAAAGAAAAGCAAATGTAAATCTTTGATAAATCAGGTTTAAACTTAATTCGTAATTTCAAAAGTTCGGATTTTCGAGCAGTTGCTTGAGGTTGAGGGTGATCAGCACTAAACTTTCTTTTTTTTAAGGAATTTTTATCACTGCACATATTCAAAACTTTTGATATCTTGGGTGTCACCTTTTGAAAATTTTCATGATCACACCCATCAAACCAACCTGATTGTGATCACTGTTACTGTTACGTTTTCGTTTTTAATATTGTAATGCTCTTTTATAAACTCTATGTATCTACTGGCAGATGCTTCAATTTTGCTTTTTCAATGGCAAATCTCTTTATTGTAGCTTTATCATTGCACAAAATTTAAGTTTATCACTGTACAATAACGATTTACCTCTGCACAAATTGGTTATCACTGCACGTTAAAATAAACCCTGCTTTCTAGTCATTCTAAGGCAGTAAGGCTCAGTTTCTTAGGGACCGTTTAATGTTATAAAAGTGTTTATATCGAGTGCTTTAGCTATATAAAATTTTATTAAAGCAACGTGACATACCTATACAAACTAACATCTTAGCAGAATCGTGGCATCTGAATACGACTTTTGACCTTAGGGCGCAGAAAAGCTGAGGCTGAAATTTTGCATTCACGCTTGCTATAAATTCACAGCCATGCTTGGAAAAACCTTTTTCTTCCTCCCTCCTCCTTCTCAAAATTACGTCTTCTCACTCATTTGTTTCACAAATTATTGGTGACCCCAATTCTCAACCTGGGAAGCGAATTCACAAAATAGGCAGTGAATTCAAAAAACGACGCTGAGTCGATCGTTTTAAGGAGGAGTTTTACATTAGTGAATTTTCTCATTTGGCGACAACAAGCAAACACTTGAGAATTTATTTAGTTACTTGAGAGGCAAGAAGTTGGAGTAATCCAGGAATCAAATGACACGATCAATAGAATTGTGTATAAAAGACGACCGCGAAAAGTCTGAATGTAAAAGATAGAGGCAGCACAGACAAATCTCGATGATAGCGAAGAACATAAAGAGGTAAGTTCGCATTCACAAGCTTTAAAACTTTAGACCATCCAAAAAGGTTCCTTTCTTTACAAGAATAAAAATGACATGATCTATGCACTATCAAGCCCTTCTAGACGTGGTTACAACAGGGCTCGACAAGATAAGTTGCGACAACACTCGTAGTGACAGCACTTGGTGCAACAGCACTCTTTGGGGCAGCACTCATTGGGAAAGCACTCTTTGAGACAGGTTTCGCAATCCCATGCATAATTGACCAGGCACATTAGAACGAATCTTCCGCCGAAAAATTTCTTTGACTTCCAGCAAGTTACCATTTTTTTCAAAATCGTCCACAGCAAAATATGTTTCAGAGTGGGATGCATAGTAGAGATTTCCAGAGATAGGAGGTCAATGATATGTCCCTCGGTCTAGGCTCAGATAACATATAAAAAGTCGTAAGACGTCAGTGTGGCTAAAACCCATTGCTATGATCCCTCCAAGTGCGATGATTCCTTGACGATTTAAATTCTAAACAAGTGCTAATATTACTGTTAGTTAGACAGGTGATGAAGAGCAGCAAAAAGCTTTCTAACCACATCATCCTGATCAGCAAAAAGATCCAATAATTCCAATCAATCCTTAGAAGCAAATATAAACCTCAAAACGGACGTTTCTTATAGGACCCTGGTCTGAATTTTCTTACAGGGCTTTAAGGGAGAGCCAAACAGGTAGGCCAGAAATGATAGCACTTCTGTTGTCCCAAAACGAAAATGGGCCCTGAAGTTGGCCCCATGCTCCTGGTGCATAAAGAGGTGAAACATGTTACCTTTGGGAAAGTAAGAGACTTTTGCTCTCCAAAACAGGATATTCCTATGCCTAACGTATAAATCGTTTGGATGCTACACACCCACATAACAGAAAACACTCACCCCATTACTCTAGAAAAAGGTCAATCTACATGCTTCTGATCATGCAGAGTCTCATAAAAATGTATTCCATTAAAAAAATCAGCTTTATATTCGATAGACATCATTTAGAAATAAGTCCAAGAAAATGCCTGTTGATTTATTCAATATGATTTGTGAGCTTAAATATTGGCCAATATTCTCTTCTCGGATATTTGCGAAGATAAGCTCTACAACCAATACTGAACTGGGAGAGTAGGTGGATGGTGTCGTTTATTTTGACCGATATTTTCTTCAAACGCATGCTCGAAGTGCTGCTATATATTTACATGACGTCATAAGCTCACCTTGAGGCTAAGTGCAATGCAGGCCTAAATCCATGCAGGGAGAGCGTAGTCATCGATTGGCGTAGTAATCTTGAATACTGTCGAAGCTACGATGATTTAAGTTAGTGAAATTTGGACCTAGGACCATTACTTGTAGCTCAGCTTCATCTCAAATGATTAAATATATTGCAAAGTACCACCGAGCAAGGCTTTTTAAAAAGAAGACATTTTGAGACGGACTGAAGCTTATCATCGTGTTGTTTTAGATGCAGCATTAAGTAGGCTGCGCTATCAAGGGGACAAGGGGAGAGTTTTGCTTTTAAAATGTCTTCTCATTTCAAAGCCACTTTAAAGTCCGTGCCACAAAAATTTTTTCGCAAATTTCAAACACATTTTAAAAAACAACCCTTAGACGCACGTCTACCTTTTGCGTTTGAGAGCTGGTTGGCTGGCTGAAAAGCGAGCCTCGTGCTGAAAATCAAAATGAAGGTGGGAAAGGGTAAAACTTGCTGCAATTTGAAAGGCCTAAGTCACTCCACTTTCCCAGTCTTCAGAAATGTATTTGCGCCGTTGGCATACTCCCGTCCCACTCACTAGAATACAGACCTATTTATAAAGTTATCAAAGGACGCAGTTTTAAGTTTAGACCCTACATTTTCAATTGAGGCGGCTTGTAAGGAAAGAGGCGCTTCTTGGTGAGGCTCTATGGGATTTGACGAGTGACACCCGATCTCTTCACGACTGACCGAGCGTGGTTGAAAGCCTCTCTAAACGACTCGGCAGTCAGGGTTGGCTCAAGGCTAATCCGAGATAACTTTTTATCAATACTGATACGACGCAATATCTTAAAGTTGATGTTATTTTCCTTGCAGCACAGTCGAAGTACGTTCAAGAAATTTATGATTGTCATCTGAGTCTACAAAGCTGCAAGACGGACAGGAAACACTCAAAATAGAACGACCTAGCGAATACGTTACAAACAGAAAAGAGTTTTACGTAGAAGCTGAAAAGACAGGCCCTGAAACTAGAAGAGAGATGGAGCTAAGCTTTATAGTTTTGATTTATTCTTTTGCTGTCTGGATGGCATCGAGAACTGAGGCACTGACGTTTTCACATCGAAGCAAATGCCGGCCATTGGAAATCGCATCTTGCCGAAAACTGGGTTACAATCAAACACGGAGAGTTGATGAAGTGTATTTGAGCAGGCCAGTAAAGGTATTGCAGCAATACATCAAGCTGATCGATGACATTCGATGCTCAAAAGACGCACTTTTCTTTCTCTGTACAATATATTCCCCTGTGTGTTTCGAAGCTTATACGCCAAGAGTTCTTCCCTGTCGCTCCGTTTGCGAGCGGGTTAAGAAAGGATGCTTGCCCTTTGTGAAAATTGCTGGCTTTTCCTGGCCTAGCGAACTAGATTGCAATGGACTACCGGAATACAGTACTGGAGTGTGCATCCGACCAAGTGCTATCGTTGCACGTAAGTTAACTTTTCTTATACCTGTATAAACTGATCTGGGACAGATATAAACTGGGACAGAGTGGCTGAGATGCAGTTTATCTTATCGACCCTTGCGAGTGAGAGTACTTTTTAGAAGGAAAGAAGACATGGTTTCTCTCACTTCAATTAATGTATTCTGAATAAATGATAAAAAAAGTTTTATTCATACTCAAAGTCCTCCATTTTGAAGTTCATGGCGCAGTTTCGCAAGAACACGACTTGGTATTCCTAGGTTGTGTGCCTTCGACTTTCAAAAATGTCCCGTTAGGGTATTCTTAGAACTTTTCCCACCCAAAAAAGACCCTGGTAGAAAATTTACTATTTTAAAGCTAATTTACTATTTTCCATCCACAAACCAACTTGATAATTCTTATTTATTGCATGTTGCATTTTGCTAACATGAAGTCGTTAAGAAAATTCTACTCACAAAGTTGTAGACTTGAATATTATGAAAAATGGATGTGCTTTCTCTCTGCCACTCTCCGAAATCTTTCAACAACGGTTCCTCAGTACATCTGTCTCGGATTTGTATTTTAACAGGATTACTATAAACATTACTATGAACGAATTCGATAATTTAACAAATCATAATTCCATCTGTTTGATGTTACTGCAAGTGTAATAACTTTTATGAAAGTAAGGGGAAAATATCGACTCAGCTAAAAAGACACCATGGAAACACAGCCAAGCAGGGCAACCAGTAAACTATAAATATTGGTAGCTTCAGTGGCTGCATTGAGATGCGCATTCTTAAGAGCTTACTTGTACAAAAATGGTATAACCACTTGATTACATAGGCAACTTGATATATATCATCATATATTGTCTATGAATTAAGGTAAATTTGCAAGGTAAACCTTTGAAGCAACTCGCCTACTCTAAAATAGTCCTTTTTGAAGAAGAGCTAACTCATTAAAGATACAAAATGAAAATATGGCAAAATCTTCGACGTTGGGGATCAGGACTTGACCCGGGATCGAGCACATTTTGGGGTAGAGGGGGGGGCTAGACCAATTGGCAAACTTTTGTAGTAGTTTAGAAAAAAAGTAATGGGGCTATAGCCCCCAGACCAGCCCTCGCCCCCCCCCCCCGGCTCCTGGCGTGCCTGAAGAATAGGACGACGATGGAGATGGTCTTTGTTGTGAATCTCTTTTGTCCCCTTTTTAGAAGCTCGGGCTTGAGGCAAAAACGGTTTGGACCGATTTTGTTTACTTTACGCTCGTCGTGGTATCTTTTCCCGGACTTAAAACTATTCATTCCTAGCAACTAATCAAATAGTCACAAATTTACGATTTTACGTAAAGGAAATTATATAACAGCGCCATTGAAATAGCCTTGCAAAATGCTTCCTTAGCATTGTCAAAATGAGCTTTTGATTAACCTGGCAACAACAATGAATCTTAATTTCCGGAAAGAGGCTTTGCAGCTCCATTACGAGATCCCCAAGATGGCCTGAAAGATACGATTTACAAGTTTAGAGACAGGAAAAAGGAAAGAGGAAATTACACCTTAAGCCACTCAGTTAAATTTCTACAAAACTTGTAAACTTTCAGTGTGATAAGCATTTCTTCTCGTACACATTCAGAACAAAATAAATACTGATAAAATCTTGCAACTGCATGGCGAGGAAATGTTTTCTTAAATAGTTAAAACGCATTTTTGTAATCAAGGAATTCAGATTAGCTTAGATAAATAGAGTTGATTCATTCACAGGAATAAACTTGCTGCTGATTGATAAAATTTGTGCTAATTTTACAAACAGCCGACGACATCAAATTGAGCATTTATGACTTCGAAGCGTATTGGTGACCATGTCAAGATGATCTGTAAAGGCATGTAAACAAAAGTTTGAATTGAAAATGAAAAACATGATATTTCTTGGTAAATGTTTCTTGGCCTTCAAACTTTGTGAATTGTGAATTTTTTTAAACAACTGATAGACTAGCTCAACGGTAATGCATTTGGTTTTTTTGGTTTTGAAATGTTCACGATTTCACTCTATATACCCGATAGCATCATAGTGAATTTTTCCGGCTCTGGAAAAGGCCACTCCGCCCGCCCCCCCCCTTGTTTTTTTAACTGGGCTTTTTCAGATAATGGCATTCATATTCAGTATCTGCGTCCATACATCAGATTTCACAGTCTTGTAAGGTTGGAACGGGGGTTTTAGACATCCAAACAATCAATTTGGTGTTACACTATCCTTTACTGTTATTCCATGCAGATGAAGTGCTAACAAAGAATGAACACAAGAAAAGAAAAAAATGTTTGTTAATCAACGTTGAAAATGCAGCGACGTTTGCAAATCACAAAACAATGTTAATTTTTTAAGATTTCATAAAATGGTGTCTTTTTTGTTATAGGTGGTGCCAATAGGGACGAAGAAACACCTAACAAAGAGGGTATGCTTCTACGATTTTCATTCTTGTACGTAGAAACACAAACAAAGGCTAGGCAATAAAAAACCTCCAGTGCACATCATTGCAAGCATGGACGAAATTTAAGTGGATGACTACTGTCCTCCGCAGAGGCTATTGGGGAGGGAGATTTGGAGGTAAAAAGGATAGGATAAAAGAAACTGCGGAAGAAAGGAAAAGTGGAGGAACTGCGAGGGAGAAGGAGAGAGAGAAATTCTCCGTAGCTTCACCATTTCTCCCTCCCCAATAGCCTCTGTGGAGGAGAGTAGTGGATGACAGTCAGTGATAAAAGACGTTATATTTTCTCAAAAAATGAGCCTATCCTTCAGAGGTGATGAGTCTTTCTACAAAGGAGAGGTGCTAAGGCAGTTTAGGTCGACGTTTAGGACATCAAGGAAAAGGACCCACTGTTTGGTACATGGGTTTAACGAGGTTCCTGAAAGGGTTAACTTGGAAGTTGGATTTGCTTGTTACGGCACTTGGAATAAGAGTTTAGGCAAATTAGACTAGGAAAATCTTTCTGGTGCTGGGGTGACAATAACAACGAGTGTCTGACTTTTCCGACAACACCGCGAAGGAGGTTTGAACAGCGCAGGTTGGGAATGGAATTTTGAGGCCTGGGTCTTGTTAGAGTCAAATAACAGCTGTAGTAGCCGTCGCAAAAAATGAATGATCGGATGAATAACTGCATATTTCATAGAAAGTATGTGGACTGCATTAAAAATGCCCTTTCATTTTCTATAATTCCTATGCAATTTGTTACAACTGATTTTGGATTTAAAACCCTATCAACTTTAAACACATGTCAGTCTACAATTTATCAACCGATTCTTCTATCATATTAGAGCGAAATGCACCTTGTCCAAAATGTCAAAAACAGCAAGAGTTGCAACGATTCAAGCAGTTCAAAAGAGCCTCTTATGGTAAGAATCAATTTTTTTTGCGATATCTTTTTATGAAGTTAGAATTAAGACATTCGCTATGAGTAACAATATTTTTCTTATGTGCCATTTAAAAACTAATAAAATACTTTCAATAAAATCAAGACCATTCAGAGCCAAAAAAGACACGGGGTCACTGACTTCTGGCTATGAATTGTATCTACAATATACAACGTGTAATCATACTTACTGACCAAGGGATTGAGCACATTAATTTTGGAAAGATTAAGAAGTACCAAAGGTATGTCTAAGATAGATGTCAAAAGCAATGAATAATAATTGAGTTAACCAATGACCTTTCCAACAACTAGTCCGCGACAGACCTTTATGAAGATTATTTGAAGCAACAATTTGAAGTCTTGGCAACAATTTGGAAATCAATTGACAATGACTTTGGTGGGCCAAAGGAGAGGGAAATTCGGCAGGATTGATTCTGTAATGCATCCTAAAAAAAGTGGCAGAGGAGAGGGGTAATATTTACTTCGTGCTTCAAAAATTCGTGATTAAACTACATCATATCGAGACTTCCATAAAACTACAAAAATTGTTATCGGCGTTCGCTATTGACAACACGGGCGTTAGCTGTTGCAAAAAATCGTCTCTCGCAGTTCTTGTCACAACACTGTCGAGGGGACAAAGTAAAAAACTTTAGGCCAGGCCTTTTTTCTGTTAGAAAAAACGCTCTTGTACCAATAGACAACTGTACCAAAGGTATGGAAGTATTTGAAAATATGGAGAATGAAGAACAAGGACTTCAGCTTATTTTGTTTAAAGTTATTGCTAAAGAATTTTTAAGAGTAAAATATTTGTTACAAGTTTTTATAGAACTGAGTTTAAACTTGAGAATAAAAGAATGCAAAATCGAAATTTACGCTGTTGCCCAACAACTTTCATCTCGCGGCTGCGATAAATTTCTCTCACCGTCCAATAGTAGAAAATAGATATAGAATAAACGAAAACCCACACACTTGGCATCATGGTAGACGCGGAGATTTTGAAACTAATTATTATTTAAAGGATTGCTTTAATCTATCTAAATCTGTTTTAATCTCTCGAGTTCGTTAAAGGAAAAACGTACAGAAGGCTTTAAGACGTGAAACATTTAAAAAAAATCCAATTATTGCACGATTAAACTCAGGAAATGATTGGGAAAGCTATATTGATTTTTGGAAAAGAGTGGACCGCACAAATCGCACAAGTGGAAGGAGTAAATGCATTTCTCTGCTTAATAAGTTGCCGTCTTTGAATAAGATCATGTTCAATATTGTGAAATATCGAGTGAGAAACACAGCCAAAGCCCCAAATGGCTATAAGAGTACTTCTTGAAATTTGGGATTTAAAAGCAAGGGTGCAAAACTCTATAATGACGACATGTTTCGGATAATTGGCAGAGCCCAGTCGTCCTTCCATCTAGCAGTTTTGGAGTCGATCTACATGCAAACGAAAAAGCCACCATTGTGTAGACAGAAGGAGTTCGTTTTCTCTCTTGGACTCCAGTGGTAATTTTTCTTTAGGCTCGCAGCACTGATTGGTCAACTATACCGGTCTTGTGCTTGCGTTTTTCTGATTGGCCTATTTCGATCCACAACTGGGTATATATTTTTCCATCGTGTTTTTTCGGACCCTGATTCTGACGTTTTATGCTCTAAGGAGTGTGTTGATAGTATGTTGTAAAATACTGGCTTTTTTCAAAGCCATTTTCAAAAGCAAGGGTATTTTCCAATCATATTCTTCAACAAATCTGAGGCATTGAAGAATTGCATCTTCAGAATGCGGGCTACAATTCACGACTTCTTCCATTTATTCGACAGGCGAAGTGATATACCAATCGCCTTTTTGAAAAAAACCGTCTTTTAGATTCTTTTCTACATGATAGAGCTGAATAGAATATTTCTATCGAAGAACAAGAACTGCTCAAATTCAAGACTAAACTTAGAATAAAAGACAGGCTCAAACTTTATGGAAAGTATTAATCTATGCTTTTCTTCTAATTTTCATCCTTCAGTAGCATTGAAGACCCACAGCTATACAACAGCAACAGCAATCTCTTGTTTCTAATCTGTCTTAACCATATTACACTGGGGGTGAGGAGGGCGGGAAGGGCGTTTTGAAACCTAAAAATACATTTAAGCACAGAATTGAGGCTCAAAGAACTAGATGATAAATCAAGTGGAATATATGTTCACTCAATTAAAATCTTACACTCACGAGTTGTCTCAAACATCACTTTAGCTGCTTAAATGCTACTTAAATGCAAAGACAATACCACTTGAGAGTGAAACTTCTAAGCGAAACTTGGCCTAGTTTTAGAGAAATAGTGTTTGTACACATGTGTGTTCTTTGTGCTCGTTTACTAACTTAAACATAAAGCGTAATGCAAATAGGCTAATTTATGTTAAGTTATTCTATCAGTGCATTGCAAATATTTTAATTATATGTTAAATTATTTATGGTGCTCCGCTACTTCCCACACGGATTACGTAATGTAAAAATATTAATTCACGTTAGAATACTTTAAACAATACAGCTATCCCAAAACATGTCTTCATGTGAACGATGCCCAAAAGCTGAGAAAAATGCCATGGACATGGTTGGGTACCCAAAAAATGAAAATGCTGGGATATTCATGGTTTGCTTCACGCCAAAAAACCTGACAAAATGTATCGAAAAGCTTACATTAATCGCTTTCTCGAACCATTTTTGTTATAAGACACAACAAAAGGCATAAATAAACATTTATGATTATTTTGATTATATACCTGAATTATAAAACTTAATCTAATTAATCATTACTTGACAGAAACAAAGCTAGCTAAATGTTTTTATAAACAAATCCCTTTTTGAATCATAATTGTAATAACAATATTGTTTTTCAACATTATTATTTTTTAAAATGAATTATAAGATTACAGAGATAATTGGAATAATAAGATTTTAAAGATAAAAAGTTCGTTTAGGTTCCCATGGACACCTCAAGGAACAGGCGAGATCAAATTGACTTTGGCATTATCCCTGACTCATTACACTTATGCTTTCCATAACATAGAAAAATAAATATTAGTCAGAAATACATTTCTACCACCTTTCAAAATTCTGCTTTGGTTTAACTAAGCAAGTATTCCAAAACATTTTCCCACGAAAAGAAAAAAACAAAAATGAGAGGAGAGAGATCGTTAAAAGCGTCCGAATTTAAACTTGGGTTATATATTCTAAGGGGCCCTTTACATGAGACCCGAAATGAACTCATGCCGGCATGAGTTCGTGCCGGCATGAAAATTCGGTGAAATTTGCTCGCCGTTACATGAAACCCGACATGAAACTGTCGAATTCTTTCGCATGATATTCACGTGACTTCGTGCTTCTCAAAAAAGAGCGGGAAAGTTTGAGAGCAAATTTTTAAAATGGCGGCAGAGGATCCAAGGAAACTTCTTTTGATCACAGTCCTCAATTATCTAGTTTTTACAACTGGTTGCATTGCGCTACAATGCCAAATGCTTCTAGCTATACAGGTATTCTTGCAACAGCAAGAAATTAAGGAAAAGTTAAGAGCTGCGGTTGAAGATAAAAGTCGCGCCCTTTGCCGATACAGAGCCATGAGAAATAGATTTTTGAGGAAAAAAAGACGACAATGGAAAAAGCCTGGTCGCACAAGTGCATGGTGGTTAAATGTTTGGGATGAAATTTTAAGCGATGGAGAATGGCATGTTAACTTTAGAATGTCAAGGGAATTCTTTTCAGACTTGTTGTCAGAATTTAGGCCATACATTTCACCAAATCCAAATGCAGCATTTGTGCAACGGAGGCGATTTTATCACTGATTCCCCCCGATATGAAAAACTGATCTGTTTACACGACACTTTCGTGCCGGCATGAAACTTCATGCCGGCACGAAAAAGCGACATGAGATTTTCGTGCCGGCATGAAAACTCATGCCGGCATGAGTTTCATTTCGGTCAACGCCATGTAATCACAACAGTAGCTCAGACCAGCACCCGACATGAAACTCGTGCCGGCATGAAAACTCGTGCCGGCATGAGTTTCGTTTCGGGTCTCATGTAAAGGGCCCCTAAATATCTGACTATCTTGTTGTGACTTATATTCTAATTATTAAACTGAATGGCAGGCTTTGAATTGTAGAAAACTCTCTGCTGATGGAAACAACCTTCTTAGGCTGATTGTTAAGCCACTATACTGAAACTCGTGAAGAGCTCCTTCTGCAACCAAATTATCAAACCTCAACTACGGGGCTCCCCCATAGTGATTGTGATTCACGCATTCACGCAAAAAAAATTTGACTTTTCACGCATCCACGCACTGCAAAATTGGATTTTCACGCTCACGCAAACAATTAATGTAATTGCTGGACTACAACATTAGTTTCAAACTTTGAATACTAATTTGAGATTTAACTACAATTGGTTTATTACGCACCAAATTGAGGCAGTTTTTTAAATTATCATTCTAAATTTCATTCACGAATTCACGGATAGTTAAAGCCTTTTCACGCCATAACGCAAGGAAAACTCATGTTTCACGTTTCACGTAGGAATCTTAATTCATGAAATCACGCCTAAAAAATCAAGATTTCACGGTTTTGGATACAGTACTAAGGAACCCCCAACATGGTACCCTCTTCAAGGAGCACCCCCAAAGAATCTCTTCTATTCAGGAACCCCCAGGAACCTCCACCAAGAAACGTCCACTGTTGAATCCTTGTCACAGAACTCCCATCATGGGCTTTATAAAGAAATCCTATTATCAAACTTGATGAAAACCGCGATCTCAATAATACAGTATTTACCGATAATACTTTGTGGACATCTTATCAAAGAAACTCGCTAATTGGGATTGAGGAACCTTAATCCCATCTGGATCTAAGCTTGATTAATTTCAGCTAGGATATTTATAACCTTAGATGGTTTACCGCAAATAACACTCCTTATAAAAATGATCATAAGTCTTGAGGAGCGTAGGGCGGTGTAGCGTGCTTGAAAAACTAATGGCTACAAAGTTTGATTTTGATAAACAGGAAAAGTTAGGCGCTGTACCTTGCAACACCAAAGCTGAAAAATAGACTTGTACACTTTCACTGATTTAAAAGTTTTGGAAGGTAGAAGTAGTATATTATTAGTCGCCCAGTCTCGTATGCAACCACGTAGAGATCTATTTGAGATAATGAATTTCAACTACCACAGAAAAAGCACAGAAAGAAATTAGTATTTTAATAATTATCGAATTTTGCATCAGATAAATGTTTGATTTACTGGAAAACCGAAAAGATCAACATTGCACGAAATGACAAAATGTAAAAGATGTAAAAAATGGCGCTAAAATAATGAATAAATTGATCGTTCATTGTAGCAAATTCTTAGGTATTGATTTCTTAGCTAAGTTTTTGATGTCAATGTTAGTTTAAGGTAGTGCCAAATAGAAAGTAGAAAAGTAAGATAGGAAAACACACTTTACGCAAATGACATGAAGAGGAATCACTAATAACAACATTAGGTTATCCACATTAATCTTTTGACATTACATTCCACTATACCTACTCCTCCACACCCAATAAGGCAACTTTAAAGCAAGTGGAAAAAGCAAAAAAAAATAAAAACAAAGCTGAAGGGCTGAGAAAACATAGCTTTCGGACAATAAGTTTAACTAAACTTCTGCAAAAAAGAACTCTGCTTCTCAAGAGAAGGACTGTCCATGGTTGTAGTTCTAAAGGTGCATAATACAGTGGTAGGGTCAAGATTACTCACATTAGGCACTTGTAGAAGGTATGTTTTGATGGTGAAGTCGGTTGAAAATCGCTGGAAATAGAGTGTCTCTTGAAAACAGATGGTTCAGGTGTCAGGCAAAAATAAGTTCGCGAATACAAGGTGTTTATTCAGACAAAAACAGCCTGAAAGATCTTGAATTCCAAAGTTTTGCTTTTTGTGGGTTTAAGATAGGGGTCAAGCATTGCACGCTCTTCACAAGTGTATCTTTTACAAAGTGTACATAGAAAGGTTCTGACAAATGTTTGTCGCCTCAGTAGGTAATTCAAGAAACACCTTAAAAAATCAGAAATGTAATTTGAAGCAACTGGTAAGTGAACTAGCTTATAAAGATTAGATCAAAACAATAACCAATTCATAGATGAATGAATGAATGAGTCTAAGTAGCGATTGAACAAATTTGATGAGTACATTGCTCCAGAAAAGTGAATGAAACAGATGTCACAGAAAAAGCTAAATCATTCGTCTTGTTAAGTTCTTAATAATCTCAAGCAATTTTGACAATATGTTTCTTTTCGTAATGAATCTTTTCATGGCATCATTATGATTTAATTATGGTTTTGCGTCTGATCAATACAGAACTTTGGAGTCATAACGTAACAGAGGAAATGAAAAGTAACTCAACTTAATGAAATCAAGACGGCAGCTCAAATGCCTCTGTACATGACAGTAACTCGAGCGTAGGTCTTGATAAAAGATGAATTGAAGTTGTTTTCTAGACTGTTAAAAAATAAGAAATGTATAAAATTTGAATACATAATAAAAATGGCAAGATAACAGGTATTCTATTCTTCCATTCTATCTTTAAACTACGTTACTTCTCCTATTCTTTTTACCTGATGCAGAGTTATGCTCTGGACCTCGTCTTATCTTTCTTTCATGTACAAAGTCGTTATTTAATTGTATTAATCTTTGCTGGTGATTTTGGGAGGGGATGATGTCGTAGTAGAGAGGACCAATAAGTCCAGTGGCATCAGGTGTTGGCCACATCAATTTTTTTCAGTAAAAAGATGTCTAAAAAGTACCAAATATCTTGATTTTCAATCACTTTGAAGTTAAATTGCAGCCAAATCAAAGACTGCGGTTGCCACTGACGATTCTGTAACAGCGATTAAAAATCACTACAACCATTTGAATATCAATAGCGTCTTTGTTATCTCAATGGCATATGGTAACTGCTTCAAATTTCAAAAAATGTTTATCAGTCGTAGAAGCTGAGGTGAAGTCGCGTATGACAAGTGCAGAAGGAGAGACAAAGCTCATGGTCGTGGTCAGCAAAGTCTACAAACAAGGTTCTTTAACTATATTTTATAACCACCATTCTTCAGAGAATTGCTAATAGTTCCCTTCGTATTTCCTAAAATGACTCCTAGGAAATGGCAGTAGATTATTAGATCAACAGGCGAGAAAGACCGTGAACCAATACAGGATAACCTTCGCACAAATGTGACCTAAATTAGCTAATGTCTTAAGCAACATTAAAACTAAGCTTCTAGTTTGGCAATCTGTAAGCAGGAAGTAACAACTGAAATAGGCATTCATTAGTTGTCCTATACGGTATGGAGCACTTTATGACAGACAGGTTAACAGTAATTTTCATCACCATTCAAAATATTTATAAAGATACATTGTCTATTTAGGATAAAAAAGATTATATATTAAACCCAAGGCTGTGCATGTAAAGGTATCTGTACAGACATACAGCAAAAGCAAAAATTCGACGTCATATCCGCAGCAGTAATGATTTGATTATGACAATATCAGTTTAATGCATTATATTCTTTTCAAGGATCCGTGACGATAGCAAAAGGGCCGCAACAACTTTTGTCTCCAACAAGATGTGTCTGTCCAGAGGTGGATTTCGACAAGAAATTAGTCATATTTGGACACGAGGACAAGAAAAGAGGAGCGCTGATCTTTGACCCCAGATCCATAGTCGCGTTACCCTCGAAGCAGGCGAAAAAGAAACTACAGAAGTGGGTGAAAAAATACAGCCGTCATGTCACAAGAAAGCAGAAACGAAAGCAGAAGCCATCTTGAATTTAGATTCGGACTTCTCAACATCCGACATGTATTAAAAGCATTGTTTTTATTTCTTAACCCGTGACGTTTAAATCTTCCACCACGAGCTAACCCCTGTCTTTGAACACATAAGCAGAAATTCAATGTGAACAAGTTTAGGTACGAAGTGAGACTTTCTCTTGTAGATATATCTTTAATGTCTTGATCACGACAGTTTTCACGACTCTTTGTATTCCTTATATAATCTAGAACTGTGTAAAAATGACCACGTATAAATTTTTCCTCCTTCCTGATTGAACCTAATCCCTTGCGTATGGGTTACAGATCGAAAATATTTGCTGGGCATACAAGAAATACCAGATTGAAAGGGCTCTACTAGTCGGACTAAAAGATGGAATCAGAGTTGGAATCAAGTTTTCGCCAAGTTCATAATGGATAAAGAAATTGGTACAAAGTTAAAAACAAAGTCCATAATTGCGTTCCCAGAGTCCTTAAGTGCATATTCTTCGCGTTATTTGTGCTTGCAATTAATGTCTAAACAAATAAAAATTCGGTAAAAACGATTAGCATCTCTGACAGTGAACCTATCTATGACTGACCATTTCATGGGTGTTCCGAAGGTATCAAAAAGCCGACAAATCGTTAAATATGTATTGCAATTAATATATCTTCAAGTTGACAGTATTTGCTTTCCATTGCCAGGGGTATAAAAGGTGGGAGACCAGTATACGGGTCCTGAGGCATGGTTGGCTGAATTCGATGCGAGGCAGTGCGATTACGAGGTAACAACAATTCTACAAACATGATTTGTTGTTTATACGAGGTTTTTACGAAATTATAATACACATTAGGCCTTCATAAAACTTACTGTCTATCATCTAAAATGTAAAAATCAAGATTTGCAACGCATATTGATTAAATTTTATCATATAATAGGAAATATCGCTTTCATTTGTAATGATTTACGATAGAAACCGTTGTAAATGATGAAATCTAAAAACTTCAAATTTCATGATAGCATGGGATCGTATAGGAACGGACCTTTATCATGAAAGGCTAAAATCTCCTTCGTGTCGCATGCTGTAATCGTATTGAGATATAATTTTTAGGACATTATCAAAAGTATATACTTTTAGTACCTTTGTTTCATTCTTGATGTTTCGTTGTTTCACTTTTATCATATCAAAATATTGTCATCAACACATACTGCACACCAACGCCTCTTCATTGAACTCAATTCTTTGAAAGAAAATACCAATTTAGCGACTACAACGGATGGGAAGTGAGTAATTTCTGAAGGCACTGCATAGAGATACTTCCCGGCCTTGAAGAGTTATGGGGGTAACGAGAATGTTAGGATTAGGTTTTGAGCATATCAGGATTGGTTTACTAGTATATAAGGACTGGGTTACGAGTAGATCAGGATTGGTTACGAGTAGATCAGGATTGGTTACGAGTAGATCAGGATTGGTTACGTGTAGATCAAGATTGGTTATGAGCCTATCAGGACTTGTTAAGAGTAGATTAGGATTTGGTTAGGGGTAGATTAGGACTAGGTTACGAGTAGATAAGGATTTGGTTACGAGCCTATCAGGACTAGGTTACGAGTAGATTAAGATTTGGTTACAAGTAGATCAGGATTTGGTTACGAGTAGATCAGGACTGGGTTACGAGTAGATCAGGACTGGGTTACGAGTAGATCAGGATTTGGTTACAAATAGATCAGGACTGGGTTACGAGTAGATCAGGATTGGGTTACGAGTAGATCAGGATTTGGTTACGAATAGATCAGGACTGGGTTACGAGTAGATCAGGACTGGGTTACGAGTAGATCAGGATTTGGTTACGAGTAGATCAGGATTTGGTTACGAGTAGATCAGGACTGGGTTACGAGTAGATCAGGACTGGGTTACGAGTAGATCAGGATTTGGTTACGAATAGATCAGGACTGGGTTACGAGTAGATCAGGACTGGGTTACGAGTAGATCAGGATTTGGTTACGAGTAGATCAGGATTTGGTTACGAGTAGATCAAGACTGGGTTACGAGTACATAAGAATTTGTTTACGAGCCTATCAGGATTCGGAATGGAAAATTTGATAGGTAGAAATAAAATCATTTAAGGGATTGAAATAAGAGGTATTTATCTAGACACTGATCAAAGAGATGCGAGATTGAAAAAATTGACAGCGAACCAGCTATAACAAGAAATTGAAAGTATACATCTGGCTTTCTCTAATGGCTTATTTAGACCTATTGTTAGAAATCTTTATCCGTTTTAATAAGATCTGACTTTAGCGTAAAATATAGTGCAGGAACAATGCTAGATTAAAACTTTACTTATTCGAGGGAAACTTTGAGAAATGTTCTCACTGGAATGAACATCGGGATCAAGGCAAAAATTTTTATAGGATAAATCTATTCCAGTATGTGTCGAAGATTAAGAAATAAACCAGAAGATCATATCATAACCACTAGAACATAGCTAAAAATAAATACCATTTTCTAAACATTATTTTTTTGTTTTTCCGATGTCTGTCTTCTCACCAGCTCTGCATACAACCCGTTTTTTTGAAGCAGCTCCCGATGTGTTCCAGTCTGTTGAAAATAGTTGACAAAAATTTATGCGTTTCGATAGTTTTTGCCTTTCTTAGCCGTATTTGATTGTTTCTAAAAACTAAGAATTTCGTCAATTTTCAAAAAATCTTTTATCAGCAAACTATGGACTAGATGCCTCGTTGACAGACAAAACTGAACATGGAGAATACTCATACAGGCCTTGGCACAACTGCACTTGAACTGGCATATGAAATCACTGTAAAAATCTCTTGAATAAAAGAACAAATCTATAATAAGTTGAGTAAACTTGTAAATGGAAGAAGTGCTTAATTACATGTCTGTAACAGAACAAAGAGTAGGGTATAGATGAGGTACAATAGTTTAATTGAGATCATCTGTTGAAGTGAAAACGAGTCTAGATCGCACAATAAGATCAAACATCGGGAAATAGGTAATGAAAACGAGGTTAAATTGCTAACTGGAAACAAGTAGGAACTTGAACCAGTAGTGACTGAATTAATATTAAGAGAGCGGCATACCTCACGAATCTTTCCATTTGAAATAACTGCGATAAGATCTGTAAAAATACATTACTTTTAGAGCAATTGAACTGCTACGCCTGATAAAAGCATTTGAGATGAGGTAATGGAAAATAGATATGTAATAGGCAAGGACCGAGATACCGGGGGGCCAGGGGGGCCTTGGCCTCCGCAAAAACTTAACTGGTATAAGTTAAATACTTTTGTTTTGTAAAATATGGCTATTTTTACACCTATTTATAAGGGCTGGGGCTGCCCCCCAATAGGGCTGCCCCCCAAACAAAAAGTTGTATCTCGGTCTTTGGTACTAGGCATATACAATCGCCAAGTGTAGGACAAGGAGATAAACTGATAGGAATAAATTGTTATATAAAATTACCCTACTTCTGGCGTAATACACTGAGGTATAATATGCAGGTGCAGGAAACAAACATTTTAAAGGAAAAATTGCTTGAATTTGTTCAAAGTGGTCTTACGACGATTTTGCACCCATATTTTTCTAAGATTGTTGTTATTATTACTGGTCTTGATAAATCTAAGATACAATACTAGTAAAGATTGAATAGTATCGCATTAATACTAAAATTGCTTCCGCTAGACAAGCTTTTAAAATCATACAAAACATATACGCAACTATTATCTTTGATAAAGGTAATTCACAACTATTGCAATAGACGGCAATCTGTAAGCAGGAAGTAACAACTGAAATAGGCATTCATTAGTTGTCCTATATGGTATTGAGCACTTTATGACAGACAGCTAAACAGTAATTTTCATCACCATTGAAAATATTATAAAGATATATTGTCTATTTAGGATAAAAAAGATATATATTAAACCCAAGGCTGTGCATGAAAAGGTTTCTGTACAGACATACAGCAAAACCAACCTGCATTAATAATTGTGCTAAGTCTGTGAGCTATAACAAGGACTGTCCTCCCTAAAATAAAGCAGTTTTTTCGTCAGAAAAGTAAATGTACAAAAGATTGAAACAAAAAGCACATTAAACATGCTAGGCAGACATTACATGAGCACGAACTATTCATCAACTATCTACTACCATTATAAAACAAGGTTCTCAAAAGCAATAAAAACCTTAAAAAACAAGTTGTGAAGTTCAAGACTTATGGAAAGCAAAAAGAGGCCTTGGTATTGAAACTTTTTGCTGATATAGCTGTTTATAATATGACTGCGAAACTCACTTAGGCAGTACATTTTACTCCTTCTTCTGTGCCAGTTAGACAAAAGGTATGGGACGATTACCCCCGTCACCCTTGGAGAGCAGGCGTTTTTAGGCCCTTGTTGCAACCAAAAGTCTTCTAGAATCAAGACTCCATATTTTGCCCTTAGGTTTTCAAAGACGAACATTTACCTTTTGAGACATTGTCTAAAGCATCTTGGACAATCCGCTCTGATTCAGCATCCAATGCACTGAAAAAGCCAATCAAAAGTTTCAGATGTCAGTTCAAGGTTTCACCCTTAAATCGAAGTCTCACCCGTAAACAGGATACATTGTACAAGGAAATAATATGTCAGACAAGCAAGCCTTTTAATAAAAGGGACTTTTTAGGGGACAAAACTTAATAAATGAAGAAAAGGTATCCTTGATAAGAAAACGTTTGTCTTTTTTGATTTGGATAAATTTAGCTTTTTTAGAGATGCCGAAAACAGCTCTCTGTTAAAAGCAGGCATGAACCATTATCGTTTCTTAAGAAACATTCCAATTCGTGCATCACTGTCTAATGAATAAGAAGCAGAAATGGGTAGCACATAGTCAGCGAGGCATTACTTGCAGATCAACCTTCCCTTTGGCATCAATTCCCTTTTGCCGAGTAAGTGATCTCCATTAAGCAAATCAAGGTTAGGGGTCTAAAGGGAACAGTCGAAAAAGTTTGTAAGTCAACCCTCCCTGAAAATTACTAAATTACCGCAGTGAGTAGCACGGAGAAGAGTTTTCACATTACAAACAAATTCACTCCACCCTGATTGTCATTGCAAAAAGGAATTCAACTTGCTGAATAATAGAATTGCAAACTACCTTGTTGCTTCATCGAGTATCAAAATCTTGGGGTTTTTAATCAACGCTCTTGCAATCGCTATCCTAAGACAAAATAAATTCATCGATGAGGATTCGCTCTCAAATCACGCCTAACATATTCTTTATATTCCTCACTTTTTCAAATCATTAAAACAGTTACGCGAAGAAATATCTCTTATATTTTGAAATAAACATTCACTTTATGTTACATGTAAACCTCGATCAAATACACGCCTTGTTCATTTTTAGAAACTTTTCTGTGTGAAATCTCTTCTGACTGATCAACTGTCTCTCTTTCATCCTCAGTTGATCTCGCGTCTCGACTTTGGAGACACCGTCTTCTGTGTAGGCTTTTGCCAAACTCCAGTTTTGCAATCGTGTTTAAGCGAAATTTTTATTCCTTTGGATTTACATTAGGTCTGGTTTCATCCTTATGATTGTAATCGTTTTTTTATTCTGGTAACTTAAATAGTTTTTCAATAACATCACAGGCCGGATGACACTAGCTGGTAAAATCGCAGCGACAACACAAAACTGGTTTCAACTTGAGCGACTGGAATTACGTCTCCGCCATAATCTAGCTCATATCTAAGATGATAAAATTGTGAACCACCGTATTTAGGCCCTTGAGCTTTGTTGATCTAGGTTTGAATGTCAATTAACAGGACAACAGATATCTTGGTAGAGTATGGAGAGTGTGGTAAAAAGAAAGGAGCTTCAAATGAAATATAAAAACTTTATTAGCTATCACAGCTCCCATTGAACTCAAAATGAAACGATACTAACAACTTGTATTGGAAATATCTCTTGCTAGGTTAACTGAGGAATTTCTGACACTGAGAATTCAGAAAATGAGGAGGCACCTTATTGCTAAACAAGAGAAGACCCCATAACATAAATAAAAAACATCTTTGTTGGTTGACAGTTCTTTAAGAACAAAAACTGAAAGACTGGTATACACCTATAGACGATTCAGGAATTACCTTTGCTTCTGGCCTCCTGATACAGTGACGCCTCTTTCTCCAACTATAGTCTCATAACCCTAGCATGTATAGAGAGAGGCATTAGGTACAAGCTCTGGGTGTTTTATAGCTTAAAATGAAAACCAATATACAATTAAAAGTATCAGCAGCGAAGGGTAAAGTTGTATACTTCTAATTATACGTACATCTGGAAAACTTCTTATGAAATCGTCAGCATTTGCCAAGCGTGCAGCTTGATATATCTGAGAAAGGTAAAACGAAAGTACATAAAATTTACCAAAATAACCCAATAGTTCATTTTATAACCTAACGGACTTTGCTCTGGTTCAATCTATGCCAAAAAGCAACAAAATATTGCAACCATGAAGCTTCCTTTAAGTCGATTCGTTCTGTACCATCACCAATCAATTTGATCCAATCATATCGATTCGTATCAATATTATCTCAATGTCCTTTGTTATGTTATTCTTTTTGCTTCATTTATTCTACATCTTTTGTCACTAATGTCAAATTTATATATTCCATGTAAGTAACGGAATAAAAAATAATCATGAAATTTTTACTTGGTTTCCAAATACATTTACGGGGAAAAAGTTTTCCTATCACAAGATATATTTCTTACCAAGATGACGCAATAGTTACATTGCTAAATCTCACCTCTTCATCTGTGGCATCTGTTTTTCCATACCTAATATTTTCTTTTACTGTTCCAGCAAATAAAACGGGTTCCTTTAAAGCAAATTAAGAAATAGTACAACAGGAAGAAGTTGTAACACGGACCAGAAACATAAGCCTTTAAAGCATTGACAACGATTCTTTAAAAAAACTAGCAAAAACATACAAATGACATGAATGACAATACCACCATGGAAAAGCTCTCAAAACATGTGAATTTAATTAAGTCTCGAGCTACCCATCAGATATTGAGTACAGTAATGAGATTTATAATTTCTTTAAAAAATCTTCCCGAGTTACAAAAAACGACTGTATTTGCAAATTTCAGCTGTTTGGTCATCTTTCGATCAAAGTTGTACATTCTAATGAAAATCGTCGAGACGTAAATTCTACACTTACTATCAAATAAATTACTTTATTACGAAACAGTGTATACGTGGTCTTAAGATGGGGTGGTGCAAATGATGTTGCCTTCTTCACCGAAAAAAGAACCTAAAGAAAGATTGCAATTTCAATGTTCATCTGTTTGGATATAGTAAGGTAAGCATCAACATCATTATTATACAAACCTGGTTTATGAAACCAATAAGGTCGCCTCTTAGCCATGACTTATCGAGCTCCTTCACATCATAGCCGTCAATAGTGACTGCACCTGAGTCCAAATCGTAGAAGTTTTCAAGAAGCGATGCTATCGTTGACTTGCCTACCGATGTACAAATTAAAAACACTTTGAATTTGGTGCCAGTCATAAATAAACACAAGAGTGTTAGGTATCAAATCTGCCCTCATGACATACCAGAAAAATGTTGAAAGTTCGAGTTGCAGGAAAAAATTGGGAGATATGCTACTAAAGACGGGACCACATCGATTCCATATTTTTTTTGCTCCTCATTGACAATGTAGGTTTTCATATTGTCATAAGCGAGTTTTTCTAAAAGAGTTATTTTGGTAGGCAAATATGGGTACTCAATTGACCAATACAATGTTATAAAGTCACATAAGGATGGGGCAAACATCTGTTCCAGACAGGGATATCTAGGGTACATCTGATTAGGTTCATACAGGGTTATTAAGATATCTAGGGTGTATCAGCATGTCCAAGAAAGGTCTACTGAGTTATCAAGGGGGTATTCACATGGCGCAGACAGAGTTACAAAGTGATCTTCTCGCTGGAGTATAAAGTAATAAAGACTTACCCAATGACATTAATAGAAATATATTGCAATTAAAATTTCAGTTTATCCGTAAAACTGGCTGACTTGCTTAGGATCGTCTCTAACTTGCAACATTTTTGAATTTTATACTGTTTTAGTACACATGTATGTAAGTAGATGTATGTTTAAGTTTCACAAAACCTTTTTCTTCTTTCATATTTCTAATAGCCCCAGGATAGACTGATACTTCGTTCTACAGGGTATCGTCCTTAGTAGTGTTGTAGAAGAATTTCCTGTATGTAAAGTATTTTGTGATATGTACTTGTAAATTTTTGTTGGATTATATATAATTATATATGTAAATAACTAGACAGAGTTATGCAAATACCTAGGAAGCACTAACCTGAACCACTTGGTCCACAAAGTGCTATAACTTTCCCTGCACCAATATCTAAACTCAGATTGTCCAATACTTTCTGGTCAGGCCTGGTTGGGTATGAGAAGGTGACAGACCCAAACCTGACATGTCCATGGATGCTCCCTGTTGGAATTATTTTGTCATGTTTCAACTCAACTTTTGGTTTCATTTGTATGTACTCAAATACTCGGGCACCAGAGCTAAGCCCCCTTATTACCTGCCCAAAGAGAACAGATAACGTTCCAAGAGACCTGAAATAGATAAGGCAAATAAAAGAAATATGAAACATTTTGTGAACAAAACTACATTGAAATATATTATGAGAGCTGTGATTTATTTCTTAAGAGACAAGAAAAAGTCTTTCCTAAGTATTCTAAATGGCTAAATGAGTGCTAAAATGCACTGAGCAAAGGCCTGACTTGGAATCATCAACAGGCCATATGTGAAATGCTAAAATATTTCAAACAAAAATATTGCTTATCATTCATTGTTTTTGACTCATTTTTTTAAAAATATACCTTTGAATTGTCTGTGTGGCCATTAAAAAGCTCATCAAGTCACCAGGAGTGATTTGCTTTGAGTCAAGTAATATACCACCATAGTAGAGAACAACCAATGTCATTCCATTGATTGCAAAGTTGGACAGTCCTTGGAACACCCCAATTCCAGCTCCTAGATATTCGTTGAGGCTTTTTGATTTTTCAACTTCATCACTATACCACCTGATGAGAAATAAATCTTTTTTTGTCAGTTTATAAAGATCATTTTCTATTCAAGGAAAGTTGGTATTCTTATGGTGTCTCTTTATATATATCCAAGTATATATAAAAATGCCTTACATATATTACACAAACTTTAATATTAAGCATCCAATCTCTGTGAGACTTAAGATAGCAGTCAGCTCATACAAATGCTCTTTACAACTACCAATAATCCTGAAAAATTACATACAACATGGCTGTTATAGCAACTAAATTGTTCTTGTGAGTGTGCCCTAAAAAATTATCAAAATACCTTGCTTCTAATAAACAACCCCTCTTGTTCTAAAAAAATGGTGTCCCCTTGATAATTCTGTATAATTGACAAATGTTTCCATTAAAATTAACACATAAAAAATGCTTTTCACGGCTGCCAAACTTCCTTATGCAATGGACAATGGCTCTACAAGTGAACTCACTCAGTTTCTTTTGCCTCCATTGCAAATGCCCTGACTGTCCTCATGTTGCCAAGTGTCTCTTCTGCAACTGCAGTTGCCTTGGCAACTTGCTCCTGAGCATGTCTTGACATCTTCCTCAGCATTGAGCCAAGAAAAGTTCCAAACAATACAATTCCAGGGAGCAGTACAAGCATCACTGATGTTAGCTTGGGTGAGACGATGTAAAGCATACAGACACAACCTACTGTTTGAGTTACACTCTTTACACCCTGTGATATGCACTGCTTGAACGAGCTCTTGAAGTCTTGGATATCTGCTGTCAGGCTGGAAAAAAGTAAATAAAAAGTTCATATAGATAAAGCACATTTCTATATTAATTTCCTATATTATAAAGGCAGTGGAGGTTTTAGGAACTGCAGGGCCTGGGACCACTAATTCTCCCTTGTCTATTTAAACCTTGTTCTTTACAATTTTTATCTTGTTTATTAGGTGCAGGGCTACGATAAGCATGTGGCCTAGAGACTGAGGCCCCTGTCACTGTCCATGGGAGCAAAATTCTGATGGCAATGACTGTATTCTAAAGTTTTACATTTTAAACCACTTTCATGTTCTGTCTCATTAGTTCAACCTGGTTTAAGAGCACTGCTTTGAGTGCATTGACTAAAAGAAATTCTCAACATAAAAGGGAAAAGGTTTTTCTCTTGGACCTCACTGAATGCCCTTCACTGCCCTTAGACCCCAGCTCCAATAATTGATGGATGGCTGGTGCCCCTTTTTTGTTAATGTTTTACCACTGTTTGAAATCCCTATCTACGTCTCTGTTTTTCCTTTGCAGGGCCACCACTAGGAGGGACAGGCCCTGGGGTATATGCCACACAGGGTCCCAATTTGCACAAAACGTCTTTTAGGTTGCATCTGGCTTTGGCTCATTGAAGACAAAAATGGGTTTCATACGACACTTTGTAGCAAGCCCTTGTAAGATCTCTTGAGATATGATGGTGTCTCAGTAAGTTGCACAAATAATCTGTGCAGCGGGTCTCTTCCCATTAAAAAGCTAGACATAAAATTAACATAATGATTTACAGAGGTTCAGATTTAAGTCTCAACAAAAATTATCTTGAGAAGATAATATAGAATTCACTCACCGGTTCACAATCTCCCCAGTTTTATGTGCATCAAAGAAGGCTATGTCTTGGTTAACCAGCGACTCAAATAAAGTGATTCTCAATCTTGCAGCAAATCGCTCACCAAATGAAGACAACAATGTAATATATAGAAATGTTAGTCCAGATTGAAGTCCATAGTTTAAAATCAGTTTTACTGATGGTCTATAAAGCACATTAAATGCATTATCTCCTGTTGAGTTCTCTTGTGTCAATGAGCTTATTGCATTGATGAGTTCGCCAATGAGATGAGGAAGTTTGATATTAACAAGTGCAACCAAAAATGCTGTCAAAGAGGCTAAGGTAAACAACCATAAATCTGGAAGAAGCAGTCTAAAAAACAATTTCCAGTCTAAGGCAGGCTCTGGGTCCTCGTCTTTGTCCTTCTTTTCCTCATTTTTGCTTCTAGGTATCCTACTCTTATGACTCAACTTCAGTCCTTCACAGTTGGCAATTTTCTTCCTCAGAGATACTCCACCAATTAATGAAATAGTCCCACAACATTTGAAAAAAAATCTTTCATTTTTTGACAAGTTTGTCAAAAAGTTTGAAAGTTTCTCCAACTGAAAATTTTTCTTTAGAGTTCTAAGGAAAATGAAAAAAATTATTTAACTTTGTTTGGAATACAATGTAACACATAAAATTCTAGAGAAAAGTTACTAAATGGCATTTGAAGTTTGAAAAATTATTCAGTTCCACATAGTAAGAAGAAACTTACTGGAATTTTGGGCCTAAAGTTAAGCCACGATTCGCAGTTTTAAGCGGACATGAAGAGCTCCATTTCTGAGAAAACACATGACATCGCAAAGTTCTGAAGTTTGGACATAAATTGTACAAAGGACGTCTGAACAAAACAGACATTTTAATACAGAAAATATCGGCCCGGCTCTTCCTAAATACCAAAGTCCCTAAACATTGAACTCTAGAACTGGAGCGCCATGATACAAGGTACCTCATGTAAATATTCACACGAACAAAGGGCTGTCAGTTTAGCATAGTGTTTTGAAACTAGATTCGGCTTCAAAAATGATTTTACTTAGATTAAAATTTATTGGGTTTTCCAACAAATGATAACTTAATTAGTTTTGAACTAACTTCAGTTTTGGTTTCAGCTGCATTTTCTGGCAGCCTCTGTTGACTTTTTGCACGTTTTCTCAGCTTTAGAATCAAAGCATTGCTAATTTTTTCATTTCAAGATTTATACCGAATCTTCTAGGGCCTGGCACGAGAATTGGACAAAAAACTGGCTAAGAAGAATAGTCACATGGTGAACAAAATTAGCACACGATCATAAGCAAAGTGACTGTGGCCATGAGTCAGTGTTATCTCGAGAATCATTTTAATCATTAGCAAACAAGGCCGTTTCTTTATTAGGAGTCTGTCTGTACCAGATCTGTACCAAAAAAGTCCTTGTGCAGACATTAAAAATATATATTGTCTCTTTAGCACAGCATATCTGTGAAGGGAGAGCAGTTGCAACTTGGTGCCAAGAAGGAATTATTCACACTTATATACCAGGCAGCTTCTAAGAACAAACTTGATGGTTTCAATTGATTCTTTGCTGTGGCTTTGCTATGCTGTGGTACTTGATTATTTTTTTTCAAGAGCTGCAAGCAATCCCTTGTCATTTAAAGAAGTTTTATACCAATAGTTTTGTGCAACTTCTATTATGAATATGGAAACCTCTGAGGAAAAGTAGACCTGTAGAGATATCTTTTTTGTAAAAGAATGCAGCCACTGCGACAAAAAATAACGATTTCCATATTTTTGAAAAAACATCAAACATTTAACCCAGGGAAAGAAAAAAAATTGTCTCATACAAAAAATTATCGAAGCATTTGGCTAAGCAATGTGTCTGCAGGTTTTGGCAAGTGTAGGAAATGTCTCAGAAGCACACAGTTTAGAGTTAAAGCAATGAAAGTGACAAGACGACAAAAAATGGACACAGTTGTATTTCATTGGCCACTTTTACCAACAAAATTATTATAATGTCATCAAGCTACGTACAACAACTGGCTATAATGATTTGTTTATGGGAATTTATTCCAAGATTCGATCACTTTTAGTCCTTAAAAGCAGTCTAAATGCAACACGATGAGAAATGAAAAATTGATGACTATAAGGACGATGAAAGTTGTCAGCAAGGATCTCTTTGTGAATCCGATTGATCGAAACGAGGCCTTCAGTCCCTCTCTTTTTCATCGTCCAAAATGAAGGTGATACTGAGAAAAGAGCTACCATTACTTTCTTTGCTTCTAAAAAGTAACCTTTACCCGGTATAAGTAGCCCTCACTGGACCCAGCGAAATATAACGAACTACTTTGTTTAATAACTATGCTTTTGACGTCACGGGCTTGTCCACATCATGGCCTTCAACGGCGCGTAATAATCTGTAGAGAGCCACTGCTTCTCGAACGCTGCTGAATTCAAGGCAAAATGTCTGAACTTCGATTAGTATGTCCTGAAATAAAAGAAGCATTGCTTAATCATTTTTGTTTACTGTCGTTAATACTAGACAGCTGGGTTGCAGAAAGTGAACGTGCATCGATGATTATACTTTAGATTAAATTAAAAGGCTACATGTAGTTTTAGGAGTAATTTCTGAGGCGTGGTAGAACGAGTAATTAAGTAAAGAGTGTCAGATTCAGACCCGATATACCTTTTTACTTGGGTCTACAATTCATCGCTGGTTCTAGAGAATTTAAATTGGTTTGTGACTTTATTCGAAATCAGGTCCACAAAATTTTACGGAAATTGCTCTTATTATACACAGCTTTGTAAATATCCTTGAAAAACGAACGTGGGGAACAAAGGAAGCCTGGAGTGCTGATAGAAAAATCAAATGAACATGAACATAAAGCGTTCCTCTCTCTAACGGGTCATGTTGATATGTTAACCCGTAAGCATTAAACTCAGACGTGAACGAGGCAACCTCATATTCGCAGAAGATCGATGAAACAAAAATAGTGCAAAATCTTTGGAGGAGCTATTGCTCATAAACTAGTTGTCATAAAATTTGTTTGAAAAACTTTTGCGGAGTAAACCCAAATTGCCCAAATAAAAAATTATGGTGACCTTCATAAATTCTGAGTGTTAAAAAAAATTATTCAACGCCTTTATCAGTATTTCTTCCACATTTTTGCGAAAATTTTCTATCGTTGGGAAAATAAGGATAATTGAATATTCTTATTACAAATTCAAAGTTCGGGGAAACTTTAAAATACAACGGCGGAACCTTGGACGAGGGCCGATGTTAGAGAACTGGCGTGAAGAGATATGACGTAAGATGTATCAAATACCGATATTATAAACCAAATACCGGTTTAACTCTGGTATTAACCAAATACCGGTTTAACTCTGGTATTAACCAAATACTGGAGCGTAGTTGCAAGCACAATACAAACTGAACCAGATAGTTACCTGAATGTTGATGATCTTATTGCGAATTAATGACTGGAGAAAGACACAGACCTAAAATAGAATAACAATAGGTAATACGATGACAAACATTCTTATCACAAACACATCCTAGCTATATCACCCAAAATTCATATCATTAAAACTAAAATATTAAATGCATTAAAATGTATGCAATGTACTCTTTGGTGCCTAATAGACGTCCCGCCCCCCGCTTATTATTTTTTTAATTTTTTCCACCCAGGACATTCTTATTCCAATTTTTGAATTTTTGAATAGAATATCTGATATATGCTGTTTTATTACAGTTTCTGTGATATTCTATAAGAAAATTTAACATTTAAAGAATTATTGCTTTTCTCCACCCCCTTGCTATTAAGTTTCTGGGAATTTTCCAACCTCCCGACTATTCCACCCCACCCGCTTGTTCCAATCCCCCTTCTATCAGGGATTAAAAAGTACCTCAAGTTTTGAATTCTTTTTAAAAGATGCTACAGCTGCAGTTTTGAAATCTTTCGAAAAGATGCTACAGGTGCAAATTGGAAAACATAATGTATCGAACAAACTTTTTTCCAAAAAAATGCTTTGCGGACTCATTGTTACACTAATCGACGAGAATGCGATTTTTCGAATCATTCAACCGATTATTCGTGATTCGAGCTTCGATTCACTCATCAAACACAGCCTCGAGCACATCTCAGTCAGTTGACAAAGTACAAAGCATTTTATATCAAAATTTGAAAGCTGCTCAAGCAAATACAATTAGACCAACTTTCAAAGAAAAGCTCAAGACATACTTGGACGTAATAAGACACAAAATCCATCAGCTTTAATTGGAGAGGGCGACTGGGGGAAGCAAGCAACTAAAAATAACCAAGATGCTATCGAAGCTTGATGGCCTTAAGGAGGGCTATGAATCAAGAGTTAAACGGTGGCTGGATTCGAACAACCGTTACAAACAGTGTCATGTTGGATTGTACACTGAAGCTGAATCTAGACCATTTCGACCAGCTTTTAATATGGACGTAACATGGGATTCAAATATAAATTTCGTGAGCACTGATGATCGGGCATTTGAAAACACGATGGTACTGATGCAGACTACAGATCGTGAATTGAAAAATGGCAAAATGAGTTTTACTCCAATTTACAATATGGAGACTAAATGGAATTCAAACATAAATCTGGTATCAAACGATGGCGCCACAAGATTAGAATCCAGTCTAGATCCTGACTCAGATTACTCATCTAATTATATCCAGTGTGATGAGCGGTATTTTTCAACAAATCATGTAACCAATCTGAGAAAACCTTGCGTTCTTCCAGATGGTAAGGTTAAAAGGACTGTCAAGGAAACTGAAAACGACATTAACTTTTTAGACATTTGTGAACTTCCCGCATTTAAGACGCTGTATTTCATGGAAGTTTATGGGAAACACTGTGATTTGGGAAACGATTTAGAATCTGAATCTGAAAAGCCAGATTTGAAACCAGGTTGTGGATGTAAATGCCACAACAACTTCTTTATTCGCTGCCCTAGGCATTAGGTGACTACAAGAAGCATGATAAAGCTAGCAAGCACTGCAGATAATTGTCTAAAGTCCTTTGCCATTAGCAATTTGGTTTTTGGTATCCGTTCATTGCTCGATTCTTCATATTAAATTTTAAAGTTTCAAGTAATGTAGATAAAACTGGCAGTGTCATCTCAGATATTTCAGATAAAACTTCGCGGTATAGGCTTAAGCCATGGGTTGAAAATCATATTGACTATAAATATAGCGATTTTGTTTAAAAACGATAAACTATACTTTAATTTGATACTATCAATCACAGGCTTGTCAGAAAGAGTGTTAATTAATTTGTAACATGTTTCTCAAAACCTTGCAGTCAATCGTAAGCCTTCGATACATCTTGGAGCCATCAATTCCTTGATTTAGCTTACGTGAAATATTTCTTATCACGAAAGTTTGTAAATGAATGTATAATTGTATTACTTTTGAATAAAATGTAAATTTTGAAAAGGATTATAATTCTGTTTTCTCTCATCTCTAAGTTGGAGCGAGCATGTTTACTCTAACGTGAATAGTAACTACAAGGGCGCTAGCTGGAAGGATGGCCTTGTGGAAGGATGGAAGGATGGCCTTGTGAAAGAAAAACAATCTAGATAGATTTTAATTTCATCGTAAATACAACTTTTATTATTGTGAAGGCACCTTGCGATTGTTACCTATTCTATAGAACACCAATCCTAAAAAATACCCTTACATTTTAATGAGCATTGCCCAGATGCGTTAATCATTGTAAATAGGGGAATAATGTTATGCTCGATTGCCTTAAGACATACACTGGTGACGGTAGCATCTGCAAATTTCACTATATAACTTATGAGATGACCAAACACATCCACGTCTGCTGTCGACTTAAGTTGGCAATTGCAGCTGATTTCTGTTTAATTACTTTCCTAGAAGAAAACCTGTCAAGGCAATTGATAAATAGAAACACGACTCACCAGTCGCACAAGTCTGCTCTGGGTGTACTTGTCTTTTATCGTCTCGCATTTGGAAATGCAGTTTGATATGTAAAGGTGAATGAACTCGCGCGGAAGCTCCACAGCCTAAAATACGAAAAAGTCAATTTCAAACTTTATAACCTCGTAGTAGCTTTCGGAGGAAAATGGTTCAGAACCCGGTTTGGAATACACGTGCTTTTTACAATAAGGTCACGATGATGTATCCAGTGAAAGGAATTGCTATGAAGCCTAGCCTTGGATTGTTCGTTTGCTGTTTAATGATGATCTGTATATAGTCAGGAGTCGTGTGTTATTTATATTGAAAAGGGTAAAACGATTATGGATCCCTAGATCGACATAACAGTAGCTTGTGTTGTGGACATTGATAGAACACCATGAAATGGCTTCTAGTTGAAATGGCCTCTAGTAGAAATGGCCTCTAGTTGACCATGTAAAGGTGTCATGTTCTGTACAGTGTTGAGGCAAAAAAAAGCCATGGCCAGTAAGGTAATATGCACAAAAATAACCCTGAACAGATATCTAAAATTTCCGGATCGCAAAGTCACAAGAATTTCAATTTCGAGCATTGCAAAAAAGCACATTACGGGGTGAAGCAAAACTTTTTTCTTTTTGCTAAGGAAACTTATGTAAATTTCGCAAATATGTCAAAGGGAAATATTCGGTAAAAAAATTAAAAAATTTTCACTAAAGTTAAGGTAACATTCGAAAAAAAGAGAAAGAAAAACAGCATAATGAGGATAATTCCAGCGCTCGGTCACTCGAAACCTCGATAACTCGAACTGGTTTTGCATTCCCCTGTAACCCTCCCGAACACGCTTGAGCATCATATAACTTAAGCATTCGGTAACTTGAGGTTGTTATCGTTTTGTTAGCAGGTTAACACTGTAGAGAAGGTTCGAAGAGGTACAAGAAAATGTGCGTCAACATTCATCAGACACATTCTGCTAAGCATTAAGATGGACAGTTGGTAACCGTGGTTAGGACATCTAGAATTACGTAATCACTGGGACTTTTAAATCCAGACCAAAGTAAAATAAACTTACTGTTGTCAGTCTATTGACAACCTCCATGGAATGCAACGACATCCCCATGTTAACCAGGACTGTGAAATATCTGAAAACAATCGCAGAAAATTAGATGAGGAGAGAAAAATTAGTTTAAGATAAAAATTCCCTTCAAGAAGCCCTGAAGAAGAGACTGAAACAGATGCGGCTCAGATTACTAGGATATCTAGTGAGGAGAGTGGCCAGAATTTCTGGGATGGGAAATCGCGGTGTTCAAACATATAGACAGAAGAAAAACTCGTCAATCTTAGCTGTACGGTGATTTAAAGCATACAATGACTGTCAATAGTCCTAATAACACCAAATAACTATCACACCAATTAACTGCCACACCCAAGTACTTACACACTCAATAACTGTCACACCCACATACTGTCCCCACCAATTACTGTCACACCAAATAACTATCGCACCAAATTTAGAACAGCTTAGATAAATATCAGGAAAGTTACGTGAAAAAGTACGCATCTTAGGTTACTAGTCACTTTGTAGTACAGGTAGAGAGATTTGTTGAAATGAATTTTAAATCGACAAGAGTATTCCTTAGATTTTTGACAGTAATTGTACCAATCACAGCAAGGCAGTAATAAATATACTATAACAATTTCCAAGAATTGTATGATCATTTCCTAGAAAGTTATTTTTCGAGCTTTCTCGCTTGCAAAATTAAAGTGGAGAGCAGGCTGACAACATACAGATCACAGAACGATGTAAATAAATCATGAATGAAATGTCTCATTTAGTATATATAAGATATCTTACTCTGTGATTTGCGTTGACTGCATCATCTTCAACAATACCTCAATCGCAACTAGAGGGTTATTTTCCACAAGATCAGGAAGCTGCGGGAAGTTCACATTTTATAAAAACATGCACAGATATTACATGGCCGTACGGCTATTTCAAGTTTACCGACGTTTATTATTCAAGCAGATGCGTGAGACACATTGGGTTCAGGGGTGCCGTCCTTAAACCGTGGGAGGGTGGGGGGGGGCTTTGCTGTAGGAAACTTCTAGAATTCCCATCTAGAACCACACCCATAATCAACCCAATATTAAAGATGCATGTTAAAGATTCTCTGTTCTGCATATTAACCGACTGCACATCTCTGATCCATAATATCCACCGAGACCAAAAGGCTGACAGAACATGCGAAATTCATGGATGCAGGGTAGAGTCGAATGCAGGGTAGACCTTTGACATAAGCAACTAGAGACATGGCTCCAGCTATATTTGCAGTAGACAGCTATATCCAAAATACTCGATTCGTATCAAGGAATTCTTTCAGTGACTAGGAAAGAGGGCAACACCGAAATTGAAAGCTCTTTTACCAGCCGTGTATCAGAGTATCAAATTGCTGGACGACGATTAATCATAGACGACTGTGTTAATACTGTCACGTAAATCGACGTTGGCCAATAAGACTGGACTGACTGGTTGTTTTAGCCAATCAGCACCCTCGTTCAACACTTTGATACACGCTCATGCTTCCAACATAAGATGTTTCTCTTGATATTGACAAATTCCAAAGTTTCTTAACAAAGCTAACAGGCTAGACTAGCCAGTTATTCAAGCAGCGCCAAATTCAATTAGCGGAGTGACGGCTCGGAGGCTTTGGACAGGTTTATTCTACTAACCTTAACTGGTGTGAGTCCAACGTGATAAACTAGCTTTGGATCTTTATCAAGTTCACTTAAAAGTTGCTGAAAAGAAAGAGTATGCAGTCAACGTCTAAGCAGTTGGCTGCCAGGAATCTTCATCTGACTACGAGTAACGAAATCGAATATAAAATTTACACACAAACAGAATATTGATTCTGTAAACATAGCGATGAATCATAGGTTCTAGCTCTTTAAATGATTAAGAGCTCCGATTACAGACAATTCACTACACCATATTACCAATCAGAGTTCAAGAATTTGACAACAAACATGCCTCGATAGATTAAGGCCTGATTCCTGTTTTTAACCAGCGTAGAAAGAGATACATTGTAAAATATGTTGAAAGATAATATTTTTTCTTCAAATATTGATACTTTTGCTAAATGCACAAAAAACTGCCGTTACACACTAAGTAGAGATTTTTCTGAGAATGTTAGTTACGAAGGCCCATAACCTCATAATTATGGAGGATTTTGAAATACTCACACTGCTTTAAGACTAGGGAACTATCTAATCTTCCTAGTCAACAAATAGGATTTCGCGATAATAAATTACTGTCAAGAAATTTGCATGATATGAAATATATGGCAATCTTTGATGATCATTTCTTGGCCTTGATTTGCCAAAAACAAAGCAGCAAAATTATCTGGAAAGAAGCTTTGTCTTTTATTGTAATTTCTCTCTTACCATGACAACAATTCTAAATCGTCGTATGCAATCATGAAAGTATGCCCACAATGTCAAGAACATGACTCTGAAGTGTCAACAGAAACCACACAAGAAAAAAAACGAAAATATAACCATAGATAAAATAATTTGAAAGTCATTACCTGTTGTTGCATTAATGTCAACGGACCCTTAAATGCTTTTGACATTAGCTGTCTCAACTCTGCTTCTAAAAATGCAAAAAGCTCATATAAATGACACAAATAGCTGTGATTAACTTCTAAACTTTCTGTCTGATAAGTGCAAACACAAAAAAGCTTTGAAAAAAGCAAATTATCAAGACAAATTTAAGCTTTTCGTCGAAACCCTTTAAAGGTCTAAAATATCATATCGTGATTAAGTTAGGAAATATACACATCCCAGCTGTGGAAACACAAACATATAACAGTGAGGGCTGCCATATCAATTCTGCTTTAATATAATCCCACACTATATATTATATTATTTACAAACACACGAAGATGCAAGAAAAGCTTAAGAAAACCTGAAAAGACCTTAAACTATTAAAATAGGTGGACCAAAACATTCTTTCGTGACAATTTAGTGACAACAATAATCATCAACTTCAAATAGATATCTGTGAAATAATACCTTTGGTGTTCTCAGCACACATCATCAGATCCCATTCAACTTTGTAACTTGATTCTGGCGGATTCAACCAAATCATCTACAAATCATTCAATAATGAGACAATAATACCATGTGAAGTTCTAATTTGCAATTCTAAGGAATTAAAATAGAGCTAAAATGGCGTTCCTTATAGTAACACGTTTGGTACTTTATGATATACACAAAGAAGCATTAGAATGAAACATTCACTGATGTTAAGCTTCTTTTTAGAAGGCAATCAGTATATTGGTAGATAAAGTGTTGATACATCAAAGAGAGAAAAATCCTATAGCATGTCCTCATTTAAGATAGTTCCAAGGTCTGGATTCTATTTTTCGACACGAAAGACAAGCAATGTTTTTCAAAATCTCTTTAGCAGTTTTAACCAATACCCAATGCCCCAACGACAAAATATTCATGTTTAAAAAATAGAATGATTATTCCAACTTTTTCCAACAAAAATTCTAGCTGAATAGTCTGAGTGGCTTTCAAAATTCATTGCTTCATTTTGTGAAAACATTAGTACGTTTGAGGATAGGAATTTAATATTGACAATTACTTTGAGCAAAGACTTAAGAAGATAAACATTTTGTATTCAAGAAACATTTACCTCGTTTTCACTTTCGTGTAATGGAGGAGCCAATCGAACAAAAGGAGGCTGAAATGTATCTTCTGCAGGTGGATTTGAAGCTGTGAATAGAATGCAAAAAATAACACTTCTACAAAGTGGCAATTTTATATCAACTGGGTGTGAAAATGTCTTCACTTACAAGACAATACAAAATTTCAGTTTCAAAAATATTTAGCTTTAATAGCATCTATAAATATTTAGTTAACCACTTACAACAAATAAGTTGTTCCACGACCTCTCTCATAATGCGCAGGTCTAGTGTACCACTAAAAATAACAAAAATTTAATACAATTACTATTAAGAAAAAACTCCATATGGTCAATTTTCATTATGACAAAAAGATGCTAAGAGACACAGAAGAGAACTTTTTTGGATCACAGCTGTGAGATTTGCAATTTAATCTTCAAGCAATTGAAAAATATACATACTATTACTTTGAAATTATAAGAATATGATGATAAAATAAATGCCAAAACAAAAAAAGACGCAAAAGCAATTTGATCTCTATCCATAAAATTTCAAGTTTTTCTTTAAACCTCTGTAGATATATCTTTTGAAAGAAATTATATAATCTATGTAATAATATAGAAGTCACTCCATACAATAATTACATTACAGAGATGGCATGGCTTTGAAAAACAATTTGTCATGAAAGATCGAGAAAAAATATAAAAATCTAAATGTTTTGGACTTGAATCATTATGAATTTATGAATTCAGCATTTCTCACTTAAACTGGGGGTATTCCCCAGTTCCTTCATGCGAGCATGTATGGTTTCAAAAATAAAAACATGTTAGTAAGCATAATAAACTCCAAACCTTTTGTCAGGATCAGGATCTGAAACCACACAACTTATTCCTGATTTGCTAACTTCTGAAAGATTTTTCATCTTTTCATTAATGGCAGATTGTAGAGTACTGGTGTCATAGGGCTATCAACAAACATATGAAATGTTTTACAATAAGTTTCAAAACAATAAATAATTGGTTTTGGTTATGAAATGTTTTTCCAGCATGATCAAGCTAACTAACTCTGCTTGGATGTTTGCCTTAGTAAAATCAATAAACTGTCTGTACCATGAGCATATGCCTTTTGTGGCTGGAGTATATATAGGCTAATATTTCGCCCTGGCATTCGGGGCTTCATATGTAACTTACCTTCTCATTGCTTGCATCCAAGGAAAGAATATGTTTTGGTGTCTTCTTTTGCATCTAGAGAACAAATTATCTGATATTACCATATTCATTGCAAAATAAGTAACAATGTTATGTTTCATTTTATCTTTAGCTAAACATCAACAGTTGGCAAATTTTGAATCCTGTGAAATATGGAATGTACCTTAAAATACCTAGTGAGGGGGTAAACATGAAACACAGTGTTCAATCATTAACCTCTTTAATCAATTAATGAAGCATTCTTGCATAGATAATTACTTAAATGTTTATAATTTTAAATAC